TTGTCAATCGGGGACCCTCTGTCAATCGAGGACCTTATTGTCCTCTATTGTTCAGGGTCCCCAATTGCATGCAGAAACAAACTCACACACACCACGACCTTCCCGTACCCACATTCTAAGAAGAGATACAAGTTAGGGCAACGGGACCCCCCCCCATTAAAAACCTTTTATCGATCTTAATCAGATCAGTATTAGCAGGAACATTAAACGCAAAGAATAAACTAAGCAAAGCTGCAATGACAGAGATTGTACATTCCTCGAGTCGACTCAACAAGTCGAAGGAACGATAATGAAATCCTTTTTTTTTTAATCTTTCGAAAGCTGCGAACCGTAGAAAATTCGCCAAAGCGACAGGGTGGCTTGTTCGTTGTTTGAAGTCTGTCAGAAGTCTTCGTGCAGTCCCTTTTTTTGGAAACAGGAAGATCCAAAAGGTTTCTGCCACAAGCATTACTTGCATCATCCCAGAACTGATTTTCTGTCGCTCCACGGCCACATACACGGTCCTGTCAGCCAGCAGCTATTTCGGTAATCAGTAGCTTTCTTAGGCAGCCGTGGTTTTTCTATTATAGCAGCATTTACAAAAGCCATGGTCGTGTGTGAATTAGATGTTGGCGAAATTTAGTGAAAATTCGAAATCCAGGTGTTGGGCAAAAGTTACTAAGGATTTGCTTTTGCCAACTGGAAGGAAAAATGTGTGATATGATGTGTGGAGGTTTCCGTTGAGTGGAAGTAAAGCAGAACAGATCAGATCTCAGTAGAGGACAGCCGTATGAGTGTTTGTTGTGTGGACACATGTTTTTCAATGTTTTGAGATAAGATCAATAGTTAACTAAAAGTGAAGCCATAGACACTTTCATTGACCGGCCGAAAAAATTATATCAAGGAATCAGGTTATAATCTGACGATAGCAGATTGACTTTAGAACAAGAGAAAAGTGGTCGCTGTTGGATTGTACATGTTGAGTCGAAATTCGAATACAGAAAGGACATATTCTTGGAAAAATTCAATTCCAAAGTGTGAAAGTTTACGAGGGAACGTTTACTCGCTCCTACTAAAACCAGCTACAAGATGCATTTGAGTGAAAACTCGAACAAGTTGAGTTTTCATTCAAGCTCTTAATAGAAGTGACTCCGATTTCAATGTAAATTTGGCAAAGGTTTTACTCCAAATCGCCGAATCCGTGCAGTGATTTCATTCTAGAGAATTAAGAGAGTACACGCACGGTGACGTACGTCACCGTCTGTTAGTCCCTCTCCCAGGCAATTTTACAGGGAACATAATCACACTATATATTACTACTTCCGCATTCGTTGGGTCCTAATCTTATATATGTATTTTTTCCCCTATGCTGCTTTCAACCGTCATCAGGGAGATGATCTTTCACCCTTAGACTTCTGCATAATTCTACACAGAATGTTTGCCAAGTTATGACTGGTGTTGCAGAGACAAGAATAGTCGCTTTAACACTTGGCTTCTCTGAAACTTGAAAACTTGAAATTTGTTACCATCCCAGACATTAATCATGCCGCTGGAAAAGCATATCCCACCCTTCAGACAGACGCCGATAGACAGAACAAACTCAGGCCTGCGCATCAAAGGGCACTTCTGTCAAGTGGATTTTAAATAATTACCGTTCTGTGATATTTTCACGCGAATCACCTCGGCTCAGCCAGTGGTGCATATACTGTACACAGGCACATTGTAAAGTCAATGTGATAAGAAGAGGGGTAACCTATTGATCAGATCGGGCCGTCGCTAGGGGACAATCGATGGGCCCTTCACCGTCCCCAAAAGAAACGAGGGAAAAAACAATGGACCGAAGCCGAGCAGAGTTCGATATTCCGTCGGGGGCCTCGTCGGGCTCCATTCTTTCTATCCGGGATACGTTTCTCTACCCAGTCGGCCAGTCGCTCCTTCCGGTAATGTCTAACGCACTATTTCAGACCATCGGTGCGATTTTAGCGAAGAGAAGGTCACCCCCAAAGCCGTTTATCACAGAACTGAGATTGTCAAGCGTCGTCCGAGTTTGTGACTTAACGGAGTGGTGGCGTAAGCCCATCGCTGTAAAATGACAGTTTTCATTCGGACATGGTATTAGCAGGAACCGAGGTGAGGCAGCGATTATCTTTGCTTTGTGGTTGTAATACACACACACTTACACTAGCGTCCTTATATCTCATCGATCCATGCCAAGTCCCTCCGTAGATTGAATTAACCCTCAAAGAGCCGGGGGGAGGGCGGATTCCGCCCCCCGTTGATTTTTTCTTAAAGCATCTCTAAGATTATTTTCTGCGTGCTAATACTTTATGACAATTTTTTCCAATGTTTTAGCTTCATTTTGACCCCAAAGTTATGAAAATCGGACGTGGCGTTCTCTCTCAGCGAAGAATTTTAGAAGGCAGGGTGAAGCGTGATGTGAAATTTACCATGACTTTGTATACAGCAGTAAACCGTACACAGGACAGAGTGGTATCCTACCATGAATAATTAATTATTCATAATTAGCAAATACTTAATTACTTTACATGAAATTTCACACAGATGATAAGTATGGATGCCTCTATGGCAGTGCCAAATTTCATTGAAGTACATTATCATATGGCTGAGATCTAACTGTGACAAGGCCAAAAAAGCCCGGCTGTCTGAGGGTTAAAAAAATTTCCTCGTTACTTCCTTGCCCTGCGATTGGGTCAATGTTGGTACTTGCTAACTGAGGCTAAAACCAGCATTTTGTCGTTAAAAACCGAATGGTCTATTTCCTGAATAAGAAAAATTAAGAGATTGGAGACTTGATAAATTAAGGGATTTGCTCTTCCAAACTTTTCCCGAAACCGTTTGACTGGAGACGAGGTTGAAAAGTATTTGTCTGTAGACTTAATGAGTAAACCATGGTCCTCAGGGGTTTCGCTATTGGCTGGATTAAAAAAATGGTTTGTGACTTTGTGATCTGTTTCGGTCCATTTTCCTTTGCTTGTTTTTATGGAGAGCCTTAGTTTCCTATTACACAAAATGCAGCTGAAATACGTTGAGAAGTCAGTACATTACATCTTCCAAGAGCTCAGAGATTTATTACATGAAAAAAATTTGGTCAGCGTAGGTTGAACATGAAGTAATCAGCAATTTAACATTAAACTTTCCTTTATTTTCCTACAGATAGCTGACCGCGATGTGTGCTGTCATGAGATATCGTTTAGCCCTGTCACAGACCCCATGAAACACACCCAGCCATCGGAGACCAGCCAGCGACAGGCGGTGCTGACACCCAAACCGACCTCGCCAACCTCCCCGCCCATCCAACGCACCGCCATCTATCAACTTAGCCCTGCGCCCCAGGACCTCATGACGCCCAAAACCAACCTGCCGGTAGCCCTGGAGGCGATGAGCAGCGTCTGGCTGCCGCCCACGGACGCCCGCTATCAGAGAGACACGGCTCTGCCAGTGATCGAGGGTCCGCGCGGGCCGATCCGGGCCGGGGATCACCGCCAAAAGCAACGGTATATCACCGTGGTGCAACCCCCGAAGACCGGAGCGAAGAGAAACAACGGAATCAGGAGTTGCTTCTCCGACAGCTTTCTCCACACGAGGGTGGAACCGCTGGATGATGGCCTGAATATGGCGGCTAGACCCTTCAAGGGTCTGGTGCCGGCATCCCAAGACCAAAGGCGTCCCTCCACGCCGATTGTGGACAGCGCCACGAAAGCAAGCGTAAATGTCAAGAGGCAGAGGTTCTTCAGCTCGACCGATTCGGCAAGAACCCTAAAGGAGACGAGGAATGGGGTCGCGACAGGACGGTCGGAACCCCCGAAGAAACTTGCCAATAGAACAAAGAATCAAAAGGCCACATCGAAAGCCGGTAATGCCCGCAAAGACCCGGAGCTGCGAGACTCACTTAAGGAATTGGAGAACGGCTCGTTCTGCGTCTGGAAAGAGAGGACCCGGAGTTTAAGACGAGCCAGTGAGACGTCATCCGGAAAGACAGACACAGAGACTCCGGCAGGAGACAAGGGCACTGTCAAGGCGGAAACTAAGGAGGAGAGGCGGAGGAACTGGAAACAGGAGTTTGTCATCAAACATCTGAATTACTGCAGCTCAAGAAAGACCCAGCAAGTCGTCCAATGGCTAAGGGAAGTAAACTTGCAGGACAGCTTTGAGATAATCGAATAACATCCGCAGATGTTTACAAAAACTAAGCTAGGGCCGTAAACATCTTGGACAATTAGGAAGTTTGGCCATTATGTGTTGAAGTTAATTGTATGGTTATACCTTCCTTACAGTTTATCCAACAGATGCTTTTTGAGCAGAAGCTGGAAGAGTTGATACCTAGACCAATGCGGAACTTGCTCTTTGCTTAGCATGACTTAACCTATTGAGGATTCCCACTCTGGAGAGTTAGGTCCCAAGTATATCTGTTTGCAGAATGGACCACGGCTATGACAATGTGCATTTCGAGGTCAATTCATGCACTTGTTCAGGAATCGGTGCAGGATTCCAGAGTTTAGTTTTGTTGGTTCTATTAAAAATCAACACAGATCCATTGACTATCGTTATATCGATCTATTCGTTCATAAACTACCATATTGTAAATACATTATGCAGAATATTTATGGCGATAATATAAAAGAAATTACTGAACAATAGTCGTTTACAGAAGTTCAATTTCTTTTTGGAAGACAACTGTCGCATACTTTCACGCGTTGATATTAGCACAGTGGGTCGGTATCTGATTAGTTAATGAATAACCGAATTGCACATGAAGGCAGCGAAAAATACAAATGATCACAATCAACGCTGGAAGATTATGTGTACATAGAGCACCCCTCGGGCGCCTTAATGTGTCAGAGTTATGAGCTGCTTATCTCGTCGACCCCACGGGGCTCGTGTTTACTTGATGGGACCCCCCCCCCCATCAAGCAGGGCACATTAACACCCCACTTATATGGTCTGAAGTATAATTACCGATCGTCTTCGCGCGCAGCAAAAGGTCGAGTGGCGCGGATTTTAATGGCTGGTGTTCGGCCGGGACTCTTCGGGACACTCCCCGGCTTCTATCGTCATTCGAAGATATCCTAATGGCGACAGTCGTGGTCTCGTTGCGTCGATAAAGGCGGAAGACATGAAAAGAAATTCTGGTCCGTATACGGGTCAAGTAAACAGGGGAAAATATGAAGTTTTCAATATTTGTTTTGAATCTGACATAATTATACTGCAGCGCATGAAACCATTGTGCTGAATAAAAAGGAGGCTTTTACATAGATTCGCTATCTTTTCGACTTTTGGAAGCATGCAGTCGGGATTCCCCCAGAGTTGAAAGGTCAAATCCTTATGCAACATGAGAAACTCTTTTTGTTTCCTTGATCGCTTCTAAATAGGCTCGTGATCTCGTATTTCACAGAATGTGTTGAGGGCATTGGTAATTGGAAACATGAGGTTGAATTAGAAACAAAATGGTTGTAGGTTGGAAACAAGCACCAATTAATGAACAGCGGGCAGAGAATAAGATGACAGATCAAGAACACTTAATCAAGACCAGATGCAGTTTGCGCCATGTGCGCCAATTTTGCCATCTTTGGCAGAGATCGAGGGAATGTGGGGGTAGGGTAGGGTGGGCGGGCCGGCGGTTGTGAGGTCGGGGCGTGGATACGAAGGAGGGGAAGCCGGGCTTATTATAGGACTGCTTGCAGAGACGAGACAAGGTAATCGAACCCTGAGGCCGCTGAATGCGCCGCTGGAGACGACCAAGTATCGATCAGGCTTTCACGAAGCGTCCGGTCTAATTTGCATGTAACGGCGGCTCGGAGTTGGCCGACAGGACAGACGCACGCCATCGTTTCATCCCCTCGCAGGACTCAACATGAAGGTTACCAGTAGTTGGTAACGCTCTTGATTGGTGGGTACCAGGCTGTTATAATCCAATGAAATGTCCCAAATTTACCACATCACCACAAGACAGTTTCGTAAGGTCACCCTGCAACAGAGAACGCGTGTGGACTGACTTCAATCGCTATACGTATACATGTATAGTACATAGTTTAGACAGTAATCAAGAAAATGTACACCTCCCCACATTATCAAGTTGGTTGTAAGAGCAGCCTGCAAGCCATGGTGTCTGTAAAGAAGGACAGAGCTGTTAAGGGTTATGTAAGTTTTCGTGTACGACTGTATAGCGCCACCACGCGACGCCCTTACCAATCGGATTATATTGATCCGGAGGATTAATCCGGAGGATCATCGATTAGTTCTATTGTGTTCCTCTTTAATCCAAAGGTTAGGGAACATAGGGAACAGGATAGAGGCCAAATTGATCAGGTCTGGAGTCCGTGATCCGGGAATGATCGCGAAGACAAAGTCGACTTGTTAGCAAACATAAAGTTCACAGGATTGTGTGTGGTGTGTATGTTGAATTGTTCAATTCAGTAACATTTTGTTATCAATTTTACTTAAAGGCCATTGATGTTAAGCTTTATTTATATACATGCATAGTGGGTCGATTGAATAGGTTTTCATGGATCCGTAGTCTGACTGTATGGCTAGAGAGAAATTTCAAATGATTTAACCGTTTTCAGGCACAAGACAGTGTTGATGGATTGACATTTCAAAACCGTTAAACGCCAAATCAACACTTTCTCCACGATAGTTCCCCTTTGTTCTTTTATTGGGGTTTCAATACCCCAGTCTTTTCAAAAGATGCCACGCGCTGTGATTGCACTGAAGTGAAAAATTACAGTTACAGGGCCGATTACATTGCATTTTTTTTTAAATGAACAAGTTCAAAGTACGGAGCCTAAATTTTGTAGAATCATGGTTGTTGCTTGTTGGTCAAGCAAGAGATTTGGTAGTTTGCGTTAGTTTAGGCTGGTTTGTCGTTGGGGGAACTGATAGGGGCCGATCCAGGATGTTTCTGCCGGGGGGGGGTTCGGGAAATTTTTGTTTGTGCACAGGCGGTGTAGTTGTAGCTGTTGTTGAAGCCGTTTAATTTCTTTCTTTTGTCCTTAACCGTACACGCAAAATGGTACCTCTGCGTCGTCTATGCTTATAAGGGATTCTTCGAGCCTTTAACTGGTGGCCACTATTATAGCAAAAACCCAAAATGTCAACGAAGGGGAGGGGGATGGAGTTGACCCCCAACCTGGGCCAACCCCCTGATGACTACAGTGTCACTCGATCCAAGATACTGTGTCAAGGCTTGATCCTGGCCAATCAAGTTGGGCGATAATCATTGGTGTCCCATCACCCTATTGCCATGCAGTAATTCCTTGTATAGAAGAAAAGGAGCGACATCGAATCTTTAAGGAAATAGCCTTTCAGAAAGTCCCTGCGGTGTACCAAAACAAGAGGCTTTGTCGCTTTTGTTCGGGGCTGTTGGCCTACTGTCTGGTCCATAATCCCATGAAAATGTCTCTCGCTGAAGCGGTGAAAAGAAATCGAAGTAATCTGCTGGTCGATAGCTCCTTGGTAGCGACCGCGGCGTTTATTCGGAACCGAGCGCTAACCGCGTGTGCACACGCAGTTCGGTATCCAAGGCGGATGGGGCAGGCTTGTGCCTGGCCATCTTGTTCACACACGCCAAGTTCTTCGGAAAATTGGTGGCTAAATTCCCTGTTGGACAGTTTCTAAGAGGAAAAAAGTCATGCACTGGAAACAGTACACAGACGGTAAGTCTGAGAAACGTTATTTGCTCGGTTTGGTGAAAAAAGGACATTTTAAACCATTGTAATTCCAGACATGTATTGAGTTAAAGCAACTTCAAAATGGTTGTCTTTATTAACACTAATCACGTTGAGCAATTTTACATTCAGTAATCAAATCTGACGGCAGGGCATAACTGGCTTGACTTGTCACACTGAATTCCTCCCCACAAAAGTCAGATTATTTTTCCTCATGCACGCGGCCTTCAGTGATGTGTGATATTTTAATTTGTTGACAGGTCACTGATTTAGGGTTGCTGTCAAGACGGAATGTTATATAACCGTCAGTTTGAGTTTGACTATAAATTTTTGACTATAAATTTATAATACCGGATTCCGAACTTATCGAATGATTCTGCTTTGTAAATGAAATATGTATTTATTCAATGCCAGTCACCCCTAGCTGGTACGATGTATTCTTCAAGTACAATAGGCCGCATGTGCAAATTACTGCACAGTTGATTGCCGTCATCAGTGTCGTTACAATAAGTGTTTTTTCCCCTGTAAATTTTCCCAACAAACACCTTTTAACAGAACCCGTATCTGGAACCGGCACCGTGCCTCCCACGGCGGGTCAAACCTTCATTGTTCCCCCACTGGCAACTTCAGCAACAATGGCAGGATTTAGTTTTTTGACCGAGCGCTGCTTTTTCATAAAATGTGCGCTGAACGGTGTGAATAGGCATGAGACGGAAGTTGAAATTGCGAGTAAATGAGTGGGACGTGCTGTAATCTTAGTGTTCATGTATATGCAAAGGAGACTGGTCCTGGTCAAGACGTTGAGGGCGCGCTTCATGATACCGCTTCATACAGCTTGATGTCGCGAACATAGTCGGATTCCATGCCCAAAAATTCCCTGACGAATTTTGATAAAAAGTGTTAGGGGTGCAACCACGTAAATAGGCCAGAAATATTTGAAGGTTCTATACACTCACAGACACACAAAATGAAAAGCAAGATTATCTTTAAAAGCAAAATGTGACAAAATTAATGAAAATGTACAAATACTAAAGATAGTTAAATACTGAGGACAGACTAGAGACAAAGTTTAAATTAATTAAGTTTATATATGTAATACATTGATTGCAAAATGGAAAAAATGCTTTATTTAACGTACATTAAGTAACCAGATGCGGACAATGAAATCGAAGTATCTTTCACAAAAAATCGTGGTAAATATAATTGCCGAAGTGAGTGACCGAAGAAGAAATTGAACATAGATATAAAATGTCGTGAATTTTTCACACAAATATGGAGCTGCCTGTTTATGAAATTGAACCGAAAAATTTATTCCAAATGTGCTGGAAAGCCAATGAATAAAACGTGCTTTGTAGCAATATTAAATAATCCATCCATTTCATCTCTTTCAAAAACAAAACAATAAAGACGGGATTTTGTAAAATGCGCTCCCTCTTCAGTCAAAACTGTTATGAAGCTTCAGGACGGTGTAGAGAATAAACATATTTCATTTGCTGACAAGAAAAGTGATGAATTCTTGGATTTGTTTCTTTGCTTTGCTGTCTGCACAGGTCTATGCATTGTGGGTCTAGGTGGGGGATCATCGCCTGCCTATCTCACCAGGAGTGCATCGACGTCAAGGGCGTCTGGCCGCCTCGCCACTTTGCAAAACTCCCAACGTCTCTTTGTCAGCCCTAAGGGCCGAAATACGTCTCACGCAAATCAGTCCCCGGCGTCAATAGACGATGCACTGCCCGAAATCGCCCCGGGCGTGCCTCGAACGATAGACATCGACATCGGCGTACAGGGAAAGGCCAAAACAATTCACCCATGCATAGTCAGTCCCAGGGACGTAGGTACGCCTGTTGTCTCTGATGAGGGGCCATTGTACCGAGTAAAACAAGGGGTTTCCGAGAAGACTGACTCTAAATCAAGCACTGGCAGTGAACTGAGGTGCCCTCAGCCGGCTGTTCATCACAGCTACCCGCAGCATGCGCTGCGGACTCGGTCGCCGGCTTCCAACAGCGTGGCCTCCTTTGGGGATCTCAGCATCACTTCCGTCAGTCTGTCTTCCAGGACCGTGCCCTCACGAAAGTCCGACCCAGAGATCGGCAGTAGCGTCAAAGACGGCGAGAGTGAGTATTTATCCGAGATCCTAGGGGAGTACGTTTCACTGTCCCCGTCACCAGTGAAGGGATCTCCCCAAGAGGCGACGCCACGCGGAACGCCCAAGCGACCTTCTACCAACTACCACTCGAAGCTACTTCACATGAGGTCTCTACTTAGAGACAACGGCCAGCCCTCCGACTCAGTCACCACCCAAACGGTGGACCTGGAGAAAGACAACATAAAGTCCTTCAAGAAGCTTCTTGTTCTGACGCAGATTCCCAAGACGTCCAAAAGTCCCAAATCGAAACTAAGCAATGATTCTTGCGCCGTGATCAGCGAATCTTCAGCGTCAGCTTCGTCCACCGATAGCGCCCACCGGGAACGGAACATGCTGCTCGGGTTACATCAGCTGTCACGGCAACACACGGCCAGGAGAAACAGCAATCCGGGGGCGAATAGAATCGATGCCGACTCTTCAGTTCTGGGGCCGGAACAGCCATTTGTACAACCAAGCCCACCGACGATGGACGAGCGCCCAGTGAAGACAATGGTGGATCAATGGTTGGGGGACTGTCCAGTTGTAGGGAATCGAATGGAATTAGACTCGACAAAAAGAAGAATCGAATTCAGCGTGCCGAGCATCGAGGAGGAAGCAGAAACTTGACTTGAGGTGTTGGAGGTGTCCTCAAAAGTTGGACGTGCGTAACCAAAGCAACAAATGGTATTAGAATCAATGTGCTGAAGTGCGCCCTCTATTTTTAATGATGTAACCAGGTGCAATTATTGTAAATTCCGAAGACAGTCACACGATGAGGCATGCAAAGTCTTCTTTATTCTCCAAGATGAATTTCGATCTTGTCCTTTTTTCAAGGATCAGTTCATGTTTGTTTATACTATACAAAGTTGAAATAAAAATGTATGGTGTGGAGTGAATACGTTTGGCTAATGGCTAAACTTTATATTTTGATAGTTTTCGAGATAACTACATTCACTTCTGATGGAAATAGTGTCTTTGTAGTAGTAGGAACAGAAAAAAAATCCCCAGTTCAAGATGGACTAGTATTGGTGACCAAAGGTCCAAAAGTGTCAGGACGACCTCCGTCGACGAAACTGGTCCATAAAGGAAAGTTTACTGATTGATCTCGATACCTGTGTGGGAAGGGTAGGTGGAATAGCGCCCTCTGCTGTCTGGAGTTTCCAAATGTGACGACTTCTTTTAAAGTGGTAGGGAAAAGAAAACCTTTCTCCAATTATAACCAGAGGCTGCAAGACCAGTTTCCAAAATTAACATGAAAAAAGGGGAACAGTTCTCGCATTTATGATCGAAAAATGTCCAAGAAATGGGCTTCCGCGATTACTCTTTTCGACGATTTCAGAAGCATTCGATAGGCTATGTATTAAAGATATGCCGGTGACCCCAAAACGTCACAGGGAGATACTGCCGTAGACACATTGCATCTTCACACGCAAGTCTCATGGTAGAGGCATACTAACAAATACATGTACATTGTTCCTATGGGTTTTTGTCCACTACGTTGTTTGTCCCATCCATCAAGTTTAAGTGCACGACTTTTGTGTTTTTGCCATAAAATAAAACATACCCCGGCCATACAACGAGGGAAAGCTTGCCAACTTGCCGCGCTTGGAATCCTTTGCACGCTTGCCACTTATTCACCATGTGTATCCACCGTTCGCAGTTACGGTTGGAAACTCGCCCCACCTGAACAAGTACGTGCTTGTCACAGTGTTTCAATCAGTCACGTGACTTAAACTACTATCCAAATTACCTAAGAATAAACTAGCTCCCAGCAGTTAGGAGTCTCGTACACTGAAACTTGGTCTCGAGGTTTCCGTGCGACAACGCGTAGAATCAATCGTATATTGGGTAGATTTCAATCCTTCCTGGTTGTCGCAGATAAGCAATATGCCAAAGATTTTTTGAGGACTGATTCGACAAATATCCAGTGTCTTCAAAAGCACTACGAATTTAGAAAGCGAAGCACATAAGCCTCGCCGTCTGCTTGTGTTGTGTTGCAGATGGCGGTGTCTGGATCACCGCAGCCGTATGGGGGCCGCCATAGCAGCCCCGCAACACACAGGTTCCGTGCCGCCGTCCTTGTTCATCAACGAGTACATTACAATTACTTTCATGGGAACCGAATCCACTCTCTTTCACATGGTGAATCCGATACGCATTTATCTCTTGTAGACTCGGCAAGCAAGCAAGCACGTACGTGGGTTAGTGTCTTTTTCTAGAAGCTTCACGTGTACACACGCAGAAGGTAGACCGCGTTATTCTCCGTGCCGCGCGGCATAGGAATAGTCTGTTACTACTGAACGTGAACACCTCCAGTGCACTTTCACAGTCATGTATATGCCACGCAAGTTACGTTCCACTCCACGTTAAACTTATCGTACTCCTTCATTTCGGAACAAATTGCACAATTATTTTGACCAGCTAAGAGTAAGATTTTTGGCCGATACATCTTACAGATTAACGTTTAATATTGCGCATATTCTCCACGTCGTCAAAACCCTTTGTTTTAATGCATTTTGGCCGCAGCAATGTCAGTTTATATGTATTTTCATGCATGCTTCACGCATGCCTCTTGTGCCTTTCTTTCCATTAGTCATCAACCCAACGCAAACGCAAATTGACCTCGCATGTTTCCGAAATCGGACCCAGTGGTCCGGTTGTGGACAGAAATTGCTTCTTTTTTTCTCTCGTGTTGATTTTTGGAAGATAAAGTCACTGTATGCTAGTTTCTGGGTGGCCAACCTACCTCCAAAACCCTAGATGTCGCAATATTCGAAGCCTTGTCCCTACCTCTTTAATGTCGTCTACATTCATGATTCTCAAACTGGACACAAATAAGTAGAGGCAGAAGCCACTGGGCCGGGGGGGGTAGGGGGTCGAGCGGTGGGCAGGGCCCTCCTTTTACCGTTCTACTATAGACCTTTTTCACCCGCGTGACTGAATGTAAACAATACCACCACGTGTGGACCGCCTTGGCCATACACGGTGATCGTATATATTCTTACGGGCAGCTTCAACCACGTGCAAGCGCATGTGCGAACGCTGCATGCCTGACTAGTTTATCTTGAATAGGTTGATCACCGTTTAAACACGATGCACTCATTACCAATAGGTCCAGCACAAAAAGGTCTATCAGTAAACCGATTAAACGTATCATTTGAACACAGACCACAAGCTAAAAATTTCAGCACTGGAGTGTAATAGCCCACAGTAACGATTTCAAAACAACTCTCATGCAATTAACAACAGAAGAATTGTTTGTTCTTAATACGCATGCCATAAAAAAGTTCAGAAAACCGATGACTGGCAGTTGAAGTATTTTTCGAACCACTAGTTTAAGCATAAACCTCTACTTTACAATATAAACGATAAATGCTGACGTTAATTTTTAAGGGAACACCAAAATGGTTCAAAGATTAACCCAGAGTTGTCCTTTAAATATATTTTTATTAGAATTTTGAAAATTCTCATTACCACTGTGTTCGATATTGCTAGCATGCATACTGAAAACTGTAGAAAAAAACTCTATACAAGAGGTGACATGTTTGTGTAAATGGTCCTCCATTCGTTGCCCTTTCGGGAAGTCTTTTGGAACTCGGTTACGTTTCGGAGTTACTCGAAAGATCATTTTCAACACTGTCATTTAAACAGCAGTCAAGATCTCGCATATTGTCACTCGTGGGGCCGCCATCAGCACCGCCAACCGTAAATCCTGATTGAACCGTTGCATTCTGCCCCAGTATGAATGCATTTTCGCAATATGATTCCAAGTAGCGTTGTTTTCGATTCATGTCAAAGTCAACATCAACGAGAGATCTGAGTTCAGTCAAACATCGACTTCGAGACTTTGCAAGTATCGTGTCTGTCTTAATCCTCTGAACTGCAGTCGCTTGACGACGGGTATGGCGACCCTAGGAAGTTCCATTTCTCGTTTGAGATTTCCACGTCACACGTGACAATTTCTTCCTCCAACCTGCGACTGCTCTCTGATTCGTCCACGAGCGGCGTGACGTCAGACTCCTTCAGATCCGCCAGCCACTTGCGACACCGCTGGGCGTTCTCCAAGAGGTAGACAGTGTCATCGTGGTAGGTCTTGCGGAGGTGGAACTCGCTGGGTTTGGTCTGGGACAGCGACAGCACGGCCTCGTGTTTGGGAATCTCCTTGCTGTCGATGACGCGACTACGCGTCCGCCTGATGTTGGCGCGCATGGCTCGCCGCTCCGATTCGGCGGTCGACCGGGTGGTGGCGCTGTCACAACGATACCCGGGAACACTGTGAACGGATTCCGGCACGGCGTAGGTGTGCGTCGCGATCGCTTCCTGTCCGCTGGCACCGCTCACGGTCTGCTCTTGAGGTAGATCTTGCCAACATGGGGGCTTGGGTCTCTGGGTTCTTGCTTCCTCTCGACTGTTCCTCGTTCGCTGGTGAGAGCGTCTTTGCCTTCCAATGTTTGCATCCGGGACATTGAGTCGGTCATGTTCCCCGTATCGTTTCATACAGTCCTGTTTGGTTTTGTGGTGACCACTGGTTCCCTGTCTAGTCATTGTCTTGTCCGAGGGACGTGTACTTTTATGAGGAGTGGTACCTTGTTGTGCCGTCTTCTTTGGCGTGATAGTTAAATTGTCTAAATCACACAGTACCGGACACGATGTCGATTGCTTTAATGCCGGGAGTTCAGCCAGCTCAGTCGAGTGATTTTGTCCCGTGCAAGGTGGGTAGCTCATGCGTTGTGTTCGTGAGGGTGTGTCAAAACTGGGTCCTGAATCTTGCGGTCTGTGCCTGGCTGTTTTGCCGTTTTCTTTCTTCGAACTAACCCGGTCGTCCGACTTGTTTCTCAGGGATGTTTTCGACTTTGTTGTGCTGCTGGAGGTACTCTTGGTCGAGGAGTGTGTGCCTGTCAAGTTCCGCTTCCCACTTCCACTCAACCCGGAGGCAGCCCGCTCGTTTACCGCCAGAGTTTTGTTTTCTTCGGAGAGGGGCCCCAGCCGGTGATGCCTGTTGCGACCCGGCAGTCGCCGGTACCACGCCAGGCCGCTATTCACCACGGGGCAGGTAGCGGGCGAGCCCGGAGATAAGACAACGCCGGTGAGAGGCTTCTCCCGGCAAGCCATGACGGGGAATGATGGCGGTAGCGTGCCGGGCACCTGGGGCAATCCCAGCTGCAGTCGGGCCCGCTGGGGCGGAAATAATGCCGTCTTTTCGCCCACTTTGGCCGGGCTCATGCTCCGACTGACACCCTGTCGACCTCAATTTCCATTCGCCGCGGTTCTGTGGCAGAGGGATTGAAAGGGAAAAGAGAGAGACGAAAACCCGTTAAGAGTGAATCGTGTCAGCATGTCTCAGCGGATGGGCACGAACAATGCCACCGGTTACTCAAGCAGGAGGAACATCAACAGTCTGTCGTCTCATTAGTCTGACTTCCCTGACGACAGACTGGTGGCCCAGTATCTCATCCCAATGCTTGGATGGAGCGGATAAATAACGGAGATAATCCTGTTTTCACACGCATTATAACACCAACACACTCCATGACGCCTAACAAAGCGTCAACAAACCAGACAGTTTGTCTAACTATTAACTAACTAAATGAAATCACCTAACTCCGGAACATAGTCATCAATAACATCCGAAAAAAACGACAAAGGGGCATCAACCCAAACAGTCTCGTATTACCGTTAATAATCAGAAAAGAATATTACACTCCGATATCCAGTAACGTTTTCTTTGACAGAGCGTGGAACATTGTAACACGGCAAAGGCTATCATTGACGTGTGAGGGTTTCTCGTTCCGGATGTGAGGTGTGCTTGGCGGTGTCCATATCACGTGTGGTTATGATGTTGTGAGCCAGTATCAATGCGTCTTGTGCATGGACACCGTTTTCAAAAGGCTGCTGGTGTACAAATTTATGGTGAATGTGTGAGACTGTTTGATTCAGAGGACCCTTTTCTCCACAAAACATGTCAAAAGGCGTTCACTGTTGAATATTTAAGTATTCACGACCAGTGCTCAGCAACGGAAAAACGCTGTCCATCGGACTCACTACGGGTGGTCGTTTTCATGGGCGTCGCCAGGATTTTGGAGGGATGGGCAAACCACCTTCTTTCCAGGGGTGAACATTTCCGGGGGGAGGCAAAGCACTCAGTGCTATGAACTGATCGACTATTTAAAGAAGGGAGGGGTCAAATTAAGGTTTGTCCAGCAATTTGGTGACAGTCATCCCATTCAATCCTATTTTCTTTTCTTCTGTGTCCACACCCCGTAGCATTTTTATTTAATTTTTTTTCCGGGGGACGGTTAAGCACCCCCAACCCCCGCCCCCCCGCGACGCCCATAGTCGTTTTAAATCGTTTTTAAATAACTTGGATATTATTCGGAGAAAGAACCTCTGCCGAAATAAGCACGGGGCGTGTGACATATCTGCAAGTGCAAGTGCGCTCGTACTTTCGGCCGTTTCGGCTCGGCAGTAAACAAAAATTACAAGTCCTATGCTAATGGCGCTATACTAAACGTCTCATTACAGCAACCCTACCGTATTCTGCTCGTGGGTACAGAGTGAAGCAATTGCTGGCTAACAATCTTACAAGTGCCCTGTCCAAGGACACGTACACAGCAACCGCCTTGACTTGGAAGGACAAAACGAACAGCATTATTTCCCGTGATATCCTGAGCCTTTCGGTGGTTCAATGTGCCATGGATGGCAGGCTACATGTACATGACGTGCAAGACAGCAGCTGCAGCGCAGGTGTGGCGCTCCATCAACGCAGATTGGACAACGAGAGCATACGCTCTACAGAAAGCCTTACCTACAGCACATCTGTCCTGTAATCCCTTTTCCCCCGAAAATTGTCACGAGTCTGCATGAAATCCTGACAGATTAATCCTCATGGCTGACCTTTCGTTTCAGTTTGAACTTCACAGCCCTGCGCTTTTACAGTCACACATACATGTACAGCACACGCTGTGACCCCGCGGCAGTGCAGAACACGGAGACAAACATCAACACACGACTCGTGACTAGACTTCCCTTTCTCAACAAGTTTAAGTTTTCCTTAACTGGTAAAGACCTCTCCTCCGCCTCGTAAAACAAGGGTGCTGTTCAGTAGTGCTCTGAAAACTTTGAAAAGGGCTGAGAAAACACAGGACTTTAGTCTTTGAAGGCGAGTATGTACAAGCTTGAAAAACAGTCAAATAACTGAACACATCTTGCGCTTTTGCTTGCGATCGATGTTCTTTCCTGCGTCCTTTTTTTTACAACAAACCTGACCACAATCTTATAAACAACAAACCCATTGAAAAGTACTAGCTGGGCGATACGTGAATCAAAAAATTCACACCCTGCACTATTTATTAATATGCGTTCCGTGCATAACTTACTTCACTGCTTCTCCGAGAGTAATTCTCACTATCTTCCAGACCTGTAGTAGACATGAAAGCCTCGATTCGTCGAACCACGGACCACAGTAACGCTGCTTGACTGTTGACATCAGTTCATGTAACCAGAGCGAATGCTTACCCCGTCCGACAGATATACAGTTCTCCCGACAAGCAACTCCCGCCTGGATTCCAACACTGCCAGTTTTTTTTTCTCACGACGACTTATTGTTTCGTAGCTTTATCTGGGCCGTGAGTGGCGCGTACGTACGTACGTACGTCCGCCGGAGACAAGCCGGGTTCACGCCGAGGTGAACATCTGACCCCGCAATCTCAGGAATGCACCGGGCGAAGTACGGTCGCCTTGCCGTTAAGTGCAGTACATGTACGGCGTGCGTGTGTGTGTGTACGTGTGGGTGGGTGCCGTCAAAACAACAGACTTGCTCGCCAGAGGTCAACACCGCTCATCAAGCGGCGGGTATCATGGGGAGAATTACACCCCGACAGACCTCTTATTATCCCTATGCATGGTGGTGCGCCAACATTAACAGAGCATATCCAGACTTCTCCGAAATCTCTAAGTGTTTGAAACAAATTCAAGCTCTGCTCTGTTGGAAGACAATCACTGCAAGTATACGTAGGGTTTCACTTTCAAGATCTCTTGCGTTTTCCGGTTAGCGATCTGGGTCGATTAATTAAAAGCCTTTCAATGACAAGACATATTTCTGTGGCTTGGGAAAACATTTTCGTTGGAACCGCAAACCAAGACTGAGTAAATCTGTATCATAATGACAGAACGATCTCTAGAAACAACGTACCATACTTTGTATCTTGCCATGTTAGCATGACCTCCCCCCTCCATTAGGAACCCGCCCCTTGTTGCCGGCTTCAAGTTGATCGCTATCGTAAACATTTGGATTACGGACATGGAGCAGTTTGTTTGCTGAGAATTAAGTCAAACACACCTGCCATGGGGAAATTTGACTTGCAAGCGCCCCCTGACAATCGTCGTCTTTGTCTAACGGCACAATGACTTCAGTGGGAAAAGACAACACCAGCCAAACCCACACAAAGCGTCGTGTGTACATATTTCAGAAAAGGATCGACTCTCAGAAACCGGAATTTGCAAAACAAGATTTAACTCAAGACTGCTATTGATGGCACAAAGAAGTTTCACTTTTTAGCGCCCCCTCGTGATTGAAAAAGAAATCGTACAGTAGATCGATCCTCTCGGAGGCTGACCGCACCGTACAAAGTTTCCCTGCTGCTCATTTTCGGTTTTTAATTCGCGGCATGCCAAACGAAAAGCCGACCATTTTGTCACTGGTAGTCCACGAGTCCGTTGCTGTGTGGTTCGGAAAGACAAAAACGTGTCTGTACATTGACTGTCAAATTTCTATGTGCACATAGATACACATGTACATGTTTATCGTTTAGTACATGGACCAAAGGGGGCGGAGCGCCAGAGCAGGGAGTGGTCCAACTTGAGGTTGAACACTGGAGACCCGAGTTCTTTAAGTCTACCCATCAAAACCACTATTCGGTTGCGAGAAGAAACCAAAACTAGAGCAATGTTAAATGCATTGCTGTAGTATGAAAGACTACAAACTTAATTGGACACAGTCCGGGTGTGGCCAAAACACCTACCATGACGTCTCTCAAGGCAGAGGATGGGGAAAAAATAAGGTTTAACATTGCATTTTAAATGTAAAGAGGCCGGTCGCACTGTATGTAGCGGCTTTTAGGGGCCACCGTCTACCTCTTTAGTACATCAAAGGTGACACCGCAATCGTCGGATATGAATTCATGACACGCTGTTGTGAAATGTCACGCAGAATTTCAATTACTTTGCAGCATGAATGGAATCAAGCGGTGCCCAGTTTATGGGGATGTGAATACCCTGGTACGTTGCGTGTGTGAACGTAGCCGACTCAATCGTGTGCTGGTGGAGGCCCGGAAATCTGGAGACTGGAGTACGCCTTTTAAGTGAAGCAAATCAAGTCGAAGGGATTTTACTGATTGCCCTTAGAATGAAACTGGGGGCGAATTAATAAGGATGACTCGGAGAACCATTTCATTTCAGCTTTCAACCTGTGAATGCCGGGCAGGTTCGTGCACGTGGAGGGGTGGTTAACACTATCGGTATTTATAGCACTCTATCGCAGAAACACTAAAACATTCATTACTGTTACCCTGTAAATAGTGGACCCTTTATAGATCAGTTTCCCGGAACAGCTCGAGATCATCGGACAAAAACTCCACCCTGCAGGTGCCTACCTGACTCTAGTCTAGTGGAGAGAGGCAATCGTGGTCGAGTGTCTTTCCGAGCGGAACATGAACACGTTCGAACCCAAAACCATTCCACTTAAGCAGACCCAATTATATTTCAATCATTTCACCGATGAGGCTCTGAAGACATTGATACCGTTACGAATTTATATGAAAAGGGACAAGTTCGTGGAGTTGCCAATGAAGTTACATCCGGAACGATCTGACAGCGCAAAGACGGGATTTACACGGATTCGACTTCTTCTGGCGCGGAACACACAAGAGGCATGAGAGTGGCACTTAATACGGCGCTGCGATCATATGCACGCCGGCCCACTCAGGAAGTTCGTTCGACTTTCAAGTCACTCCACATACCATTTTTTCCTCCACTCTGTCACCTCATTATCATAAACCCTTTTGCAGGCTTACACAGACAGGTGAACCTGTAACCAAACAGCCCCGAGCAGTCTGCATATTTCTGAGCGCCGTTCGCACGCAACGTGTCTGGACAGCACTCCGCAATGAATGCAAGCCATTTCAGACCACTTTGAGTTTGACAAAATTCACTTGAGATGAGACATCACATTGGTATGATAGAGAGCTACCGAGGCACGTCTTGACGAGCAAAGTAATAATCGATAACTTTTAACATGTGTTGCCCCATGTAACCCTGGATTAAATTTGAACATGATTTAAAATGACTGGTTTAAATTTGCTGAGGTTGGACTCTGAATTGTTTCGAGAAAAAGGGCAACTCATTAAACCGAGATATCATTTTGGTAAGTTTCAAAATTTGCATTCCTGCCATCACAACGGACCACCATGCCAGCTGTCGTCAATGGCCCCGCCGTCCTCTAGCCCCCAGTGGGCCGCGGATGTGAAGCCTTACACGTGGGTCGCTCTCTTTTCTTCCGGCAAAAGCTACGTTTGCTGAGGCACCGAGACCAAAATAGATGCCAGAGAGGGTAACTGAGGCGAACCCGCCGTGGGACATGGGGCAGAATGGCCGTATTGATCGGCCAGGGCCTAATGTGGGGGGCCTCCGGCCATGCCGAGTCCCAGCAAATTCTAGGCTTCGTCGTTTCAAGCACGGACCGTGTTTCAAGTGGCTCATTTAGGCTCACAATCTTTAAAACAATTTATGCGAAAAAAGTATACATGTAAAATATTTGCTCAGAGAATATTACGACCACACAATGGGCGTGACGGAGGGACTCGGTGTGGAAAATGTGGGCCCAAGTTCTGAGAAATATCGACACGCGCCAATCCAACAAATATTAGGCCAAAACAGCGTTGAAACGTACGTTCTGAAACGTTGAACAAATTACTGACGGAATTTAACCATTCAACCATTAAACATACTGTTCCAATTTCAAGTTTAGCATGGAGGGCCCATATAATGGCAAGGACGTTTATAGAAACGGTTTGTCCAGAGAAAAAGCAGACATCAAATTTTGACACCATGAATAATGATCAGCAATACCACTTTGTAGAAGTAACAGTTACTAAATGTACCAGCTTACTGTTTTAGGCCTACTAGCTACAATTTGCTAAGCACGATACATGAAGTTGATAATGCTACCAGTTTTCAAACGGTGTCAGAACTGACAAGCGTTGTACAATTAAGGTATCAGGAAATTCGTCGCGCTGGAGAACGCTGGAACTTCGCGTGGCATGTTGGTGAGAAGCACAGTGTGTACTGGTTTGAAGCTTTCCCCAAATCGAACATTAGAAGGGTTGGGATTACAGAATACTGAATTAAGTTACATTAAGATTAACGCAATAGTGGCCTTCCTTACCTTATCACGAAAGAGAACCAATTCTGTGTACAGCTACATGTACAAGCACGAAAGAAGGTGTCCACAGAAGAAAGCATGCAGTCAATGATGTCTCAACTGTCTATGAAGACTGGTCGGGTGTCTGAACCTACGACTACTTCAAGGCTGCCATGCACTGTCCATACAGGGTTTCTGTACGTAGGTGTGCGCACTCTTTACAAAGTTGGATGTTCTCATGTCGAGAACAGTGTGCTGTGCTCCTTTTCAGCGTCTTATGATCATGATGAGGCTTTCCGTGAGAACACATGGCATAATGTGGTTGCTTCGATAACCGGCAAATTGTTTTTATGTACTGGTGTGGCATGTTCGATCACGTCTGTCCCACGCGACCCGATGCGGGGGTACTGTACATTCCAGGCCACTTGCCGCCGACCCCTCTCGTGACCAGAACGAGCAAAGCAAACGGCAGGGCAGGGCTACCAATGTGTACCTATTACGCAACCTTACTCCACGAACGAGGAAAACATGACCACAATCCAGCGGGCCGTCGATGACAGTGACGGCATGTCGATGATGTCGGTGACTTTTCTTGTTGAGGATGAGATGACCGGGCCGTATGTTGACTGCCCATACACAAGCGAAGCGAAAGGAAACACGAGTTACGTAAGTAAACCAGCACTTCTCAGTTGACTCCGACCAGGACTGCCGACCGTACAGTCACGAAGACACTCAGAAATAAAGTCCAATACTAAATTGACTGCCAGCACTGCGCATGGACGGGTCCAAGCAGTGGAACCATTGAGTCAGGAAACCTTACACGCACCGGTTGCCCATCAATGCGCTGTTCCTTTCCACATGACGGCCCACAAATCGTCAACAGTAACCGCTATAATAGCTAATAATTCTTCCAAACATGACCAGTAACAGTGCCTCAATTGAGACCGACCCGACGTTCTGAAACGAAGCGGGGGCTCTGAATTGTGTGGTGCGCAATTGTTGAACGCCAGCTGAAAGATTTCAGCCGACTATAGAAAAAGTCCGGGGCTGTGTGAGCGCATCTGAATATGAATAGCAACCGGGGAATCACGGCCGACCGGCTCGCTGGGGCCCGCGCATTCAGGCTGTCCCCTCTCCCCCATTGACAGACTATTAGTTGAAATGACCTGTTTACACATTGGTTCTATTCACCTCTTTCTGCCCGATTTCAGTATTAATCAAAGATAAACACGGGAGAAATTGGACGCTCGCACGCAAGCCGGGCTAGGGCTAATAGCTCTGGCCGAGTGGACGGACCATCTTGCAGGCCGTGGGCCGTTGAAGGCGCGGAAGTTGGTGCCGTTGGCTGAGGATGAGACAAGCTAGGCGTTCTCCAGTGCTCCTCGGGTCACGGAGGAGAAAAGTTGCGGACTGACGATAACAGAAAGATCAATCTTCAATCTATACGGAGAGACGTCATTGCGTGTGTGAACACTTTTCAGGAATACCGATTTTAGGACACTAATCAATGACTTCTGGATTCAGGTTTTCGTGAACATGTTTAACTTAAGCAAAAAATGCGCTTCCACACAAGTATCAGAATTTGGCATTTCTTGGATTGATGCCACTCCCAAATCTGGTATTAAGTGTCGGGGAAATAATGAAAAAGACAGAAGGTTATTTAACCAGGTTTTTATTCGTGATTTTCTTTCTCAACTCCTGTTTACAACTTGTCTTTTCTCGATTGCACACCCCCAAATTCGTGTGGGCGCTATGGGAGAATGTAGTGACCAATCCTAAACTAAAGTGGACACTTTTTTGGAGGGGGGGGTTCTTAGCATTTTTATCATTGTTGACATGGAGCTCACCAAGGACTGTCACCTGCTGCTACCAGGCTGCTCCCTGCCATCCAGCCAGCAGGTACGTCTCTAGGACAAGCCGATAGCCTGCTGAGACCCACAATTACGAGTGCTGATTGGAAGGGAGGATTCATTCCTCTTCAGGGAGAACAGATGTCACTCTGGAGTGACAACTTTAATCAACCGACTCATTACCTTCCGAGAGGAAAAAGTCAGGGAAAGAAAAAAGTCACCGATGTCTCGACTCAGTTCTGGTGAGGTTGCAACCTAATATGGTGCAAGGACCTTGTCTGCGATGGGCTATCAATTACAGTCAGGAGCAGGGCCGGCTATAGTGCCATGCTCGTCTGAAATGCGTTTTGAGTCTAAAAAGTCAAGTACGTATTTTATGCGTCCTGAGAATAATGCATGACGCTTATCTTTCTACGTGTCCTTTACCGTCTACCGTACCTACCGGTACCAGGGGCACTTTCAATTACACAATACTCTGCATGTGTACGCATACCATTAACAATAAAGGTATACATGCAGGTATGCCAATATGCGAACCGGCGTACATACTGTGCTCCAGTCTTGCCAAACGTGAACAATCTTCACGTTGAAATCACTTGTTTGCGCTCTCAGCGTAAAACCGAGTTTAGCCTTCAAAACAAATGGCTAGGCACAGTTGGAGACTTTTTCCCTCTGCCTCATAAAATTTTGGGAGGATTTTGTCGGCCGAAGAGTGATCCAAAAATAGGATTTTGTTTTGCTTCTTTTTCTGTCCAACAGGAATCAGCATGGCCCTAGGCAAGTTTTTTTTTTTTGGGGGGGGGGTTGGTGCACAGGTCGACAAACTCCTACCGTTGAGTTCTTGAAAATATCAGCCGGCATTTCCAAACGGTTATAACAACTCTTAGTTGGCTGACCCCGTGACAAGAACGGAGAAACATTCACACAGCTTTTCAAGCGAGTAGCTGATTTTTGCTTTCAAGTTCAACTGCTAATAATTTAATCATTCGTTTTCCGGTAAAAGTGAGTTAATTACAATACATCACAGCACAACCAGTAATACCCGTCATTAGACATAATTGACGTTCTGAAGTAACTTCTAAATAAAGTCGATTTAAATAGGATTTGGAAAGAACTAGCTGGTCAGATGTACTAGGTGTGAAAGCTAAGCAACAGAGCGAGGGTCACTACAGTACAGGTAGGGCCTAAAGTTACAATTTCCGCGCGACCAAGAGGGCACGGTTAATCATGCACAACTTCAAGAGGACTCACTCTGGGGGTGTAAGCGAGAAGAAAGGTCACGTGATGCTACGAAAACTCGTCCAGAGGTATTTCCGTTGGGTTTCCGGACATGGCAGCCGCGAAGCGAGAATACAGCAAGATGTCTCGATTTATTGAGTGTCCCTCTCGCCGCCTTGGCCGATTAAACTGGAGATTAAACTTTACAGAGAATTATTTACCGCCCTCTTACACACTCACGCGCTTAGGTATACTCTTTAATGATTCCGCCGTATAGTTATTGCATTTCACAGTGAAAATACCACTGAGGGATGGCGTCGGGTGAAAGACGGGTGAATAAACGCCCAACTTAAGTACCTCTAGTAGCTAATAGAGGGTAGAACAGAACAAAATTGCGACATCTATCCACATTCGTGGCAATTTAACTATCATGTCATCAATAACAACTGAACACTCGTTTTTATTGAAATCAACACCTTAATGTTGGTAATATACTGATGTCGTGTTTTTGTTTGGGATATTTCGCCGAGTCGTTGTCTCATTTCTAAAGATGACTCTTGTAAGCAATTTCGCTGGTCCCCACTACCCTTATAGTCAAGGACGTCAATAAGCAAATCTGAGCGCGCAGTGCCTTTGTATATAGTACACCGACTGAAGCCACCACGTCAGACACAAAAAGGTGATGGTTGGATCGCTTGGCAAGCAAGCCTTTATAATTTGCCTTTGTATTCGGCACGGTAAGATGGCCGCCGGTGGCTTCACTGACGGGTCCAGATCCGCTGGGCAGGATGAGTTGATGCCCTTAGGCTTGTATGCATTTTGCCGCGGTACAGGCGTCGCCAAGCCCTGTGATGACTTTCTAATTCATTCAATGCACGTACATGTACTGTACATTTTAATACGTGCACATGGCACGTTGACCCGCATATTCGTGTTCATAAAAATTCCGTCTAATGAAGATTATAAGAGAAATTACGGGTTGTACCACAAACAACTCGGTGCTTTTGCGGTAAGGTATCGAGGATATTTTTCGGTCAAATCTTGCACTGGAGGTGTTGAATTCGATGGGTAGGCGAGTTCAATTCTGCCGAGGAAAACATCTACGCGAAAAAAAATAAAGCTTTGCCGAAGTTTACTTTATGCATGAAAATGCCATTAAAAATCTTCATCGATTCACCGTGGCAAATTTCATGTTTACCCTGGCGATTTTCCACATTTGCGATCGGAAATAATTGTGCCACAGACTCAACAGCGGCCATGTTGGCTGCCGGCATCAAATCTCGTTAGTTTCCCAAAATCTCACGGGAAAATGACATCATTATCACGTCACCTGATAAAAACGATGTCATTGCCGCTTGAGCAAGGGACATAAGCAGAAACTAGGGACGTCTCTGGATTAGGTTCTGGTCCCCGACCTGATTATAGTCATAGATCAGTCTCATGGCAGGTGCATAACGTTATGGACGAGCTTTAATTAGAGGTATTTTAAGGAATATCCTGTCCTATTTTAGTATCTAGACGTAATATTGTCACACACACTATAAACAAAGTCCTTTTAGTTATTTGGGGGGGGGCTTTTCAGTGGAAATTTGTTTAAATTAGGCTGAATTACGTAACTTGATTTTTTCCTATTTGTTCTCAGAATACAGTCAAGTTACAGTAATTCTAATTTTTTTTCTAATAAAGTGAATCCTTGCCGATTTTCTGCTGCAGAAAAGACAAAAATGACATCAGGAAAGAGCCACCTATAACAGGAATAACTATTGGCAAGTGATGTAAACAGACATTTCTACAGGGATCCCGAATGCTATGGGCCAAAGCATTGAGAGAGTGCAGAAATGTGCTTAAAGTATACCTGCTTATCCAACCACTTTGTCATACTGTGATTTCTTGATTTTTTGTTTAAATTGATTCATTATGTCAGCGTAGAGAACAACTGGTCTTAAAGTTTGCAAAATCGTCACTTGTATCTGATAGGCATTGTCATCTTTTGCCACCTCAGCGTAACTTATATTTTTCACAACATACACTCGGGAATTCATGCCAATTGGAACAGTTGAAAATAAGGACTTACAGCTATGAAACTTCACCAATTCCGTCAATGATTCGCTTATTAAATTAATTTCATTTTATGCTTTGAATAGTGATTTTCTGACTTTTTACATAAAAGTCCTTGGACTTCTTCTTTGGTGGTGTTTTATAATAAACCTGATTCGAGTATGTACTTTCGTTCTAAGTACTATTTGCCCCGCATCAATGGGCCCAGAAAGCACTAAATTGAACGAATGAAGAAAAAGGTTACTTTCAACCAATGGACATCAAGTCGTTTCTATAAATTGGGATTGGAAAAGCATGCAAACCGACAGGAGAAAAAGAGCAGACCACAGCAACAAAAACGATAACAGTGTCAGAGCTACGATCTTGGACAGTAATCACTCCTGTTAAATGTTGAAGGGCATGACTCCGGACAGCCCTTTCCTGATGTTGTTTCCGCCGACATTCTCTTGGTGAGACTTAATTCCCTTTACAGCTTGGGATCTTCGGCGACCGTGGTGACTGCCTCGTGGATTGCCTTGGCGACGTAGTCGGCATTCTTGGTGGTGAGGGCGCACATGTTGATGCGGCCCGATTTCATGGCGTAGATGTGATACTTTTTCAACAGGAAATCAACTTGATTCGCTGTGACGAGAAAAAAAAGGTTTAACGGAATTGATTTGATCTTTTTTAACAGTCTAATGTGACTGCAATGTAAAAACGGTTATTTGATGTAAAAATTTTGAAACCATTTTGGTGACAAAGGCCAACAGTTATGCGCTCCTCTTGCGCCGAAAGACCACTGGTTTATACTGTGTGAACCACACCATGCAGAAGCACAAACCTATACCAAGCATGCCCAGGTGAGTTACAATGTAGTTGCTTCTCTCCAAGGTCCAAAAACGAAATGCCACTTACGTCCCAGGCCCGTGTAGCTGAACATGCCAATCTGGTCGACGATGTGGCTCCACTTTCCGGGGGTGCCCAGGGACTGAAGGCGTTGGTACAAGGCCTGCCTCATCTCAAAGATGCGCCCGCTCATTGTCTTGATGTGCTCTTTCCTATTTTGATATCAAAGAATGGCATTAGCTAAAAATTTTCCAATGATTAACCCTCCTATGGTTTTACAGCACAAATGTGCACAAATGCCCACAGTCACTGGTGAGCATGTAGTTTCTATATGGAACTCAAACATTAACAGCTTCAGTGTGTACACAGTAGGTTGTCAGCCCAAAATGACCCAGGGTCTTTTGTGCAGTCCTCTTCACTGCATTTGGTTTACTGCACAATGATGCACATGAAACAGTGAAGCACGGTTACTGGGCAGCACAAAAGTGCAATCTGATGTTCCTGTGAGGGACGGTTGGTGCAGTGCACAACACAACACAGCTGTGCTTCTTTTAGGTGTTTACCAAGTGACCCAAAGAGTGACTTCCACATAGGAGGGTTATAAAGCTGAACTTAACAAAGCCCACATGAATTGGCCTTATCCACAAATCAGCAATACTGAATTGAAAGTGAAAGTAACTTTTTTTTATCTTCAGAACCCAGGAATAAAAATGAAAGCAATACATAAAGTTCGTCACAAATTAATGTCATTTAAGCTGATGAATAATATCAATTTGTATTTAGTTATATTACAATAATTAAAGCCACATTTGAAAAAAAAATGACACTGAGGCTGCATCCGAATCTGTTGTCTAGAGCTACGTCTAGGTCTTCGCTCCATTGGAAGTGTGTGGAGACACGTAGACAATAGACCTAGTTCTGGAAACCCGTTTCGGACACGGCCTCTGGCTTGGCACCAAAAGTAGTCTGGCACCACCCCAATAAAAGATTACATTGAATGTGATAGTTTCAGGGAACACAATCAAAGATGGTTTCCCTGTGAATTGGCTGTATTTCACTTTCAACCTTTATCGGCCTTGAGCAGAAGCACCCCCTCTTTGGTTGAACAGCGCAAGGTAACGCATGCAAAGTGGAGTATCGACCAAAGGAGCCTGCATTTGCTAGGAAAATTGCGCCCTCTCTTGGTCCACCTCGGGGCTCACTGTGCTAACAACTGATTTTCTGTTCCACACTGATGACCAAGTACTTTGGCACATAAACAAAAATGACTGCAGAGTGGTTAAAAAACTGACTACATGAATTCTGTTGGTCAGTTCAGAAAACACGGCAATTGACGACATGTAGACTATTGGTAAGTACTAAATGAACGAGCTTACTGTTTTCCTTGAACTTCATTTTTTCTTTCAAACCGTCTCTAACTTTCTCTCCCATTCTTGTACACATATGGTGTTCTCATCCAACGCTTACATGTACATTTTAATTCTATTTAGCCATGACAAAGATTTAGAAAGTTTACGATGTGAGAAACCTTTCGAAACACAGGAGTTGGAAAGAAAAGTAGAACCTGTTTAAAGCGGAGCCACACGCGCCGTTTATGGCAACAGTCAACCAGCAAACGGGTACGGTAAGATCGACTCACCACTTTGCAAAGTACACTGGATTGTTGAGGGCCGTGCTGACTATCCGTGCCCCGTGACTGGGTGGGTTGGAGTACGTCGTCCGTATTATTCTCGTCAGCCGCGACAAGATTGCTGATTTTGTGTCGACGTTGTTCACGATGCAAATAAGATTTCCCACTCGCTCATCTGAAAAGGAGAAAGGATGAACGCACTTAGTGAGTACTGGCTCCGAGGTTTCTCTGGTAGACCAATCTTTTGTGTCAACTTTTCAAAGATACATCTTCTAGCTTCTTAGAAGGAAATGTGGAAAGCTGAGGCGGCCAATTCTGACCCAGGGAGTGACACAAACATAACATATTGGTGTTGATGAATATGGATGTTGAGCCCATGTAGGGTGGCAGTCTTCAAATTGTGTGGGTTTGAAACAGAAGTCTGGAGTGTGAGTGTCCCTAGGGAAGACACATTACAGCAATTAGGTATGGTTACCATGTCAGGATGGCAACAAACAAGACAGCGAACATGGATGCCTATACGCCAATGTGTTTCCTGAAGATTCAGATCTTCAACCCTAACACTCCCAAATCCTCCAATTTTAATACAATTTTACATACACCCTAGGGGGTTAGGGTTAAGGTACTTTTGCCTTCGATCATGGGTCAACTGTGTGAAGTCGGTGGGCACAGGGTCTTGGTAAGCATGGGCATTACATGTTCAGGAAAAACTGGTTGCCTGCCAACTTGGCAAAGCAAATTGTGTTGCTCGTCTTAGGCTCCCGGCAGATTTCTGTAAAACTGAGCCCTGGGGAGTTTCACAATGCACTCTGGCATTTCTGTAAGTTTTGTTTGACCAATTCTTTATCATCTATAAAGAGACATCCAGTAAAAAGACCAACATTAATGATATTCCCACTTTGCAAAGTTCTGATAAGTAATGTTTCAAATTTATGCTGAACATGCCAAATCCAACAAATTCCTTGAACTGCGTGTCAAGCGTTGGGAAAATCTGGCCCCCGGGTGGACCAAGGCTGGTTAAGATTAAAATCTAAGAGGCCAAGAATCAACTTCAAGGCCCTGCCCGGTGCTTACTGTACAGGCCAAAGTTCTTGGAGAACGACATGGAGGCCATCATCTCCATCCCCAAACTGACGAAGTGATTGACGGCCCAGCTGTCCCGTTCGATGTCCCCAGTGGCAAAGCCGATGTAAGCGCAGTCAAAGAACGGAAACAGCTTCCTCCTCTGCAACAGAGAAAACAAATGGCCCGAGTTATTAAAAAGATTTGCAGGGAGTGTCAATTTTTGGAGCAATGATTTTTAGATTTGAAAATATTTTCATGTTCAGAAATCGCTGTCTGCAGTTTCAACTCCACATGATGTGCTGTACCCCTGCGTTTAAAAACAAACGCAAGGCTGTGTAGATACTTTCTGGTGGCTCGGTGTAAAAAGAGCCGATAGTCAGATTAGCTGGGCACTGTTTCTATACAGATGCCGGTTCAGACTCCAAGAGGAAAGGATTGAGCGCCTTGGTCCTACAGGTCTTTCCCTGTCACATCTGACATATGATTTTGAAATTCAAAACACATTTTCGGGTTTCCAAGAGTGACGAATGAATGAAAATTTCCTACCAAACCTGCCAATAGTTTGAAATCGATTCCGGTGATGTATCCACGTCAAATAACAAAGGTCAGATGTGACAGGGACACAAAAATTTCACCCTTTTGGGCCCCTAATTTCTGGAATTACCCACCTCTTGAACTCATGCACAGAGCAGAGAGGAAGGAAACAAAAGCCCAGGACTTGTCTCTTTCCAGCAGTTTTCCAGCTTACCTGGATCACCTCAGCGATCCTCTTCCACTGTTCCTTGGTCGGGTCCACGCCGGTCGGGTTGTGAGCGCAGGCATGCAGCATGATCACCGAGTCTTCTGGAGCATTCTACGGCAATGAACACAAAGGAAGGTTTTTCATTTCTCCACAGGTTTTTCACCCGGAATCATTTTCCATGGCGAGCAAAAACATAGCTGGGCAAACAAAAACATTTGTTTCCCGTTACCCAACCCAGCCAAAATTATTGGGCTGAGCCTTCACTTTTTTTTTAAGAAAATTAATTCAACCATAACATTTTCAAGGTGTCGACTCCACCGCCTTAAATACTGCGAGCCTAATTATGGTGTACACTGAACACTAAAAAAGTGCATAGCTCTTTGTGTGTTTGATTGAAACTAATTGTACCACATACCCATCATTTTGTGTTTCAATGTAGTAAAGAGAAAAACAGTTTTTTCTGCTTGGTGGATTATTGTTTGGCTGAAAGACAAACTGTTTCCAATGCTTCAGCGAGTTTTACGAGACATTAAACCAAAGCCCCGCGATCACCTACCTCAAGGTCCTCTAGCATGCCCTCGATATCCAAGGATCTGGTTCCGGCATTCCAGTAGCGATACTTACGGACGTTCTCGTACTTCAGCTTGTTGAAGATGTTGACGTGATTTTCTGGAAGGGAAGGAAAAATGTACGGAACGTACAATATTTTAGGCCTTTTCTTAATGTACGCATTTGCATAACAGAACAAGATGTCCGAAATGACCCGCTGGGTGTCCACAAACGGCCTACTACCAAGTACCCCTCTGTTGAGCACACTGGTCCTGGTGTTTTTGTTCAAACGTGAGAGAAGGGATATTTATTCACTTGTTTCTGGCAAGTGTGGATATACACTTTGGCCTCTTTTTGTAAACAAGGAATGTACTGGCTCTTCTGTTGGATGACGGATTTTGACAGAGCTGTCCAATTTCCGTACGTATGCACATACACTACAATTTAAAGTTCTGTTGTCCGTGCCCATCAGTCATGGGAAACAAGTTTCGAGGGAGGCTGTAAGTCAGATCTGATAACTTGAGACAATTAACCCTCCTATGCTGAAGTCACTCTTTGGGTCACTTGATAAACACCTCAAAGAAGCACAGCTGTGTCGTGTTGTGCACTGCACCAACATGCAAGAGAGTGACCCTGGGCACTTGTGCATATTTGTGCTGTAAAACTAAAGGAGGGCTAACTGTTAAAAAAAATCAGGTATAACGAACGGTACTCACGCCAAGTGGGGTCTGAGACATACGGCACTTTGTAGTTCAGGTGATCAATCAGAAACTCACAGCCCAGTCGTATGGCACCCGTGCCGCTCAACGATTGAATGCCAAACGCCTACGAACAATGGAACACATGAATATCTGCTTGGTTTCCAAATTTTCCTTGGGTTGAGAAACAGGTTTCTCTAATTGATGTTTTCATACTTTTACACAGAGGTGCATTAAAAAAAGTTCTTCAAAGTGACCTTTGGGCTAAAAAACGTTGTCTGTCTGAGAGCACCTACCCTGTTCTCCAGGATGGCAGGGCTGTTTTCCCCCAGGAGCATCTTAGTGGCAGCGCTGGTGAACTCTGCTAGGCCAAGGATGGGCAGGTACTCGTGGTTCAGGCTTTCATCTGCCGCCAGCTGCTTTTCAATCTCCCGCACCACGGGCAGGACCCAGGGCTCGCCCTCATCCGTACGGTAGGCTGGAAGATGGCAGAGTGAGGAGAATGAGCCACTGTTGGATTCCGGTTTTGGTTTTTTTTTTCTTTTAGTATGAACAAGAGTATACTTGTTTGGGCCAACAAGAAATCAAATGTCTCTCCTGTACAACCAGCTCCATCCTTGAAAATTATGCCAAACTTGCATTCTTTCATTCAAAAGTCGAGAGAAATGTGAATACTTTTGGTGCCAACCGTACAGTGGAAAAAAAAATGGGAAACATAACTGTGCAGCTTTTTTTGGCTTAATTTACAGGTTATACGAATGTACATGTATGTACCGTTACGTGATTCTTACAAGCAATCCGCACAGCCCCCCGTGAATATTTCACGGACATAGACCAGACAGAGAGCAGATTTGATTCCAAATGTACATGACGTCCAGATGGACGTAAAGGGATTTATAGATGTACAGGGGACACAACTGTCGCAGTCCATCTGCCCACTATCATGATGACACCGTGGCATGTGCACGTACCTGCGTATTATACATTTCCATGCACTGTGATACAGAGTTAGTTCTCGTTTGCTATACAAGCCCACACAATGATGATAGTACCTGCAAATCCATCAATCTTTTATCAGCTAGCATGCAGTAAAGGGGAGGGGTTCTTCAGTCCTATTCACATGCCTAAGAATTGTTTTAATGTACATGGATGAACGGTGGCACGCTGTACAACGTACATTGTGTATCCTATATGCATTTACTGTCAGCTTCATCTCCAGATAAAATTAAGGTATTGAAATTTGTTAGATATCTTGCACATGGTGTCCCCTTTGTTAGTCCAGAGTTGAATGTAACTTTTTTAATTTAAAAGATGGAGATGCGAATTAATTTTGGATTTGCCCTGCCCGACGTGTATTTAAACACTGTATACTCAGCGTGTGCCCCCGAAGGCTTGTGAAAAAAAAACACGAGCTTACTAGTGCAGACGTCTGCCCTAGTAAGCAAAACTTTTTTTTCTATAGTTTTCTCAGACAAAATTTCTGTGCATCTTTTAACCCCTCTTCAATGTGTGAAAATAATTCTATTTCCTTTTAATGGTGAAGTCCATGTTTTAAAAAGAGCATATTTTTCAGAACATTTGAAATGGTCCATGCTTTTACAGACAACAGAGTGCGCTGTTGCTGCACGGACTGACGTCGGGGAAGCTTTTACTCAGTTTGTGGGTTTTTATGTTAGTTGGGGTGTAAAAAATAAATCAACCAATACAGATGCGCTCAGTCATCTCTTGTTGAACTATGGCTTTTGTAAAAATCAGTGTAATGCAAGTACCTGCAACTTTCATGATGTACATGATCAATGCTTTCTCGGATGATAATTTTCATGCGAATGGTTCTGGCGAATGCATTCGGCTACTGAAACCCAGAGGTGTGACTGTGCCTAACAGCCTGGCCTACCAAGCCTACTGTCTGGGTGATGCTTGTCTCTCCAAAGATGAACTACAGTGCAGTTGTCTCAAAAACTTGCCCTTTTCTGTTCAAACCGTAAATGCAACAACATTCCGGAGAGAGGGTTGCTCTTGGCTTATACATCAGAAAAGAAAAGGAGTCCGGTTGGCGTGGCGGCTCTGTCCTCGCCTTCCACTTCTACGGTCCGGGTTTGATTCCCAGCTCAGTGGATTGGGTTTTCAGTCCCTGCCTGATTCCACTGGTTTCATCCAGAATATTCCTCTGGGTTTTCCTCCCACCACTGAAACTGTTACTTCTTCTTTTGTCTCCTCGCTACAGATTTCTACACGTGACTACATGTAGGGTACTTTTGAGGAATCCCTGGTGTTATTTACGAATATGAATAACAATAATAAACATACTAAAAATTCTAGGTTTTTGGTGTGCAAATCAATGTAAGTTTTGACACCAGAATGACATCATATCTAGTTCTGCTTAAGAATTATAAGAATTTGCACTGACATTGCAACAAAAACATCCTGAAATATTGTCAATGCAATTTCTTTTTAAATCTGGTAAACTTGACCCACAAAATAATAAATGAATGATATGAAAGATCATTCATGTCAACCATACTCGTGCTCAGATGATAGTCAAAAAGTGCCATTACTGGATTTGCATGACTTTAAAAGTTTTAGAGTTTTATATTTCAAAACATCCAGGTAAAAGTTCACGTTGCCACTGATACAGGGTTCAAACTCCACAGAATGCAGTACTTAATTTTGTTCTGATAAGGCAACTCAAAGCATCCCTATACACGCCAACGCATTCTTGCTCGACCGCCATGCTCGCTGTTAATTAATGCAAACACTGCACATCGTCACGTGCACGTAGGCAGGCCTACATCGTACCTCCAACTCCCAAGTTGTACTTGGTGGCACTTGTATCCTCCTTGTAAGCTGCTGTCAGCGCGAACACTGGGATAGGCGCCGCCTGCTGAACCCCAGCAAATCTGGAACCCGCAAGCCTGGGTTTTTTTTCGTCATTTGTTAAATCTGCCATGGTATTTTTTGGGTGCAAAGATCACTCTAGCAAAAGCGAGACGCACACGGCCAGCAGCAGCGGCGTTTTCAAGCTACATGTACAAAATTCTTGTACATGTGTCGTGCGTCTTGACGTCGCGACGATCCCCCTAGAAAACACTGTACATGATCCAATAGGACGGAGTACGTGCAATTTTAACGGACCAGACTAGATCTGGACTATTCCATTTTAGAGATCGACTATAACGGACAGAGCTGTATAATGCACTTCCTAAAAAAATTATATTTTGAATAATTCAAATTATCGCCATAAAATCATGTTTCAAAATTCATTATGTTTTATTATTAACTTTTTTCATTGAAAAGTAATTTACAATGAAAAATGAAACTATTTTGTTGATGTTCCCCGTAGTTAAGACGAGTCCAATGTACTGGTCAGTAATTGCGCGGCCATTTTGAACGACCGACCCAACCGTAAATTGAGCAAAGTTTGGAAATTGAAGGTTCTTCCTCAATCCTCAACGAAGTTATTCAGAATTGAAGACAAGGTAAAAAGGATCTATTTGGATTAATTTAACTAAAGCAGTTGGGATAATTAATAAACGTTTTCAGTGAATTTGATCGTACTGATTTTTAATGCATACCATGTAATGATGTACAGCATGGACGGGGAGACTAAATTTTTCATTTTTTTCTGTTTTATTCATGTTGAAGTGGTCTTAAAGAGGATGTGATAAGACATACACGTATTTTGATTTCAGTTTGGATTCCATTGGACTCTGCAAAGTATTAAATGAAAAGCAGCTTTGAAGTGGAAATGTTGTATACACACGTAATGCATAGCAAGTATGATTGTTTTGTACACAAAAATGAGTGTGGATTTTAACTGAAAAACTCAAAATTACCCTGATGACTGTTTTTGTAAAATCTTTGTTCTTATTCTTCATGTTCTTGCCTTCTTATGTTTCAATTAATTAACTGCTGGCTTCACTTGAAATGTCAGAAATGTTGAAACTGGAAATTATCGGGGAGCTACAGCGTGTAAAAAAAGATGAATTTTAATCAAAGTCAAAATTTAGTTTCCAAAATGAACAGCGCCCTCACTCATTTATACATGTCCCTAGCATGGAGATTTGAGTGTGATTGTAAATGGAAATACATGTAAGCCTACAGGTGTAATCCCGGAATGAATCAACCGTCTCTTGTTTTCTCAATGTACATGTGCAATTGTTAGTAAGTTGATTGATTTCTGAATAAAATAATAATAATAATAATATTAATAAAGCTCAATAGGATACAGCCATTACATGTATTTTGCCAACTTTAGACCTAATAGGCTGAACAAAAAAATTGTTTTGCCTACGACGTTGGGGCACCGCTACTGCTGGCACTAGGTTGGATTATGTACATGTAATGGAGACGTTTAACCTGGGCTAGGTCTACTTCAACTCCAAAATTGAAAAATGCACTTTGGAGTTTTGGGACAAGCAAAGTAGGCCTATTTCATTTCTCTGTCGGCATGGTCGGTCCATGTTGTTGTCATCATGGTCAGACTGTGGTTTGTTTTCCCTATCTTACAGTCGCAGCCTAGCCATGCCCAGTAGAAAAGGCAGAACCCTCGCAGAAGTGCTTGAGGACTGCCAGAAGGGAATCCACAACCATGCCAAACTGACAGCTGCTCTGAGAATCACATATGATGAGGTTTGTATGTCACAGCCTCAGATAACAAGATAAACCCTTCCCTTGAATATACATATAGTAATCCTCTCTTTTATATGTATAAATCTCTCAAAGACAAAGTAAATGATATATATAGTCCCTTCAGCTTGGGATCCTCGTGCATCAGTGAAACAATAAAAATTACCTAAATCCATTTGTTCTGTGTTTATCAAAAATGAAGCAATGCACCATCACTTCACCAGACAGCACAAGAAACTTCCTCATCCTTTTGCGCGCACCACTTTCGCACAAAATACTGTCAAGCATGAGGGTCCAAGCTGTGGCATTCTTTAAACATCTTTAAACAGAATCTATGGAACCTTAGTACAAACATCCGAACAATCAGGAATTCACCGTCGTCACGGACACTATCTTCTTCATCAACAGCTTGATGACAAGACAGCATTTCACCAGGAGTTTTTGGGTTTCTTCAAGCGTGCGCTGATCATTTTCAAGCGGGAGCCCGCCGTGGAGCGAACCTTGGACTTTGTGGCCAGGTTTGCTGCGTCGTTTGCCGTCGCCGTAAATTCGGGCGACGAAACAGAGGAGGAGTTGCCCCAGACACCGGCCAACAACTTCATGGTCTTCCTGTTTGCATTTTTGTTGCAGGTTCGTACGCAGAAACCCTTCTTCAAATAAAAAACAATTTATCACGATACAATGTCACACACTTTTCTGAGGATTTGCACTGATCTGGTCTTCCTGACAGCACCACAATGCCCGAGACCGAGCCGTGCGTTTCCGTGTCTGCCAGATGATCAACAAGCTGCTTGTCAGCCTGGGTGATGAGGCCCAGATCGACGAAGACCTCTACGAGCAGATCTACGACAGCATGCTGATACGCTTGCACGACAAGTTCCCGGCCGTCCGCACCCAGGCCGTGACGGCCGTGGCCCGTCTGCAGGACCCCTCTGACGTGGACTGCCCAGTCATAGCCGGTACTTAATGACGTCTTGCCATTGCAAAGAGATGAAGTTAGCCAGTAGTTGAAAAATTTCATTGATGATTTTGATGAAGTTTGTACAGCATAATTATTTCATGGACTCAGCTCTAAGAACTACCCACTTTTGCTGTCAATTTCTCATAATTCATCCCTACCATTTCTTCATTTTGTGAAATAATTCCACCATCGTTGCAACATTTTCTTCTTGATGCACCCGCTCATTCAGCATATATGCACCTGATTGAGCACGACGTCAACTACGAAGTGCGCCGTGCCGTGCTGTTGAGCATCTCCATGTCCACCAGAACGCTTCCCAAAATTCTGGACCGCACTCGGGATGTGAAAGACACCATCAGAAAGGCTGCCTTCCAAGTGAGCCAACGAAACAACTTCCTGTAGGGAAAGACCCTCGAAAGCTCTGACTAAATGTTATCGTGGAGTTGAAACCCTTGGAGTGGAAACCTTTCTTCCTCTGGTTTGCAACAGCGTGTCACTTGCTCGCGATGCTATTTAAATTCCCTGATTTTTACACCGCACAGCTCAGGCATGCCAATTTTCTCCAAAGCAGCTGATTGGGTTTTTGTTACCATTTTACATGCCCTTGCATCTCAAAAAAACCCTACTGAGTCGTGTGCAGTGTGGTATATATCCCCATATTTCTCTGAATTCCCAGTTGCATGTTGATATCAAGGCATTTCGTCTCTTGTCCATCAGTTAGAACAAAGAGCTGGATTTTTGTCAGTCCTTTTTGAAGTATCAACAGACATCACCATTAAAATTGACCTGAAGTCCACTGCATGCGAACTGTAATGGGTAATTCCAGAAATTTGGGGTCCATTTTTTGTTCGTGTCCCTGTCACAGCCGACGTATGATTTTTTAAGTTCAGAACCAATTTTCGAATTTCCAAGAGTGTTGAGTTTATGCAAATTACCTGCGAAACAAATAGTAATCACAATAGTTTGAAATCAATTCCGGTTATATTTCCATGTCAAGTAGCAAAGGTCAGATGTAACAAGGACACAAAAAATGTCACACTTTTGGACCCCTAATTTCTGGAATTACCCTTATACTAGATTTGTCTGAGAATTTTCAGTTGAGCACTCATGCTTAAATTTGGATATAAATTCTTTTTCTGGATTTCTTACTTGTCAAACGCAGGTTCTGGCAGAGAAGGTGCATATTAAGGCCTTGACCATCGCCCAGCGAGTGCAGCTGCTACAGGATGGGCTGACGGATCGCTCAGGTTGCTCCATCATCCCTATCTGTCTGTCATAACAAACACAAGGCCTCCTTTAAAACTGCAGCAGTGGACAACTCTTTTTGCCCACGTCAGCGTTACCTTGCAGGTGACGCAAAGCCCGGCACCTGCCATGTCCTTTGACATAGGCAATAGTCTCACTTTCAAGATGCTTTTGTCAGTCCCTAAAGAGTCTTGTTTCCAACTTTGCCCAGTTATCTCTAAAAAGGGATTTTATTGTCCTCATTAACATTTTGGCCTAAAACGTGACACCTCAAAGATTTCAAGGCCTTACAAGATCACTTTTCAACAGTATATTTCGTGAGTACGAGTTTCATTAAAAAAACTCAACCAATACGTACAATTCCTACAGTTTCAACTATTCCAAATAACACACTGGCCTCTCAGATAATAATGATCCAAAGATCTGGCAGCTGGGGATGTCTGTAATGTCCGACTTGCACTTGTGGGATCCAGACGGCTCAACACGGTCATGTCTTAATCAAATGGCTACGGCTTTAAGATAACATGCGTCTATGGGAGGCAGTTGCAGTCGCTAGCTAGTTAGTGGCTTCTATAAGAATGCATGTTGTTTCAAGCCGCAGTCATAACTTTTGGTCACGTCTACTTTTGTCATTGTGTTCAGTGGGGTTTCCAATTAGAAATCTCTAACAACCCCATCCTTGCTTGTTCGCCCTGGCCTCCTGCAGACATGGTGAGAGACACCTGCTCGGGCAAGCTCCTCCAGGCCTGGCTCCGCATCTTTGACGGCAATGTCCTGGAGCTCCTGGGCTGCCTGGATGTGGAGAACTCCTGCAAGACGGCCGAGCTGGCCCTCGACTTCGTCCTAGGGAAGGCCCAGCCCCAGGACCTGGTGGACAACTTTGACCTACTGGACAAGACGTGAGTACGGCTGCGTCCTGAAGTCTCATCTACAGCTGATCCATGATGCAAGTCTCAAGACTGATTTCAAGCTTGCAAATTTTACAACTCTGGCAACAGACTGACCATAGATGTCATTGGAGCTAAAGAGAAAGGAACTTTTCCCCCGCCATTTTGTGATTTTTAGCTATATTCTAATGACTGTACGGTCTTGGTCTTTCCTGTGAGGTATTGGTCCGACACTTAAGTTTTGGTCTTGGCCCTCAGGTATCGATCTCAATCTCTAAGATCTAGCTCTCAACCACAGCACTACAGCCAGTAGGCCAACAAAGCCACCAGCCACAGGCTACAGTTCCCTTGTGTAGATATGCATTATCCTGGCGGCCATGCCCAAGATCTACAATATAACTTGTGCATCAGTTGTCATTACATTTTGACACTTTATGTCAGTTTTTTTTGCTAATCTCTTGACCGTTCCCTAAAGTGTCATCACTTTTAAGTTCCTGATTTTGCAAATTATTGTGTTGCCACTTGTTTGTTATTTGCCCACTGCATTTGTTTTGTTTTTTTTTCGGTCTGTCTTTCTCTCTACGAGCAGGTATGTCATTCCGGTAGACAAGTTAACATGTGAGAGCGCCCTCTACTGGCAGTGTCTGTGCAGCTTCTTGAAAGGCCAGGGTGCCGAAGGGGAGGTGTTGCTTGACAGAATGCTGCCCAATGTCACCATATTCTCGGACTACATCAGAAGGCAAGACCCTTTTCCCTAAAAAATTCCTCAAAACTTGTGAACCTCCTCTGCCAACATATTCTATTTGAACAGTTGACCACTCTTCTCCATTTTGTTCTGAGACGTTGCTCAGTGTCAAAAACCTCCAAACGTCTTGAACTTTAATATCATCTTTGTTGGTCACAGATCTTACCCCTTGTTTAATATTTCATAATTCTACTGTATTACATTGTTTAAAGGTTTGTGTTATTTTTCTTAACGCTGTTTCAGCTTTTACTTGTGTAATGGACCTGTTTGTCTCACATGGATCTGGATCGCAATCAGTGATCATCTGGATCGTGATCAGTGATCCCCAAAATGGCTCTCGCTATCCATTAGACGGGTTCTAGTGTGTCCGTGAACCGACGTCGGATCACTGAACCACGTGACACAGACAGGCCCAATGTTTGTTCATTGTCATTTGAACCTTTAGCAGTTGTTTATAATGTGAAGTTGTAATTCGCTTCATGTTAATTATTGCCATTTTTTTCCTCGCGGGACGCCTAAGGGTAGTAGTTTTAACTGAGGAGGCATCTCTTCTTGACATCCTTCCGCCACAGTTTCCTGGACAAGCTCAAGTCCACGGCCTTGAACGAGACAGAAGTGGAGGAGACACTGAAGCAGGAATTTGTAGCTCAGCAGCTACTGAGGCTGTGCGGGATACTAGACCTCTCCGACGAAGTCGGCAGGTGTGTCATTTACTTTGGGGATGACCCGAGTAGCTTGTCCTACGCATTGCGTTGAAATATCGAAACTTTGAGCAGTTGGATCTTTTCACTGATTCACGATGTGGCCCTTGAATATAGTAACCAGCTCGACACTGTCCCAGCCTTTTTTAAGTGCTTTTTGTATATTAATGCTCTGCACTCAAACGAAAATGAAAACAGTTAGGATTTGGAGGCTGTCGAACCTGAAACCGGGCCTACTTTTATAAGTCTGAAGTTTAGAGGTTGAGGTTTCTGAAACCATTGACAGGAAACACCTTGATGGAATGATTCGCGACATGCTGACCGCCCCCCATATTCCCGCTTCCCTGGTCCCCCTCCTGGTCAGCCACTTTGCCGTACTCCACCCCGGGGATGAGGAGCAAGTGACGCTGATGGCAGAGATCATCGCCGATGTCCGCGAACCTATCTCTGTGCTAGAGACCAGCATAAGTGAGGACGAGAAACGCAAGAAGGAACTCAAGGTACTTGACCACCAATAATAGTGATTCTCCCCCAAGAGAACCCTCTTTCTTGGAAACCATCAAAGTGGTTATTCTCGCAGTCTATAAATGATATGATTGATTACAAGAATCCCTCAGATATGTCCAGGTGCATTATGTTTCTGTAGAAGTTATTTCCTGTAGACATTAAACTAGAAAATGTGCCCCGGGGAAAATAGTTAGCGGAAAGTTTGTGCTTTTCAGGGCAACTTTTTTGCAAATGTCTTATGGTATGGTATTGGTTTTACCTAATTAAAGATGCCCTCAATTTACAAAAAACACACGGTGTTGGACTTTAATAGACATCCAGTGACTGTAAATGCTACTGGTTTTGTGCAAAAGACATGTCCGAACTTGCCTTGGGGGTGATATTTGTCCCGCCAGCTCGCCAGCGTGCGCGTGGAGTTGAACCAGGCCCGCGATGCCCTGGAGGACTGTGTCAGTAAGGAGGACTTCGGCCGCGCTGCTGAGCTGAAGAATTTGGTGACCGAACTGGAGGCCAGCAAACAATCTCTGCTGGAGGAGTCCAGTGTCAGCTTCAGGGAGGTTCGCTCCGAAAAGGTAGACTTGAAACAGGCAGGATGTATTATGTCTTACTTAACTCCGTTACTTAATTTCTGCCATCTTACCACATTCTTTTACAGCCCTGTGTTTTTCTTATACTGTCATAGCCAGCAGAAGGCTAAAGCTAACCTTGTACGCAAGATAAGTGATGGATTGGAGAATCTTTATGCAGCTTTCCATTCATTGTTTTGTGTCGATCTTGATCCACTTCGGTTTGAACGTCTTTGATCTTTTAGAATGATCCGGGCACCTTAGTGAAGTGCCTCACTATTGCTAGTGAGGTCCTCCAGCGTCTGACGGCCAAGGGCCTCAACCCCACGTTGCAGACCCTCATGGACACTCTGGTTAGTTTCTGACGCGGTCGCCATTTTCTGCATAACTGTCATTTCCTGTTTAACAAGACTCACATTTTATTTTCCCTGAAACCCATCTGTTTGGGATTCCACAATCGCGTCATAACTTTCAAGAGGTACCAGACAGTGTCTGGTAGTGAAACTTAATTATGTTCCTCAGGTAGGATCAAAAGAAGACCATGATATTCAATGACCGTTTTGATTTAAGGTTCATTTCATGTTGATATTGATATTGATATGATTTGATCTGATTCAATTTGATTTGATTCAACTTGACTAGAAGTGACTTTATTTGACTGATATTTCTTTTTTTCTTTTCTTTTTTCCTTTTTTTTTGTGGAAATCAGGTTTTGCCAGGAATCCAAAACACCGACCCGTCAGTGCGGAACGTGGCAGTCAAGTGCATTGGACTTGCCTCCCAGCTCAGCCGCGACTTTGCCCATCGTCACCTGCTGCTTTTCATGCAAGTAAGTCAGATTTGACCGCATTGGTGGAGCCTCTTGCTTCTTCACATTGCATGTGCAAATTAATGGCAGAAAACTGAATAACTTAGCAACAACTGAAATTTACACACATTACTTGTTTGCGGCTTTGTTTATTTTCCATAGACTTGTGTGTTTTAACTAGCCATAGCCAAGTCATTTGGACACAACCGGAGCAGTTCAAAAACATGTGATCAGTGAATTTGGAAATATTTACTGTTCCATTGAAAATTTTTTTCATGCCTTCAATGTTTTCTTAAAGTATAAATCGTCAAGTCATGGTTTATCTTCTTAAACTTAGCGTTAACACTAACTTCCCAAATCCCTCGGCATCCACAAAGACCTTTGGGGAATTTGTGTACTAGAGCTCAGCCTCCGTTCCTTCACATGTGGCTTGGTGTCCTTTGAAAGTTAGTGAAAGAATATGCCATGTCGTGCCTTGGGCACCATACACCATATAGGTTTACGCCTAGAAAAGTTAAGGTAATAAAATTTGGGACTGACCTCTCGATTCTGCAGATCTCCCAAGTCGACCAGGAGACCATCCAGGTCACGGCACTGCAGTCCATCTTTGATCTCCTCCACACCTTCGGTCTGGATGCCTTCAAGATTCCTCCAAGTGCTCCTGAGACTGGCGATGGCGAATCTCAGACCCCGGCGGAGAACCGAAGGGACAGCAAGGGCGAGGAAGGGGTGCAGCAGGACAAGAGCACCGCCAGCAGCGTGCTGGCCATCTTGACTGGGTTACTGGACAGTGAGGTAGGTGGTTGGACTCAAGGGGATGAGGGGAAGGGTAATGGACCCCCTTGATGGCTGGATGGGGTACCAAAAAGGTGTACCACACCAAGAGTGTTGCAAAGTGCTGAGGCGGAGTCAATTTCTCAGAACTGGTGTTGCAACAGTCCTCAACTACATCAAGCCCAATCTCGTACCCAGGTCTTTGTTTTTCAACTGGATCAAGGAATGTTCTGTTGAGTTGAGTGCCCGGAGATCTGTCCGGAGGGTTGGGGTTCAATCCTTATGTCAGGATTATTTGCTACACCACAGAGTGCCGATGTGCGGACGGTGGTCGCCGAGGGGATGGCCAAGCTGCTCCTCTCCGGCCGCGTGACCAGCCCCAAGCTCTTGTCTCGCCTCCTGCTGCTGTGGTACAACCCCACAACCGAGGAGGACCTGCATCTCAGGCACTGCCTGGGAACGTTCTTCCCCGTCTTCGCATTTGCTTCAAGGTAAAGATGGACTGCTTTTCGACTTAATAAGAGATGAAAGTAGTAGAAATCTCATCACACTCCATTGGGCCCATTGTGTATTTCAGAGAGTCTAGGTCTTTTCAGAACAAAGCATGTGATGTTATGTCGGCTCGAATGTGTTCAATGTGTGTGTCTAGCCGTTTACACCTGTGCATGTTCTGGGGCTGTACTTGAACTGATGGAATGAAACAGGGGAGATAATTTGCCAGTGAAGTGAGGATATTTCTGCGGAGTAATGTGCGTTCTCTTTGCCGGAGAAGTACGACACTTTAAACACCTATTGTTTGATCTTTTTCCCGATTCGCTTTTCTGCCTGTTGATACATCTCCAACGTCCATTTCATTCCCTCTTCGTTTATCCCTAGAGCCAACCAGGACTGTGTGGAGGAGGCATTCCTACCGACCCTGGCCACGCTGTTCAATGCTCCGACCACCTCCCCACTGGCCCAGGTGAACGAGAATAACGTGGCCGAGCTGTTGGTCCACCTGACGGATCAGCGCAACCTGCAGCAGGAGACAGACTTGCAGGTACGACTTGAGAAGATGCGTTGTTTAAGACGTTTTACTTATCAGGATGGAGAAAAACGAGTGTTCGGTGAGGCATGATACCCTGAGCTGCTTCATTCTCACATCAAATTGGCCATCACTTCTAGTAGACAATTTGTTACTCTTATGTTTTTTTTTTCTGGTACCCCATAGGAAAGTTCTGTTCACGACAGTCTCAGCTTAAAGCTTTGCAACAAGATACTCGGTGATATGGAGGCGCCAGGGGTGCGGGTCCTGTGTAAAGTCCTCAACACGCTACACCTGTCCCCCTCCAACGCTAACGTCTGGAAGGACCTCAGTGTGCTGGCGGAACAGATGGTAGAGGTGAGCTGATCATGAGATTGATCTTCCAAAACGATTACGTCAATTATTCTCTCTTAAGGCTATTGCCAACTGCCATGTTGCTCTAATTGTAATTAATATCAATTATCTACGTTTTTTTCTGTTTATACTGCATTTACAACCCTAACGTCTCAACTCAAATGAAAACTGTTCCAGTACATTGTCAGTTGTTGTGAATATTACTACACTTGATCTGTTCTGCTCCATCACCGCGAACTGCGGCTAACAAAACCTTTTGAGTTTATTAAATGCACCCTAGTGGACAGTGTGACGAGTCCAGTGTGGGTAAGAAGCAAACGTAATCGTTCTCCTGCTGGTTAACAAAAATGTGAATATTGCGGTTTCAGTGGCAGACACCCATTGATACCAGGGTGAAGGTACAGTTGAAACGCTGCTTTTAAATAAGAGGTCATTAATAGACCTAGAACATAATGATATAACACAATGTTTACCGTGGTGTATTGTGGGTGAAAGATGGGGACAGCATAACGTGCGCTGTTGCCAGAACATCATGCCCATGGAAAATTGTCAGAAAATATCCTGAGATTGAGAAGGCCTTTGTTATCAAAATGGTTCGTGTTAAGTGTTGTGTGCCATTGTGTGTATCGAGGGCATGGCGAACGCCAGAGCTGCATTTTTACAAGCTTCCACGAGACCGCACGTTTGCTCTGTCTAAAGTCGCGCGAAGGCTTGCGTGACTGACGATTGTGTCCGCCGTCATTGACTTCTATTCCCGTTCCCCACGTTTCACCCACAATGCGCCGCTTTAAACGTTGTGTTACATCATGTTTGAAGTCTATTGAGCTTAATGTTGGCTGCCCTGAGCACACCCCCTATGCTCTCGTCGCCTGCTGTGCAGCAGCGTCTGTTCAATTGTTCCTTCTGACTTTGATTTTGACATGCTTTGGCTCTCTCCTTCAACGTCTGTTGCCCCCTCCCCCCCAGAAAGCCGAGGAGAGGATGGTCAGGAAGCACCTGGAGAAGTTTCGGCAGAGCCTCCAGACCCACCGGCAGGGGGACGTCGATGGCGCCAGACCTCTGCCCCAGGGAGGACATGAGCTAGAGACCGGCCAGGCTTCGGGGGCCGAGGGAGAGGGGACACCTGGGGACCACCAGACTCAAACCACCGGAGGAGGCGAAGCCGACAAAGTATACCTTCAGTTGACATTTATACAGCAGCGCAAGTGTTCCTGTCGAGCGGGACACAGGGCCTGATCCTCACGCACGGAGTGAATAGGTCTCGGTGGTCCCAAGATTACGATCTTGACACTTTGGCAAACTGCTATCACAGTCCACAGAGCTAGATGGCTCATTTCATAGTGCACCTTTATTGCATTTGAGAGGTACTAGGTTCAAATACCAAACGTAGTCACGTTAAGTCTTCAAATTTTGGGAGTTATGACTATGTTTACCTACCAACAGCCATTTGCAAGCAACAGAGAGAACTCACCATCGCCGTCTGTCTCCATCGCTGTCGTCATCAACAATTTGTTTATTTACACGATCGTTGGAATTTTGTTGAACCAAAGCTTTTATTTTTGGTAGTTGAATGCTATCATCTAAGTTTGATTTTTCAATATAACAACCACTGTTTGTCTCTGCAGGCCGTCCAGCAAGTGGATGATGCCGTAGCCACCCCCCTTGCAGACCGTGTCCCCCCAATCAGCGCCTCACCAACTGGTAACAGTGGAAATGGTACCGTCAGTGAGGGAGAGAATGACGGTAAAGCAGGATGTCGAGTTGTAGCAATTCTAGCGAAAGGCTTGAGACAAGTTGCCCTCCCTGATGTTATTTCAAGTTACCTTGGGCACAACATTTGCTGAAGACGTCAACAAATTATGTTTTTTTAATGTGATGTTTGCGATTTTTTGGGATTCCAGTTTGTTTTATGTCTTTTTTGAAACATTATCGATAATGAATTAAAGTGGATTTTGGCAGGAAATGTTGTGCATGCATCAGTGGAATTGGATCTACATGTGGGCTACATGCGTTTTGGCCTCCACATGGATTAATGAACTGTGACGATTTTTTTTTTCAAAATTCATAAGATGTTCACAAAATGTAATATTTTTGTCTGACCGCGTCTTTGCCCCAGGAGCTGGCAAGCTGCCAAGAACAGGAGGTAGAGGTCAGAGGTCACGGAGGAAGCCGCCTCCAGTGGCACAGGAAGAGTGAGTCGAGAGAGAAACCACCCAAACTTATGCCCAGAAACTCAATGCCGTCCCACGGTGGCGTTGTCTACGATTCAAATCCAACTTGCGTCAGAGTGAATTCTCCAGTCTGAGAAACAACAGCTTTGGTGATGAGCGCCAGTATTGAGGCAACCTGTTGCAGTCAGGGTCGCCAGCCTCTCCTCTACACTTGCCAATTCTTTTTAAGCTTTTGTAGAAAATTGACTGAAATATTGATCGTTTTGAACTGAATGATTTCTTTTCTCGGCCTTTCTTTGCTTTAATTCAGCATTTCCTCGTTTTTTTTTTCTTTACAGTGACACGGAGAATAGTGTGTTTGAGAGCCCAGCCTTGCAACCTACTCGCCCCAAGAGGTCAAGCAAGCGGACAAAGGTCAAGATGGCAGCTCTCCTGAGCGACAGCGAGTCTGAAAACGAGAAGTCAAAGTCAGTTCCTGTCAGATTGCATCACCTCATCAACATGCATGTTTTATTGTCCTGAGAACACGATACGTCCAAAAAATTAATTTCTGACGTTTGCATTTTTCCTTATTGCAATTTCTGTCTGTTTTCACAGCAATGAAGTTGAGTGTCCTTTAAGATGTGTTAAAAAATACATAAATTGACCAAGATCAGGCATGAGTCGTTTTGTTGGATTGCGTCACACAATGGAGCAAAGTCCATGATTCTGAGCAGCATTTCACTCGATTTTGTTTTTTCATAAAGTTGAAAATGATGCATTTGCTTTTCTGTCGAATCTCACAGGTTCAGTACTCGTCGATCAAGGAATGTCCTGGCCGCCATTAATACAGACGAAAGTTCTTGACGGCGCCAAACACCAGCAAGACAAAGGCACAGAATGGAGGCCAACTTGTAGTTCATTTGTCATTTCGCAAAAGTTTTTTTTTTAAAATAGGCAGCGTTTATCAATTGCGTCTTGTTTTGTGGTGGCCGATTGGCATGATTTGTAAAAGTGGAGATTTCTATCATTTCATGTACAGTACTGACATTATTACCTTATTAGCAAATATGTTAAGCCGTGAGAAATGGTTTGAAAAAATCTCCACACGTAGTAACACCATTTATGTTTATTCGTAACAATTAGCAGCAATTTGTTTTCATGCCAGCGTAGTTTGTCATAAACGCTTGTCCCTTACAGTGTTTTAGAATAGAATTACATGTATGAAGTATTTGTCACCTGCTGGCTTATAATACGGGCGTTTCACAGTAGTGCGCCTCCAAGAGTTTGCAACGCGTTGGCCAATCACAATGCGCGAAATCTGTCGGGGGCCCAGTGCGCGTTTGGAAAGGGTCGACAAATTTTGCGCGCTGTGATTGGCCAACGCGTTGCAAACTCTTGGAGGCGCACTTTTGTAAATCGCCCGTATTGGAAAACAGTTTATTGATAATGTGTCTATGGACGTTATAGTTATGTTTCCTTGAAAATGTTGGTTGTGTATAAGACCATAAAACACTTTAATGTGACGTTTTCACTTTTCGTTCCTTCAGAAATAGAATACATATGTTGTACGATGCATCGCCAAAGGTTTTAGCCTAACAACAGGGGCGACATGTACATGTATGTAAGAGAAATTAAAGTAACCGTAGTCTCTTTTCGAAACCGAGCTCTTGTACTTTTTTTTGGTCGTGTTTCTGCGCGGCTGTGTTGACGTTACATCAATGAAATGTTTGTTGAACCGCCGTCTACAGGCCGTGACGAATGAAAACATCGCCGAGTTTTTCCTTTCCCACTTCGTACTGATCGTTCTGTGCGGAAGTCGGCTTATGGTTTTCGTTTCACTAAAATTAGAAAGTGATGAATCGGATGAGTTTTGCTCGCTGCAAGTCCGGTACATGTCAGCTATTTTTTGCACCTAATTCAATGTCGCGTTCTGGCGCTGGAGCGACGCTTACCAAACGCTAAACAATAGCTTAAAAAGAAAGGACATAGTCACAGTGTACAATTCACAATTGGAATCCTTAGTGTGTGCTGTGGGCTCTGCTTGCTTTATTCTTCCTGTCCACAGTGGCGTGAAAAGTTTGAGGCAAATGCAGAAATCTGCCTTCCCCCTTTAAAATATACAGAAGTGTAACAACCGTATTCAAGCCACGTTTCCCATGTTTTTTGCGATGTACAGGCTCCTTGTATAGGAGATGTGTGGACTCGAGGTGACTGTCGGAGATGTTCCTTCAATTTAGACAGTCTGTTTCTTGCATTGTAAGGTTCTGGTTTTAATTTGCCGTTTTCGGCTGGTCCCAGCAATGTTGTTATTAATAATAAATAAAATACGTTCTTATTAATAATATAGATTTATATTGCGCACTTTAATATCCGGAAAGGCGCAATCCATTACATATATTATTACCCCTGCTCACTGGACCCATGAAACATTCCAAATACCATCTCGGCTTCCTGGGGAGTATTCAGCTCGATCTCGCTATTTCGGCGCAACGCAGCTAAATCAAACCCAATAACCATCTCTGCTTTGGCAGGGTACCCAATTACTCCTGGGTGGAGAGACGCAATGAGTGACAAAGTGCCTTGCCCATGACCACAGGCTGGATTCGAACCTGCAACCTGCGGCTTTACTCGCCGACTACAAATCCGATGTTCTTAACCACAAGGCCACGGCACTCCACTATAACAGTTGATTACAACAAAAATGTAGTACGTGTACATGCATGTCAAGACCCTGGTCGTCAGACCATCTGGTTTTTACCTTTTCTTGAATAAACCATCCGTATACTATTGACGCAGTTACCTAATTACCTTACTTTTAAATACAATGCGCGAGAAGACACTTGGACCGAGCAGAGAAAGCCTCGCTACCCTGCCACGTGCAACCACGTGACTTGCCTTCTGTCATTTGAGGAAAACTCGAATAAAAAAATATGCATCCGATATCTCTGAGGCGTGATATCGTTGGTGAATAGTCAATTAACGTGGTTGCATGCAAGGAACGGCTTCTCAACACGTCTTGAGAAGAATCAAATGAGTACCAGATTTTACACTTTGTTGAGTAATATTAAATGCCCGTTCATCTCATTAAAACTTTAATAGGCTAGTTTTAAAGCGAAACACTGCCGACATCGATTAATGGCTCTGTTTATGTGAATCGAAAATGGACTGACAAACAGCACAATGCTCTTTCACAGTTCAGTGAATTGCGATCGTATTAAAACAAATGAAATCAAATGAAACTGCCAGGCTCGTCTTCATCCTGTTGCGACTACAGCCATTTGAAAGAGATTTTGTACAATTTGCGCATTCAGGATGTATATACGAACATGCAGTTTTCTACCAGCGGCGTGCCCAGCTTTCAGTGTCGGGGGAGGGGGCAAATTCGCGGTCCCGACATGTTTGCTTTTATTTCGTGGTGTTGTTTCCTAAGCGTTTGGTGCTAATAATTTATAAATAAGTATACCTAGGACTTTCTTTCCTACTCACCTATGAAGTATTATTTGCACACAAACAAAAAACAAAACCCTCGGGGGCTGCCCGCCCCCCCCCCCGCTGGATACGTCACTGTTTTCTACCCTTGTCCTCAGTCATTGATGTTTTGATGTGGGTATGCTTGACCGAGCAGACTGCGGACACTGAACCCGTAGCGCGAAGCACCGTGGGCACCGACTCCTTGTCCTGGGCCATCCGTGCTCTCGCCTCCAGAAGGAACGGCTTTCTCGCACTCTGGTTTCAGCCGATCCTGGCGGGGACCTGCTACAGTGGCCAGCGTCCCTGTGCCAGCTGCCTTGCCTCCGCCCTGCTGCCTGAGTTCGGCAAACTGCTTGTTGGCAAATGCTGCAAAAGATGCTAGGAGGTTGTCGCTCTGGGGAGAAGACTGATAGAGGCACGGCTTGCGCTCCGGCAGGGGACCAGCGCTCTCCTCCTGCCCCATGGGGTTTGGGAAGGGGAACTCAGGGGTCAGGACGGGTGACGAGGCAGACATCTTCACCAAATTAGCAGAGCTGTTGAAAACCTCGTCAGCCATCGTGGACAGTTTGGAACTCTTGTGCAGGTCCTGCCCGTCGGTTTTGCTGTTGTTCTCGCGGCGTTTGCGCTTCCTGCGGAAATTACCGTTATCAAACATCTTCTCACAATTGGGATCAAGGGTCCAGTAATGTCCCTTACCGGGATCGCTGTCTGCCCTGGCTACTTTGACGAAGCAATCGTTGAGCGACAGGTTGTGACGAATCGAGTTCTGCCAGCCCGCCTTGGACTTCTTGTAGAAGGGGAAATTCTCCGCCACGTACTTGTAGATGCCGCTGAGCGTTATCTTCCTATCGGGGGCCGACTGGATAGACATGGCAATGAGTGCTGAATAGGAGTACGGCGGTCTGACCATCTTGTACAGATCGTGCTGGGAGGACAGGGAAAACCAGCCAAAGTCCGGGGAGGGGAACCCAGCCGTCGGGTAGCACGGAGCCGCACCGCCCGCCACCGCTGCAGGGCCCTGAGGCGACGAGAACTGGTAGGACCCACCGCCGCACGCCGATGGCGTCATGTACGGGGACGGCGCAGTAGGGGGCGAGCCCAGGTTGTAGGCGGGTGCGTTGGCCGTGAAGGCGGGGGACGTGCCCCCGAGCCACACAGACTGACGACGCGGGTAAGAAGATGTCATGTTGTAGTCGAAGGCAGACCCAGCGAGATAACCCGTGGCCATTGCCTGCTGCTGTATTCCCACTGAGGAGTACATACCGTGGAACGTGGGATGCATTTTTGTCCAAATATTCCCGACTAGCTACTCCACTTTCATTAACGAAAAAATTCAAACTAGTGGCCTTCCTCAGAATGAACTCAAACTCCGTGTCAAGTCAGCAAGTAATATAGGTCGACTACATGTGATGTTGCTGTCGCTGAACCTGTAAAATGCCTTTAAGCATTTTAACGGTTTTAATTAAGCCCTTGTTCACTCCAAGACTGCGTGCGCAACGGAGGCACGCGATCAGCCAATCACATCCCAGCTCTGCCGTTGTGCTGAAGTTACACTTGAGCGCGCACTTGCTGGACCAATCAGAGTGGTCCAATGGTCCGATGGTATTTCATTAGTCGTCTGCATCTTTTGCAAAGCGCGAGGGGTAGACCTCGCTTCTCACTGCAGGACTTTGTTTTAGTAGGCACCTAAATGTTGTTTATACTGCGATAATAGTTCTGTTGCTAGATACAACATTATGTCGATAACGCTAACGAGCTAGGATTGGGACGCTTGCGTCGTGTAATCTACACTGTAAATAAGAACCATATTTAACTTCAGATCTGTTCTGTTTACACTCGAACTTTCTTTGCATCCATGAATATAAAGTCAGTTGAAATGTAGCCATTGTGCAAGCTAAATTCCGACACAAAGTATTAGTGAAAGCCTTTTGGGGGGGATAATGCACGTGTCCTTCGGCTAAAAATGTCCATTATTGAAGAGAATAACCGTTTCTGTAGTTTTCCTTGCACCAAAGCGCCTGCAACAATCCACGCAGTCTCTCCGCTGAAATATCACAGAAGCCATACAACACAGGGAGGCAGATATTTCATAGGTTTCATGATGACAAGCATCTTCTTTGTTTTATAAAATGCCAAAATGTCGAAGGCTGTTTCGAAACACGTGGGCTCACTGCACGAACTAATTTAATCCACCCTGGTCCATCTCCTGGGAAATAATAATTTCTGGTTTGGAATGAGCATTTTTCAACTGTTTGTCTGTTTGCATTGCACCCCTGCTTGGCTCTCGAAAGCAACTGACGGAAGGAAAACAAGAACAGGTTTTGTAATGAGGTTTCGGTTCTGTGGAGAACCCACTGGTCTGACTGTAACCACCTCCGTACACGAGATATCGGTGGAACTTTGTACAGGAGTATAATTGCAGCGAACATCTAGCTTTTCGCCATTTTTGGGTGAAATTATCAGATAAATTTCTCGTGCCCCTCCCCCTTAGATTTTTGCCATGTACTTTCAGTTGAATCAGAGAGGGGTAAAACTCATTTTACACAAAATTTGTCTTGAAAAAGGCAAATTGTCGATGGAATTAGGGGTAGGGGAGATACGGTGATTGGAATGTTAGTCTTGGCAATATAGACAAATTATGCTGTGGCACATTCAAAAGTGAAACCACCGACTCTGCTTTGAAGTATTTTTCCCCCTATTCTCTTTTAAGAGTCGACAGCTTTCCCGTTAGGTTACACGGCCTGTCAGCTTATGGGACTCGGTTTCATCCCATTCTCTATTGTGTATATTTTGATAGTAACGAGGAGTCCCGGTGCAAGCAACCAGGGCCAAAGGCTGTCGCGCCACCGTGGAACCTGCACGGTGTCCCCGCTCGCCGCGATCTCAGATTACCGTCCGCTTCTCGTCGTGGTTAATTTTGACAAAATATGGAAATAGTGTCGGTAATCCTTTTTTTTGTTGACAGTTTTGTCAAAATTATTGAGAAATTAAAAACGTCCGCAAAATAGCATGGCAAATAAACAACATGTACTATTATTCACTTGAAAAAGGGTTGCCGGAAATCACTGTGATTTTCATAGTTTCGTGAAGTCATACTTTGTAGTTACTCCTGAAGGATGTTGGGACCAAATGTTTGGTCACATAGTTACTTTGTAGGTTCCTGATTATTTTTGTCGGGACTTTCATTGCAGGACAACAATTTTTATTTACTCCGATTTGCATAAAATTTCAAAGCCCTGTGACGCACACAAACTTTCAACCGTGACATTGGCTTGTCTTCCTGTTTTTTTACAACTGTGACAGATAGCCCCGGTGATAGGTTAATTGCGATAAGGAAGAGGATGGAACGCTTCTATCTTCCATTCGAATCTATTCTGACTTGAGCAGAGTGTTTCGTACCATAACCTAATGTTTATGGATACTGTTTTGAAGTTGTTCTGGTAATCCGGCTTGGTGACAGTATCTAAGCACGTTTCCGAGCCTTCACACCCCCGGATCACTTGCTGTCTTGCGGCCTCGCCGGCGTCGCGTCTCGTCTCGTCTGAGTTAATACGCCAGTATACCCGCGCAAGGCGCAAATCGTAATACACCTTGCTACCAGGGAAACCCGATAGCCTGCCGATTAATCAGGCTCTCTGGCGAGACCCCCGGGGGCTCTGTTTGCGCTGTGGTATCGCTATCGAGCTTAGATGTTTGCGTCAAATACGATTAGTCTGAGCGACGCGTCATAAAACGTCTGATGATTTCTCTAGGCTAGGTGGAAGACCTCAGTCTTGTAATATAACAACTCCGGGTTTTTTTTTTTTTGGGATTATCGCGTACCTGCATGGAGGTCACCTGGGGGAGAGGGCAACAGAACGATAAAGGGGGTGAGGTTGTAAACAGAACACGTGGTCAACTGCCCCTGCTGTTTAATGGGTCATAGCATCATCTAAGTCCAACAATCCAGAGGTGGAATCGACACTGAAACGATTGAACGATTCTGAGATCGTACGATTCCAAGAGATGACCGTCTGCATCACTCGAGCTTAATTCATGATTTATTTCAAGTTGATATATTATCAAAATTCACGACAGTTGCAATTTTGTTACAGTTATCTAATCCGAATAAAACTCCCCGAACCGACGATAATGTATACAAATAAAACACACGATGTTTTCGTGAAGCAAAGAGGGAAGAAATCTATTCGGAACCAACTAATCGAATACCAATTACCAGTACAATACAAACAACGACACCAACTTTTTTCGTAGTCACTTATCAGCAGACTTTGGATCAAACACACTATGCAAATGACGCGTGTTATTTTTTGTGCAATTGACTTCCCCCCACAGTCCCACAAACAAATGTCTCGTAGCTCACCCAGCCGAAAGGCTACCCCTGTGCCACACAGTCAAGTCGAAGTTCAAGTTTCGTGCCGCTTTTGTCGGAGAGGAAAATTGCCACGGATGGGGTTTCTGAAACGCAACGCCGGGGCCAAGCGCAGCCTCTTTGATTGTCGCGGATACAAACCGGACCGTTTTCCCGTAAACATTACCCCGGCTGTTCACCGGACCGCGGACCACCGCTGCTGCACCCTGCAATCAAATCACCGTCTGCCCCGCCGAGTGTAAACACGGTGTGTGATTTCTTCTTTTTTTTTTTACCTGAGGACTCGCTCTCTGTCGATCCGGCATCGCAGACTCCACCGTGTATATACATTTCTGGTATTGACACTACATGTATTTTGATGTGTCGCTGTTTGCTTCGAGCTGAGCTGAATGGTCATTGTAAACAAGACGAGTTGTTCAGCACCACGCATTATATAGTGTTTCCCGTTGACCTGAGCAGAGGGTCACGGTGCATAGATGTTTCATAAACACAAAGTAAGCAGGACAACGTAAATATATCCAAACGTAAACACCAGTGGCCGTCCAACAATTTCCAAAAAAAGGGTGGGCGTCTGGAATTCCCGAAAAGAGGATGAACCTGAACAGACAAAAGGGTGCATGTTGAGAGATTTTTTCGTTTCATAATGGGGCCTTTGCTGGGGAAGGCTACTGAACATCTCAGAAAAGTTCACAACATCCGTCAGCCACAATGAGTTAAGAGCTTTGTATATTGGAAATCAAACGATAGGGGTTTTTCGTCAAAGAAGCCGGGCTGGACATAAGGTGAACGAGGGCCTAAGCAATTTCTCTCTTGATAGTGTACAATGTATAACTTTACCGCGAGAAGACAAACTCTAACTCAGGACAAGACCAACCTTTTGTTTTTTCTGGTCATCATTTATTCATGTGCAACTAATGTTTTACCCTTAACCCGAATGCAGTGTCCACAGTAGCGTACCCAGGCGTTACGTCCGGGGAGCCGGAGGGGGAATTAGATTTTCTTTTTTTTTTTAATCTGACATACCAGCGATTCTCAAACAGGCAATGGGTCGAAAGATTTCACGCGTTGTGATTGGCCAACGCGTTGCAAACTTCTTGGAGGCGCGCTATTGTGAAATGCCCGTATTGTTCATCTGTAAAAATTCCTCACTCTTGCAGGTGATTGTACTAAATCGAGAATGCTGCCCGCACGTTTAGATCCTTCAAAGAAATGGCATTATGTCTCGGGGGCTGGGGAGGACTTGCGTTACCCCCCCCCCAGCTAGACACGCCACTAACCCTCCACTGGCAGGAACCCTGTTTAAGATTTACATGTGAAAACCTAAAGTTCATTCATCAAGACAAAATGAACCTATGAACTCGCCAAAACGTCACAAAATCCGACATCCATTGTTTTTGACCAACGGACCTTTCACAATTTTGGCCGCCTTAAACCAGCCTTTCTAGTGTTGTAAGCGTTGTATGACCGTGTCTTCGTATAATTTGAATGCTTAACCGTTTTGACAATAGTTACATAATGAATTTCAGACCTATCTTCAATGCTATTTACAGGCATTCAAGACTTCACTGTATTTTTACTCCGTCTTGACTCTTGACTTTGCTTTTGCTTTTTAAGCTACATCTTTGAGGTGTCTTAAAGAGTACATTTCTTATTCGAAAATAGTATCTTCATTACTCTTTTAAAGCATGACAATTCGAGGGCTTTGAGCCCGAACAATTACTTGGATTTTTTCAAAACCAAAATTTACAAAATTACGTATGGGCACTGTTTCACTTTCCTTTCAACTGTATTGACGTTGTAAAAACTGTGGTGTTAATTTAAAAGCCCTAGGGTTTATCTACTGGGTTTAAATAGGTTCAGGGCTGGACGTCGACACCAAGGGTGTTAAATTTAACACCGACGTTTCTGCACTTCACAACTATGCGTACACAGTGAAACTTAATGCTTGTGTGAAGAACACAAGATAGATATTTCAGCTGCCAAAGGTGGGTACCTGAAACGGACCTGTAACTATAAAGCTGTGTGCTATTAATGCGGGTTAGTTTTTCTACGTGTAGAGACCCAGGCTCGCTCAGAAATGGTGTTTTGTCCATCTGCTGCCACCAACGTTATTGCCCTCCGGTCAAAAACAAAAACAAAAAACAAAAGGTTTTTTCGAGCGACGATTGCATAGTACTTAACTGAATAGATGTAGTTCAACCAATACCGCTTGGCAGCTTGGCCGTTCTGTCTTTTTTTTTTTAAGATAAGGCCCTGGGGCGTAGTTCCAACGCCGCCGTGGTCATCCTGTCAATTGCACACCAAGGGGAGAGACTGTGAACGCTCAGAATATGGTGACCAGCGCTAAAATGTGATGATAATGGGATTCTCCAAAATAGTTCGACAAAGGTTCCAATTGGATTATACTGCGCCTATATGCACCTCTGAAGGTTACTGAGCAGTGTCGAACAAGTTCGTTGTTACAGATTTTGCTCGACATTTCTCTTTAACGTGCTTCCGTTATCCGTACTCCTCCAATGGTGTATTCTGTGATTAGGTTCTCATAGTGAAAAGGACTCGTCGCATTTTCATATCAGAAAGAAATCCAAGTAGTTCTGTGAAAGAGCGCCCCCTACATCATTTGCCATTAACACAACCAATTGGAAGACTGCTATGATTTGTAAGAGGCTTCCATAAACTAATGATATGCTATTTAGCTAAACTGTGACCGAGCACGGACAGCCACTTTCTACAATACGAGAACTGTCTTTACCTAACCCCCCCCCCATTCTAAACATTTACTTGCCATTAGGTTGTAAGCATGGTTTTAAAAAGTGGCACTGAACAATCAAGTTTAGAATTTGGACGGATGGTATTTATGGCCGTTGATGCCATGGAACGTTGGCGTGTTGGAACGTGTTCACCAACTGATAGCAAGACTATGTTTTTTAATGGGTCGGTGGCTTTTCAAAGAAGGGAAGACATTCGAGAACAAAGCACGCGAGCGTGAACATGTCCCCGAATGACCTCCGATCGCAACGCCTTTCATTTTGGGCATGCGCAGCTGATATACCGAGCCGGTTCGTTGAGGGCGTTCGTTATTACTACTCTTTACATTGCGATGAGCATGGCAGCAAAGCCCATTGAGGCAGTGGCCAGGGCGGACATCAAGCGCACTGGGCCGGCCCCGTTACAGTAATCGGTGTTACAGCAGCATTGGGTGGCGGTAATGCCGCCGAAATCCACCGTCAAGCAGCCGCTCCCCTGCTGCGCACAGGTTCCAGCATCATCACAGGCTCTCGTGACTGCCTTTATGCCTTGGAACTCGCCCGCTGTCTTCTGCAGGGAACGTGAAAGGAAAAACCCTCGCAATGCTGAGAGTGTGCTACTTCACTGATTTTAAAGAATTGCATTTGGTGACACAAGCACTTCGCGAGAACGATAATAAGTTATTAACAGTGTAAGGAAGACGAGATAAAAGACCGAAAATGTGCAGCTTTTGGTATTTACATATCCGAGGTACACAACGTTTTTACAGTCGACGGGTGCCCGGCAAGAGGGCGTAAGAAACATTCTCTCTTTACTAAGTAAACACGGATATGATTTACTACAAAATCAACCTGGGCTGTACAAAAAGCAACCTTTGAACAACGTATTAAAGGACTTGGGATGTTTCTTTTTTACTTTTTGCCAAGAAATCTTCATATTTCATTAAATTAAACAGTTGCATACTTACATCCTTTTGCCGGGAACCCCCCCCTTTTTGCAGTGATCGTGTTTCCCAGCAAAAGGGCCTAAGCTCTTACGCCCTCCTCCACGGCACACCGCGTACTATGCTTGGCTTGTTTGCGTCAGCACAACGAGGGTTAAATTTCTGAACTTGGTCACCCATTTTATATTAAGGAGCATCATCAAAAACCATCTGTGGCTTGTAGGTAGGTTGTGCATTTTTCGAAATGTTAAATTAGGGCCCCGGGGGTGTGCACTTCGGAAGCTGTGCCCCATGTTGTTGTATTCATTCATCCTTGGTCGAACCCACTCACCCCAATTTTGGGACACATTTCACATGGACGGAATTCTATTCGATGAAAACCTGTCTGGTGAGCGGGCTTGCCGGTTTCCAGATGGCCTAGGTTTTAAATTTTCCTTTGTCGGTACGGTGAATATAACTTGGACTTTTGAGGTTAAAAACTGACAGTCGGTCACGTTGTCTGCTTGGAGCAGTTTATTGTTTCATAGCCTTTAATCTGCCTCAAAAAGTATTCACTTACTATGCAGTATGTTGCCGTATTTGAACAGTTGTTTTTAAGGGAGTTGTCTTCCTTGAACGGGTCCGAGCAGGCGGCGTCTGTCTGATCGCATTCGTAGCACGCACGTCCCCAAATACTCCCTAAAACAGACCGAGTGGACAATACACGCAGTACGGTAAAAATAACAAAACCGCTTCAGGCATCTTGAAGCAAATTGCGTGCGTACGAATCATAAAAGTGGGTTTTTAATTTCGTTCATGAATTTGATTTGTGACACGTTTATCTTCTTTTTGTGGAGCGGGGGGGGGTTGTAGTAAGTTGGAAAGAAGAAGTAGGTATTTATGATTTTGCTGATTCGACCAAAGTTTGAGGATCGAGGTCGATGTTCTTCTTGGAATGAGTCAAAGATTTGCGTTTTTTTCTGTAATCTTCCATGGCCTTTCTGAGACGTAAATTTTGGGGCTCTTTGTGCGCTTTGGGAAGAAAGGCAAATGAAATTATAGCCCCCCCCCTTGCATTTCACTCGTAATCCCTTTGGTGTGTAGGAGACGCAGGCCCCATTGGCCCGTGGATCCGCCAACGATTTTGAAATTACTCAGGCAGCATATGATGGAATATACAGTGGGGTTGTTTGGTCTGAAGGCTTTTCCTTTTATGGAATGGATGTTGGGGATTCGTCTCCTTATACATGATAGACTACTCACGGCTCCAGACAAGTGTATGTTAGACGATTAATTTAGGGGGAACTTACCGATCCAACTTAGACAGATGACGACTGCGAGGAGTTTCATGGTGTTCTTTCTGCAGATTTTGCGACTCGGTCAAACAAAGTATGAGATCTGCATAAAGTGAAATCGTTAGGGAGACAGGTGAATTTTTTTGGGGGGGGGACCAAGCCTATAATTGTGCGGTTTAGTTTACGATGCCCGGTACCGCATTGCAAAATTGAAGGCAGGGTTTTTTCCCGAAGATATAGGTGACATTTGTGGTGTGGCCTATCCTAAACACTCAGGTTTGCTGCTTCACCAGGTAAAGTGGTATTTTCAAGTAGTGGCTTGGTATTTCTCAATTTATTTCTTTTATTTGATACTTCAAAAGCCCTGTAGTGCAAGTTTACAGTTAACAAAATATTCACACCTGTCATAAAGTTCAGGTTTCTGTTTGGAAAGAATGAAAGGCGGGCACATAACATTTAGGCTGTTTAGCTGTCAGGTAGTAATGACTAATAACTTTGGTTTGATCTTATTTGCATAACAAAGAGAATGCTACGCTGTTTAAACTCTGACATGCTCAGAATTATTCATACACTTATCAATAAGAGTTAATATCAAAGCTAGTAGTCACTTGGATAATCCTAGTTCTTGATTCTTGTTCTATACTGGAGTTTGAATCATTTAGGGGTCTTGAAATTTAGCAATATAGGTATTCATTACTTCAGATCTTCAGAAAGACTTCCGTATTTTGGACCTTGGTTATAAAGCAAACCAAGTAACTAAATACTTAAATAACTAAATTCCTGAGTAAGGAATTTATTTGGAATTTGAGATATTCAGGATTTCAGGTATTCAGAAATTTTGTTTTTTTATCGACTGAATCAATTTGCAATTTGGAAACTCAGTTATATCAGACGAAATAAATAATGAAATCAATATAAAACTCGAACCATTTAGCAAGGCATTATTCAAAAATATAGGAAGGAAAAACTCAAGTCATGTCGGAGATAAGATATTTATTACTCCATACGTATAACGGAACTCATTTAATAATTACTTACAAAATGACTAAATTTAAAATAACTGAATAACTACATTTCTAACTGACTAATTTATACTACTGCTTTAATTAGTATAACAGTTAGGAGGTTTTATTTGGTTGGTAATCCTGACAGGGATTTTTGTGTTGTGTACGTATGTTTTCCTCTTCCTTGTTCCTTTTTTATTGGGGGGGGTAATCAAACTTTTGTCCTCAAGCAGCACTGTGAATCGAACTTTGGTTGCGGCATGTCACTGCTAAACAGCCATTGCTTTGTCGACCACGCGCCCTATGCCCTGCTGCTGCTTCAAACTGCTTGGACTTTAATCCAGCAATCAAGCGATGATTCTGGTCAAGTCCACGGTCTGTAATTGTTATCTTCCCTGTAATCAGCCACGATTGCTTACTGTCAATAGTGGAGTTGGCCTTACGAGAGCTATATATGCGGGACAGGTCCGCACAATTGGTATCCACGGGTGGATCCGAAGCGGCATTTCATGCGCCATAAATTGCAACCAGGGGCCCCCTCTATTGTGTCTTCTTTTGCGTTGACAGAATGCTTTAGAATTTGTTTCCAGAGTTTTTTGGGGGGAGGTAGGCACAATAGCTTTAGGGTATATAGCTTGTGCTTCACATGGGGGGGTCCCTTTTGCCACATATTATCCTGGGTATACGAAGCGGGGCTGCAACGGGGGATTGTTTCCAACAAAAAAGGAACTTCAAGGTTTTACTTCCTGGTTGTTAAATAACAAATTTCCAAGTCGAATCTCCGTGGTGTGTTTCAATTCCCTTCTGTAGAAAGCTTGTCAAAAGTGCCAAAATGTAGCCTTTCCCCAGAGAGAGGCCGTCAAAGGTTACATGAAGAAAATCCTACTTCTCCCAGTCCCAAAAAAAAAGTTTGCCCCCTTCCCAAAATATTGGTCCCGGGTCTGCCATTGTGGATACCGATTTGTATAAAAGGGGAAGTGGTCGGTGACAAGTTGTCGACCGACGGTCGATTTTGATTGGTAACCTGCGCATGAAATAAACACCAGTGGTTAACAAATTGTCACCAATCGAGCTTGCCCATAAATGCTCGTGCAGGCGATTTTTAACCATATTTGCTTCCACTCTACATAATTATTGTTCCGTCAGATCTACGTCGCACAAGGCACTAGCACCAATTTCATAGCTCTGGTAGGCACTGGAACTTTGCATTCTTTTGCTCTTTGGTTTTTCACATTTTTTTCCATGCCAGACTGTCCAATAAACATCTTTAAAGCTATTCGCTAATTGCTTCGTCACTTTAAATTTTCAAAATCGGAAAATCAAAATAAGGACACGTGTCTTTCACAATAGTGGTTGTTTCTTACTTCCAATCGTTTATAATGGAACCTTCAACAGGATATTTACCCCCTCTACTGTCTGATAAAAGAATGATTCCGAATAAAACTGTACACAAATCCGTTCGGTGGCACTTCCGAGAGATTAAAGCGAGAAATTAGCAAACATTTTCCAGATTTTTTTCAGCTGCTTCGGCTACACTGCCGAAGAGGCTTTGATGTCTCTAATATCTTTTCTGCGCGGGTAATACCTTTCTGATTATGAGTAACGGCCACTCAATGATCAGGAGCTTCTTGCTTCCAAAGATGATTTTTTTTCACCTTTTATCCAGCGTAACATGAGGCAAGTTAAACATCATTTTGTTCCGTTTGTTAACTTTATTTCAGAGTCAACGCATAAATCCTCAGGGAAAGTTTAACATGAAAAAATGGTTTGATTTTCTTGCAAAGAATTCAGGAACTCAGGAATTCAATCAGATATGAACGTGGAGCATGCTGTACTATTCACTCCTCAACCAACGACCTGGCTGTACAGCATCTGAGAGCATAACTTATATGTTTCACTCTGATCCGACAGCAAAAGAAAAACTTTTCTTGAAATTACATCATTTTCCTTGCATTTAATGCATTTAGTATAGATAACACAAACTTAGAATAATGACGAAAGACGATTTTCCTTATGCCATAGTACTCGGGAAGTGGCATGTCACGAAATGACCGCCAAGAATGAAGCCAGATTGTCTACTTGTCCATTACGCAGCAAACAAAAGGTACTGGAATCTGGTATTGATACAAATTTGATGAAACTAAATTGTACCCTGTGAGTATCAAAACCGACCAGGAAAAAAATGGACACCAGTTCTTAAGCCGTGGCATGACGTACGGGTTCCTTCTCACCACGCTCGTTGTAACCTTCCGCGCTACCGTGCGCCGTGGGCCTACGTGAAGGACTAGACCCTGGGCGTGCCAGCCGCCAAGTTCAGCCTTTATCCGTTCAGTAGAGGCATATAAATTTTTTTAAATCTTACTTTGGAAAGAAGCGGGTCTTTGTTGCTGTGGCCTAATTTGGCATAATTATCGGCCCTCTTGGGAAAATCTATTTTCAGCTTCTATATGTTACCGTTGTCGGTGTAATTGTTGTGTTTGTTATATGCGTTTACTAGAAGGCCTGGAAAATCCAAGAACCATGCCCGATCAAACATCTTAACGAAAATCAGATTACCAACTAAAAATTGCTGTGATTATTTTCCACATTTAGCAAAAAACCTTGCTATTATTCCAGTGTTAAAGGTGTAAATCATAAACTTACCCGTCAATAAAAATCGGTCGGCGGAGAGCCGCTTGGTTTGACTGCTCCGGTTAGTGTCGCAAAACAATGTCTGCTTTCAATTTGCTCGTTTTGCCTGTGGATTTATATGAGGGACGGGACTATTTTGCGGAAAGATACCTGCGTCGGGTTTGCTTCCTTGATGAGGAATCAATCCGCCATTTTTAAGGATTACATGATGTTAATTCTGTATAACCAGAATGTAATCGAACTTGTGAAAAGCTGAGTTGCCAGTTCCGGGACGGTGACTGCACTCCATTGTAGTATTAGCCTCAATGTGCCCTTTGTGACGTCACTGCCGGTTGCAAGTGGCAGTGTACAACCTCGTTCCGGTGGGTACGATCTAGCCACGCCACATTGGTCGCCCCATGCCTTGCGCGATCTAGCTATTGAAGGAACACGCACGCAGCTCGTGGAGTCGAGGTTGGTCAGTGCGTGATACCTTTGGCGGACACGCCTGGCTTACTGATTGGCCCTGGCGATAAATATCCTGTGAATCACAATAGGCCCACTTACCCCAAGGTCATGGCGTCACTGATGACCTTGTGTTATCAACTGATTGTCGAGGCAAAGTAAAAGAATTTCCGATCTCTTCTCACCGTTGGTCTATAAAATTTGTGAAACCTGGTGGGAGACTTCGATTTCGAAAGTACATGTATTGGGCCATCGCACGGCACGTTTTCAAAGTCAATATTTGAACCAAACGAAAAATAAAGAACGTGTACTTAGCGCAAATCAACGTTTGGCGGGGACGATGAACTTTTGGGGCTTCTGTTTTGCTTCGCCTTATCTGGAGATCATAAATGCCGTTATTTATTTGGTCTTTCCTATGCACCAATATCACTTCGACTTCCAAAGTCCATCGAGTTGTTATTTATGTGACATCAGTAAGCATTGAAGCCAAATACAAAATTCGCCCTCCATAACAGTTATTCATTATTTGAGCGATCACTAAAGCACACACCAAGGTTCCCAAATCGTCTTAAATTGGCTGAAAATTTCGAGTCCATTTTGTTGAATTGTGGGTAATTTCGACGATACTAGGGGAGAGGGATATAAACTGCCCATCCTAGACATTACGTCATACACTTTTTCTGCCGTCAACGACACCAGCTGTCGTTTTGATTGATTCAGCAGGGAACTGGTCTAATCACCACTGAGGGCGTCCTCGCGATAACTCGTTACGACACTGGAGTCACCTTGCGTCTCTTCAACGTTACCGTACACAAAGTAGTAAGCTGGATCCGGTTTCTTATTATCTTTTCACTGTAATGTTTCCGGAACAATCATTTTCTTCTGATTCGGGAAGCTTGCAAATAATGGTAGCTTCATTTACAATTTCCTTCACCAGACAAAACGTTACTGGCAGTGACGTATCCAGTGGGGGACAGGGGCAACTTTCTCCATGACGGATTTTTTTTTTTTTTTTGCAATTTTTTATCTATTTTTTAAACTGAAAATACTTCATAGGTTATTTGTAAAGAGACTAATCGGTAAATATATTTTACTAAATAAATAGGTTATATTTTCGCCCGCATTATTATGTTGAACCCCCCCCCCTACACACGCCACTGGTTATTGGCTATCGTCACTACCATCGCTTAGCTGGAGTGCATCCGGCTCGATCTCTCCCCGCTCCTGCCATCATGCGCAATATCAAAATTAAAGCACATTACCGGCAAAACTTCGAACAGAAAAAACTGCAGTTTTGGTATATTTTACTGGTCATCATTTATTCATGACTACGAATCATTTACTGTTAACGTTTCTGTCTTTAATGGAAGGGAACATTATTTAGAAGTAACGAGCAAAATACCTTGCCGATTTTTGGTACCGGTACACTGCAGATTTCTGCATATCAGAGAACGCAGACCTAAAAAACCAATTACTACTGACTTGTTAAATCAAGGCAGCTGAATTTTTATCGATGTTCTTGTGTTGCCGAAATGTTATGTTGAGTTATGTTATTAAAACCCTATCTCACGAATATCAGACCTATTAAAATGCTGTCTATATTCAAGACGTCACTGTACTTTCACTCAGTCTCGAGTCTTTTAAAATGCAGCTATGGTTTCCTTGGGCTAAACTACTCTTTTGCGGCGGCGTCTGAGCAATCATATATTCAAAAGCAGTCAGATTTCATCTGGGTTATTTTGGAACTAAACCAAAAGGAGGCACGTGAAAACACTTTTAACCTATTATCAGGTATTGCATTGTTACACTGGAAATGATTGAAATGGATACGACTTATCGCTCCGAAAGGATTTTACCGTCAACCAACGGTGGTGGAACAGTGCTTTCAAAGTCGGTGTCGAGTTACATGACTGGACAGCTGATATAGCTGATGAGCTAGGGGCTTCCTGCATTTCCCGTAGACGCAGGTGCTGTCCCCGGCCGTGTTTCGGGCTCTGTCTACTTTTCTTGGTAGTGACACCCATCAATGCCCGGTTTGGAGAGGGCGTCTGTCCTGTCTGCTGCCACCAACCGATCATGGAGCTCCCATTGCTTGTGCCTGTCACCATTTTGTTATGCAGCCCGTTCCCATCTGTGATTTTCTTGCATTATCATAGGCAACGAAGGTATCAGAATTGTCATTATTATTGTTCTGCAGGGTGAGTAAGAGAACTGCTTGAGTTTAATTGTTGAAAGGGGTGCCTGCCTGCATTCTTTGCTCATGCTTGGGACGAAGATCACAAGCACTAATTTGTCAAAAGCGTGCGTTGATAAGCTATCCTAGGAATATCTTCCTTGGTTTCCAATCTTTACGGAGCAATGACCGTGGCCAGCAGGCCCAGGATGACACTGACCATGACGGACATCACGCCCAGCGAACCGGTTCCATTACAGTAGTCCCCGGTGCAGCAGCAGCCGGTAGCCGAGTTGCCCTGGCCTTCAACCGTGAAGCAGCCGTTCTCCTTAAGGCACTGAGACTTCTTCTCACATTGTCTCTCGACCACAGTTATACCCAGGACCTCACCCTTTACTTTCTACATGGAATAAGTATGAAAAGGTAAGAACTGAACATTTTTTGAACTCCGTCAAGGATCTCATCGGGGTTGTATCGTCTGCCAGATTTGTCTGCTTGTAGGCCCGTCGTAAAAAAGTGGGGGGAGGGTACAAATTTGTCGAATGTTGAGACGTGACCCAATGAACAATTAGTGTGACAGTGATTGCATCGTCAAACAAATTTCTTATATGACAAAAACGACTATTTTGGTACCTTACAATTAAATTCTGAAACAACAGCGCAGATAACTCTGGCCAAATGGTTATTTTAAGAATCAAAGGATAAAACTTTACCTTGGGAGTAAGAGACATTTTGATACCTGGAAGTTTTATACCAATTGCTGGGATGGTGGAAAGACTTCTGGTGATTTTTAAGGGTGAGGGGACTGTGGTTACGGATTTTTAAAATGTTTTTCGGGCTCTTTTCCCAGCTGTCTTTTTTCATTTTTTGTTCTTTTAATGTCACCCAAATTTGCTACAAATGAAGATTCGAAAGGAGGTCTTTAAAAAGGAGTGCTTTGATCATTTTCCAATGAGCATTTCATACTTTTTTTTTGCCAAATTACAATGTAATTTCACCTTTACTTTTTATCGAGGGTGTTTTCCATCGTACGTTGTGCCGGGTTTTCACCCAGCTATCGCCCTATAAACACTTTACTTACGTAGCAGGCGTTGTAATCGGAGGTGCAGTTTCTCTTCAGAGCGTCACTGGGCTTGAAGGGATCGTCACAACCAGCCTGGCCCGTGGAACACACGTAGCACGAAATCCCCATGACACCGCCTAAAAATGACGGAAACATTACACCGAAACAGCAGCTTATTCAAGGATGGTTGCTTTGCCATCCCCCCGTAATACATTATTAACTTACTTCAGTAAGACGAGAAAAGTGTTTTTAGAAATGGGAGTAAAAAAAAAAAACCAAGATAAATAAATACACGTATTTACAACGAAACCAAAGGGGGTCAGGTAAGGACTGGAAAGCCTAAACAAAAAGCTGGCCCGCGCGGGTTTCGAACCCGGGTCGGAGAGGCAGAGGATAAGTAGAGTATCAAAGCACTAACTGACCCCCAATCGGAGAATTCGAATATACAGGCAGAAAGGTGTGTCATCTGTGTTCTCGAGTCGTGACTGCTATGTTCTCCTGATGGCGGTCCGAGAATGTAAACCAAGGAATGGCAATTGTGCCTATTTCAAGACAGTGCCCTGTCATGATGTATCCTGATTTGCTCGTGTTTTCTTTTCTTTCTGTTTGGGACCTGCCTCGACGAGTCCATATGTAACGTAAAAAAGAATGGTTCGAATGCGAATTGAAAACGGACTTTACCAACAAAACTCAGAAAGACGATGGCTTCGAAGAGCTTCATGTTGAAGTGTGGTGTCTGCAAAGTGGCCCAACACAGTACCGATACACTGCACGGTTGAAATGCTGAATAGCAAACGATTCAATAAAAATCAATAAAATAGCTCAAACAACAACGGCGATAATAAAAACCAACACCAACAAACTAGAAGAACAAGAAGACTTTTGTTCATGGTTTGTCTTCTTGTTCATTCCCAAGGCCTTGTTATTCATAAATAAATCTATTGTTTGTTGATAATTCGACATCAGACATGTTATCGATTTAAATAAATTATCATCCAGAGTAGTTTCATTAAACTCCCTTGTTTCAGTTCAGATTTGAATGCAGCATAAAACTCGCTGTTCAGTTCACTGAAAAGAGGGGTCGCTTGAGTTTGTCTGTCATGCTATAGGTAAAAAATAAATTAAAAGAAATCCCGTAATTCAGAAAGGAATAACCAGTGAAAAATCTAGATTACTCAGGCCGTATGGTCAAGTGAATTCACAAAATGGGCAAACATTTTCGCCATCGCCTTCGCTGTACTTCAGATGTACTGAATATATCAGCCAACACTGGATAAAAGGAACAGTACATTGACCTGTGTGATTGTGTGATAAAAATAAATAATGCATCGTAAGTATGTGCATCGCAAAATATCTGCCCGAAAAGTGTGTAATATTTCATATTTTGAAATTTGTGCTTATTGGTGGCAATCATTCCTTGCGAAATCAAAGACTGGCTTGATTACATAATTTGCATATAAAATTATAGAAAGACAGTTATAAACATCAAGGCAAAATGAAAAGTGTAGTTTCATTAAGATGATTGAAGAAAAAATTGATGCCTGTATATACACATCAAAAGTCAAAATGACCTGAATATTTAAAAAATATGAAATTACTGCAGATTATACAAACACAAAGGTAAAAACTATTTTATACCTGTTGGTTTGACATTTAGGTGAACATACCTCTTTTTTATTCCTGAGTACATACCTCAAAATTTTTTAAGATTTGGGTTCTGAATATATTAACTGGACAACTTAAGCGCAGCATCATACGCCAAGAAGAAGCGTCCTAACCCATTCAAATGATCAAAGAATCTCCACCTTGAGCGTTTCTCTGACTTAAATCACACACCCCCTAATGCTGTACATTGTACAAGAGAACCAAACGGTTTTACGTGTCCGTGAGATGAATTCATTGTACAACGAAATATTGGCTATGGCTCTGTACATCTTCGTGTACCTACATAAAAGCTTAATTATGAAGTCCTTGCCCAAGCAAGTGAAATAAATAGCGTGTTTTATTTTAAATGAAAATCTTTAACCGCCACTGAACAGGAAACAGAAAACATTAGCACAGCAAATCCAAATATTCAGACTCAAAGGACATCAATCCGTTGGACGACTAACACGGAGTACTTAATTGCTATTAAAGCGTTTCGCATTGTGCTTCAAGTAGCATTATTCCAACTGCCAATTCTGTGTCTATCAAGTCAGGTTTGATCAGTTTTTTTTAAGTAAGTGCATTTACATTCTTAAGAATAATAAACAGTTTTTCTGAATAAGACCAGGGTTACGTCACAAGAGTGGTTTACCCCCAAAAGAGTTGGGGGCGGAATCCGTCCCCCTCAACTTTCCCCGATATCGACGAAGTGTATTTTTTCAGGAGTTGAGCCTTTAGGAATATTTAGAGTTACGTTTTGCGGTCATTTAGACACCAAGTTTGTGACAATCGGACATACCGTTCTTGCGCAGCGGGCGTTTGAATCGCACGCGTATGATGAACTTGTATAGTTTTCCTGAGACTTTGCCCTTTCACTGTTTGCACTGTGTCTAACAATAGCAGCGATGACACAGTTGCTTTTTAGTGTTCATTTGAAGACCAGACAGCATTTTCACCACACCTAAATATTCTCTTTTATCTGCCAGAAGAGTAAAACATAAGGCTCTGTGAACAAATAAACCACCATAATCCAGTTCGTAAGTGAATTCGTCACAAAGGCAGACGCGCCCCATTGGACAACCGGTTCCATGGTTCCCCGTAAACGGCGATCAGTGCATGTAACTCTATGTGCAGTGCATGCGCAGTGGGCGTGGTTTAGACTGAAGTCACGTCACACTTACGAACCGGATACCTTCACGACTGTTTAGCGTATTAAAATCGCATAAAATGGCATCCGTTCTATCGCATTTCCTATAAGCTTTGATGTCACAGTGTGTTAAGTTTAACGCGTTAATAACAGACCATTGCCGTGTACAAACGTACAAACGTTAAACGTTTCATTACTTTTTGTACACACTTTTTAAACACCTTTAACCCATGATATGTTCACTGAAATATTTTTAGGAACGTGTTTAAATGCTAACGCTTTTCCTTAGTTCATATTCAGCTTTTTGAAATCCGCTTCGCATTTAAACGCACTCCTAGACTCATTTATAACAAATAACCATGTTAACAAACTGGGTACAAAAGAGGTTTAGAAATTGTGTTTAAATTCGAAACTTTTTAGAGTGTAGATGCGTCAGAGTGATTAACAATAATCACGTGGCCTTATTTTTAGATAGATTGAAATCACACAGTGGTGGGATATGATGAAATTGCATTTCTCATTATTTCGAAATAATAAAATTATCTGAATTTTGCGAGACCTGCTGATGAGAATCACCAATATTTTGTAAGGCGTTCCCGACTTTGCCTCCTGCTCGGATCGGTAGATTTGTTTGGTAAAATTTAAAGTCTGACATAAATTTTGCCGCTTGCTGTCTTACGTCCTTTCCATGTTGGACACTTTTCTGCCTAAATGTCGCTCCTTCCGTCGCTCGTCGCCCGTTGCACCGTCGTACGTCGCTTCGTACGCCGTGTCGTGCTTTACATGACGTATTACGTCGCCTGAAGCATGACGCGACCAACGGCGCGACGCGTCGTGTGCTGTCGCCCTCTGCTTCATGGTCTTTATAGGGGGCACCTTTACTTTCATTTCTCTGCTCCGCGCTTGCAAACTACGTGCCCTGAGCCTCAGACGTTGATTTTTTTCTCGCTTTTGTTTCATCCATTCTTAACTTTGAATTAGTTTCTGTCATTATTTTATTTTTTAAAAGAGCAAATGAAAAATCCGCGTATGTAGGAACTGCTCTCACGTAATAAAGAGCCGAGTTCGGGCGGCTTGTTCCCGTATGTTCACGAAGTTCACAGCTCGATTTGTTGTTCGTGGGTCGGCCGCTCGAACACCGGGAACAAACAACCGGTTATTGATGGTAGTTAATGACAAGCAACATGCAACATGGCGGCGTCCATGTAGGCTACGTTATTTGAGAGTTAATGTTTGGATGGGCTGAATTCTTTTCTATATAAACAGGAACATTCATTTCTGTGTTACGGAAAAAATTACTGTTAATTTTGCAAAACGTCCCATTGTCTATGGCTTTGTAAGTCATCTCTCTACTTTTTGCAGCTGTTCAAAAGTCAAAATGTCACGAGTTTTTCCCGTGTGTTCCTGTAAAACCCTGATGAGGAGTTGGTGTGATCCTGTTCCGAGAACAGTGTTCTTGAGTCGTGTTCCCGCCTTTCGAGCGCGAGAACAAGAAACCCGTGTCAAGAACAGGCCGCCGAACTCGACCAAGAAGTACGTAATAATGCTTGAAGTACAGTACATGTATTGTATCTTTGAATTTATTTATATTTTTAACTATTAGAAGGGTCAGAATTAGTGCAGGAAATGATCAAACATTGTTGGCTGACATTAATATCATTTATTTCCTGGAGATAATACTAATAGTTCGACGCACTTTCTAGTTACATTTGATGAAAAAACTATGTTCAACAACTCACTCTTAATGAAAACACAATGTTAAAAAGAATGCATGAAGACGAACGACAAAAGAACGATGCAAGTGCAGGGACGGAAATCAAAGAAAGCACTTAAAAGGCGCCCTCTCTACAAACACAATGAAGCAAAGGGCGACAGCACACGACGAGTCCCGTTGTACGTCGTGTCGTGCGTGTATAATACACACAAACCGAGTTCAATATTTGTCTCGCGCACTTACTGGTTTAGAGCTTTTCCCAACTTGAGAATTTCGAACAGAAAGGCCTACGTAAAACCCTGGCTGTTATAACTGTTGGCGTGGAAAGTTTATACTAAACTGTGGCATTCTTGTAGACAGTGGCTATGGATAATTCAACCCAGGTATATTCGTTCTCTTTCTTCTTGAATTTTCTAAATAGAAAAATTTGAGGTTGTCATTCACCGTGACAATATTACTAAATATTTTGCCAGACCTACAAGTATATTGTTTGGCAATGAGTATTTTTTGAAAGCGTCGTACTAAATAATTCGGCTCCCCAGCGCCAGCTAAAACACACTGAACAATGAGACGGACAAAGTAGAACAAAGGACTCTTTGTTTTACGTCTAAACGAATTCTTTTTAAAAAAGAATCATTTCAACATGTCGAGAAAATTTCCCTTTTCGAAAATTGTGTTCTCATTAAAAACCGCCAGAACGAGTACTACCACAAATGTTGTTTAATAACGGTTTAAATTGTTATCCCCAAATCACTCTTTTTCAGAGTTATTTTTTGCGGTCATTTTAGGCACAAACTTTGTGACAATCGGATATACCATTCTTGCGCAGGGGGCATTTGAATCCTGCACGTGTGATGAATTCTTATATAGTTTTTCCTGAGACCGCCCGAACATGTACCACCACAAATGTGATAAACAGTTTAAATTGTTATTGCCAAATCTCTCTTGTCCCTGTCTGGAGCTAGCTACATTCCTGTGTGCCTTTCACAATGATGGCTATTTCGTTTATGTCAACCCGTCAAGAGAACTTCCAATTTCACTGCTATCTGATGAAACAATGATTTAGAAAGAACTGTACTCAAGTCTGTTCGGTGGCAGTCCCAGAGGCTGTAGCAAGAAATCAGCCAAATATATTTCCAGGTTGTGCTTCGGCTACACAGCTGAAGCAGCTTTGGTTTTTGTCTTCAACCCTCGAGGGTTCTCTTTTTGACTCAAATTGTGGGGTAATGATTACTCACAACGGCTTTCCACTACACGTGGCTTGTAGTTTCTTGAAATGATTTCTTTCCTTTCATCTTGTGAAACATGTGGCAATTTAAACATCATTTCTTCCTTCATTAACTTCATTTCAGAGCACACGTGCAAATCCTCAGGGAAAAAGTTAACGTAAAAAACAATGTTTCGATTTCTGGCAAAGAATTAATTAAGTATCCTCTTCATTCGTGAAAAAGACGAAAATCAAATGTGAACGTGGAACAGTGCTGTTATATTCACCCCTCAACCAACGACCTGGCTGTACAGCATCTGAGAGCATAACGTTTATGTGTTACTCTTGTCTGACAGTAACTAACAATTTTTCTTGAAATCACATTAATTAATTAATGAAATCTAATGTAGTTGATACAACCTTGACAAATGTCAAAAGACAATTAAGTATTTTATTTAAGTATGCAATAGTACGTACCCATGAAGGCGTTTTACATGTGACAAAATGACCGCCAAGAAAGAAGCGAAATTGTCTCATTTTACATTACACAGTAAACGAAAAGAAGTGGAAAAGCAGAGCACCCGTCTATCAAACATGTACCGTCTAATAAGTATCTATTCCCCACCAGGAAAAAAAATGGACACCAGATCTTGTGTCGTGACATGCATGACTTAGGGACTACACCTTCACAACGCTCATAAAACATTTTGCGCGACCGTCGCGTGCACCCTGGGAATGCATGTAGGACTTGACCCTTGGTATGCCAGCCGCCCAGGTCACCCTTTGTCCCTTTAGTAGAGGCATGTAAATGCTCTTGTTTCAAATCTTACTCGGAAAGAAACAGGTCTTTTTTGCTGTGGCATAATTTGGCGTAATTATCGGCCCTCTTGGGAAAATCTGTTTCCAGTTTCTATATGTTACTGTTGTCGGTGTAATTGTTGTGTTTGGTATATGCGTTTACTAGAAGGCCTGGAAAATCCAAGAACCATGCCCGATCGAACATCTTAACGAAAATCAGATTACCAACCAAAAATTGCTGCGATTATTTTCCACATTTAGCAAAAATCTTGCTATCATTCTATCATCAGAGTTAAAGGTGTAAATGATAAACTTACCCGTCAATAAAAATCGGTCGGCGGAGAGCCGCTGGGTTTGACTGCTCCGGTTAGTGTCGCAAAATGTCTGCTTTCAATTTGTTCGTTTTGCTTGTGGCTTTATAACGGGACTATTTTGTCAAATCATACCTACGTCAGGTTTGTTTCCTTAATGAGGAATCAGTCCGCCGCTTATCGGGTAAAGGAGCACATGATGTTGATTCTGTGTGACCAGAGTGTAATCGAACAATAAAAAAAAGCCAATCAGTCTGCTAATTCCGGGGCGTTGACTGCGCTTCATTGTAAGTACGCCTCAGTGTTTCATTTTTGACGTCATTGCCGGTTTCAAGTGGCTGTGCACAATCTCGTTCCCATGGGTACCACGATCTTGCCGCGCCATGCTGGTTCCCACCATGCCTTGGGCGATCTAGCTCGTGAAGGAACGCGCACGTAGCCCGTGGAGTCGAGGTTGGGCAGTGCATGATCCCTTTGGCGGGTACGCCTGGCTTTAATACTGAACGATGAACCTTTTTGGCTTCTGCTTTGCTTCGCCTCATCTGGAAATCTGAAATGCATTGTTTCTTTATTTGCTTTCCTTCACGCACCATTATCACTACGACTTCCAAAGTTCATGAGCTGTTATTAATTTGACATCAGTAAATATCGGAGCAAGAAATGGAATTTGCCCTCCACAATAGCAATGCTTTATTTGAGCGATCACAAAAGCACAGAATGTCATCAAGGTTTCGAAATCGTCTGAAATTAGCTGAAATTTTTCGAGCCCATTTTGATGCATTGTGGGTAATTTGACGATATTGGCATATATTTCGGAGGGGGAGTGGAAACTGCTCATCCTGGATATTACGTCAAACACTATCCGCTCTGAGTGGAACAAAAGGGGGCGTGTTTTTTGGTACTCGCCACATAGGCTTGCCGTAATACGAAGCAGAATTAGAGTCAAACAGATCAGAACATGTTTTCCGAGAAATGTAATGATTTTTTTTTTAATTTTTGTAATGTAACGTTTTTTAAAACAGACTGTACTTTGAATTTTTGAATTCATTTTCCAAAACCGAATGAAATCTTTCGTACGTAATATTATATTTTTTGGATGAAATTTAACAAGACCTGACATGTTTTTAAGATTCGAATGAAATTTTGTAGACCTGACATGTTTTTAAGATATAAATAAAATTTTTGGACCTAATATGTTTTAAAGATTCGAGTGAATTTTTTCAGACCTAACATGTTTTCAAAATCCGAATGAAATTTGACAGACCTAACGTTTTCCAGATTCGAATGCACTTTCCCTGACAAAAGGTTTCGTGTTCCACACCCGCATTTCATCCGAATTCAGAAAGCATCCGAATTTGGAAAGTATCCAACTTTAAAAAGCATCCGGATGTTAAAAAAGCATCCGAATTGAGAAAGCGTCCGAATAGAGACAGCACCCGATCTTTTTAACGGTCTTCGGCCGGATGGTACCCGAAGTTCCGAATCTTTTTCGACGATTCGGTTTGCGTATGCGCATTCAAACTACAGAATTATTTCCGCTCCCTTAAACAATTGGGCAGTCAGTGCTATAAGCCCCAAATTGCCAATTAAGTCAAGCGGCTACATACATCTTTTACTGGTCGTCATTTATTCATGACTACGAATCATTTGCCATCCGAGACATACCGGTCCTGCCTTCACCCGTAACGGAACTGTTTATGTTTCTGTCTTGAATTTTGTGACATTAAGGCGCGGTTAGTTGAATGACGTCTGGGCAATTTTAGAACGCAATTAAAACAACTAAGAACAAGGAAAGTAGCATATGTGAACAAAATCACCTCATAGGTATGTAGTGAAACGTTTTTGAATGCCAATCTTTTGAATATGAGGGAGAAAACGTACTTTTCCGCCAAATATACTGCATAAAATTCAAAGAGCTTAAATCTGCATTGGCCGCTAAACAGACAATACCTTCAGTAATCTTCATAGAAACTTTCAAATTGACTTTTCTTTTTGTTTGATGCCTGTGGTCTATACGGTGAAGCAACCTCCAAACAAACAGAGTTCTATCGTGTTAAGGGCGCAAAAAACTGGCTCGTATCAAGGGACAGAAGCTGGCCAAACAGCACAAAACCCCAAAACTAATTGAACATTAAACGTCGTATTATAAAGATATGGTTAGAATTCAAGCTTAGGCCTACAATGTAGAAACTGTCGGCCTACCTTGCGCCCGCAAGAAAGCGATATTACAGCAATATTAGATAGCAGTGAGCTTTCGCAACGACACCTGTCCTATTGATAGGCCTGCAATAGTTTCCTCCACTTTATGATGTCGTAAATTTTAGGAAACAGTGCAAAGTTTCTTCTGGGATGTGTTGACCCATGCACCCACATCTATATACCTGATAACAAACGACGGTGTAATCAACTTGAAATCAACTCAAGTACAACTTTTGAAACGAAATGGGAGGGGCCTCCCTCGGATTCTTACCTTAAAAGGCAGCGGCGAAGCACCGATCATTTTAAGAGGCACTTGTCTTTGGAATTATGAGATGACGCGTTCGTAAATTTCAAAACTTGGGCCCGATATTACATTACAAACAGAGGAGATTGGAAAACTGAGTTTTTATCTCGTAACAGTTACTATTTTTATTGTGGTGTTGACGAGGTCATGGGCTCTATCTCTTTACTTTTGAATCAACAGTCATGAACTTTGCACAATGAACAGACCTGTGGGAATGAACTGGTCTTTTTTTCATGGGACGCATTAGTTAATTCCAGCGCATGATCTGACAGTTCTTGGCCAAGATTTCTCAAATTTTCTGGGTACATAATTGTGGGCTCGAATGAACTACCCCCCCATCTAAAAAAAAAGGTAAAAGGAAAACAAATCCGACTCCATAACTTTGTAACTTCGGAGCTTCGGAGGCAAAGAATAGGAGAATGGGGTGTGGTGGAGCTAGGGTATGGCAAGTTATCATTTCCTTTAGCTAACTATGCCCCCAAAGAAAACCAGAAGGGCGGACGTTTTTTTTAATAAACAGTTGTCGGTATCTTTTATTCGAAATACTGGAGTTTCTTCAACCTGTTCTTGAAGCCCAAACATGTGCAAAATCATCAAATCATCAACATTCAACCGAACTAGATTTCTTGCTTGTTGAGGCCACGGCACAGCACGATATATCATGTCCACCAGCCATTTGCGGGACTAAAAAAAGGGACTGAAATAGTCCGCTGAATTTACTCTCTTTTTTTCTCTCGACAAAGTGTGGTCTGGGTCTAGTCCTTTCACTTTGTGCACCGAACTAATGCGGCGCCACACAGCGCTGCCTAGAATTAATCAACATAAGGATCGCTGTTGACATCTACACAAGCATATTCACTACTCGCCTCTTACTGTTAGTCGGCGCCTAGCTTGTAGAGGGCGCTCGATAAGTCTGCTGCCACCAACCGATGAGGGTACCTTTGTTCACTGTACATTTCATCATTCCTCGTGTAAAGATTGCGATGACTATGGAAAACATACATGTAACGAAATTAAAATTTATAACGCAACTAGCTGGGAAAAAATAACATACAAAGAAAAAGTAGAGCTCCTTTGATTTATTCGTGTCCCTTTAAGTTTCTGTCACCCTTCTTATGTCAGGCTGTATTATTTCGGTCACTGTGAAGACACCGCCCGCCCCCCCCCTTTACTTAAAAAAATAATGAGCGAACTCCCTGATGAGGCAAGAACTGCACATTTTTACAGTTTGCTTTTGCTTTGCCGATCATTTTTGCGCCCACAGCACAAGTTGTCAGTTTTCACAGCCTCTGGAGATATATTTTAAATATATAGCACACTGTTAGTCGGGATGGAAATCGTAAAAGAGTCGGTCGATATGTTTCACTCGACAGTTTTCAACAGCAACATTCTCTGTAAGGCAGCATTGAGCGCACAGCCGATTCGTTCCGCTTGTAGCAAATACATCCAGCTGAATTATGAGCCCCAAGCCGGACCAAAAGCAATTTCCCCAGCAATAAGGTTATTTATGTCTGTGAATGGAACATGTCCCGAAGGAGCGCCCCCTTATATCGGCTGAGATCTCAGCAGATCAACCCTGCCCGGAGACGTGGCTTCGCAAGCCCACCGCCCCAGTGGAATGACATCAACTGAAGCGACAGTTGAAACTGAAGGAGTACAAATCGAGCTGGATTGTTGGATCAGCTTCTCATCTCATTCTACAGGGTGAAGGCCACTGCCATGAAGACCGTGACAGACATGATGACGTTCGCAGCTGGGAACCCGGCTTCGTTGCACAGATTCTCGCGGCAGCAGCAGATGGTCGCCTGCGTACCTTGAAAATCGGCTGAGGCGCACTCCTCGTTCACCGGACAGTGGGAACGCATGTAACACTTTCTCGCTGTCAAAGTGAGACTACCCTCGCTGGCTTTCGCTTTCTGTTTGGGGGCACAAAATAAATATTTATTTTATCAGTTACCCAAAGATCTAACCGATGGATATACAAATATCTCAACATGTTGTTTGATCAGTTGTGTGTTCATCTTGCAATCAATAATCATTTTATCTCTAATCAGTATAAGTACTACCTCAAGTCTTTGTTATTGCAAAACTACAGCAATGCCAGAGCTCATTGTTGAGTACAGGCGATTCACAATAGTGCGCCTCCAAGAGTTTGCAACGCGTTGGCCAATAACATCGCGCGAAATCTGTAGACCCTTTTTAAATGCGCATTGGGTCGACAGATTTGTGATTAGCCAACTCGTTGCAAATTCTTGGAGGCGCACTATTGTGAATCGCCAGTATTAAACTGTTTGAAGAACTAACCACAGCAAGTATGATTATGCAAAATCGTCATTAAACTTTATCATTCCTATCCCGACCTTTAATATCACCTTTGACTCAGTGGGAAACTTGACCAGGGTAGCAACAATTTAGAATATGACGACAGCCTTCCCCTTTTGGAGCCGAAACTGACAAAAAATTGTTTCATCCATACCGAATGCAAGAGAATTACACAATGTAAAACAGAACCGTATTCCGTTCAACGTGGACTGCTTCCAAGCAACTAATCGCATACCTGTGGCTTGTGTACCTGTGGCCAGTTAAGTTTCTTTGGACGGTGCAATGCATCGATTACTTCATTTCTTTAAAATCTATTAATTAAAGGGATTATTCAAGCCGATGTGTTGTTTATTATAGGTTTAAATCAGTGTGTAATTATGTAGAATTGCCTCTAAATAGATCAGGGTGTATTCAACCAGTACATCAATTCTAGAATTGGCCTTAGTAAAAGGCGGCCATCTTGATTTGGAAGCAAGGCGATCCCTGTGAGTATTTTCTGAAAACCTAACAACTATGTCAATAGCTCACCATCCTTTTCCCCGATGTGGAGTTTCGAATGATGGATAGAAGTCAAGTCACCTTTATTATCCAAATGATTTTTCTCATACGTAAGTAATACAATATAGTCAAGTTCCTTCCCTGAAATTGGATTCGGGGAGCGTGATTCAAAATGGCCGTGCGCGAATAGAGCGCACAGTGGAGAGCAACTAACCGCGCAGGCATCAAATCCTGCCGGGCAGGGACGCCTGTTGACCCTGGAGTCGGTGGTGGTTCGATTGAACAGGTCGGCGCAAGCTACGGTGTCAAGAGCCGGCGATACCCCGTCGACACAATCGAAGCATTCTAGCCCCACGACATTCCCTTACATGCAGATAGAAAATTACAGAAATAGAAATGTGAACAGATTCAACCCTATCTAAACAGAGGATAACACAGCCTGAATTTTGTTGTAGAAAGGATACTCAGTCTGTTAATGTGTGTGTCGTTATTCCTGTTTTGGGGTTCTGGGATTTTGTTTTGTTTGGAGTTTTTCTTTTCTTGTTGGCAAAGAAATTTCGCAGGCCGTCAGGACAGTTCCTATTGTGCTTGTTGGATAACCCAACCTTGAAAATTTACCTACTAATGTTTATATTTACCGACAAGGCTAAAAATGAGGTTGATCGGGTGCATTTTCATGGTGATGAGAGCTGCTGGTCTGTCGTTGGAACAAATCCTGTAAATGGAACAGCAAAATGCAATAGGTAGCAAATACACACACAACCTTCTGCAGTAGAATCTACAGTCAGTGGCGTATCCAGCCGGGGGGGGGGAACTTGTCCTCTAGACGGATTTTTGTAGCACAATCTGTATATTTATTGAACAAATATAAGCACCAAATAAAGGTTTGGATATTTTCTCTCCCTCAACATCATGCTGAATGAGCCCAAAGCCGTATTCGCGTTTGAATTTTCCCCCTTGACATCAAAAGCCAGATACGCCGCTGCCCACGGTACTATGTGTACTACGTCAACAAATAACAGAATGAGTCATCGTCAAAACCTTTCACTTTGCAGAACTGTTTCGTCTCCGTTCCACTTTTGTCGTTCTGTTTTTGTCTTTCGTTATTCGTGCACCAAAAGTAGACCTCATCGGGGTTTTTTTTACCACGCACAAGCGTGTACACATTCAGCACATGACATGACCTTGGATCCCGGGGAGTAAAAACAGAATTTTGTCCAAAAAGATTGTCCTTTTTTTGTCATTATCCCTGAAAAAATTTCCACCCCTTCAGAGAAAGGGGGCAGTCCTGTCTCTATTAAGCAGAGGCCATTTCAGTCCCTGAACAAATTGGCAAGCCGATGTCCGGTGGAGAGTGCAGATTGCCTCACTCCCTGAGGGAACCCAAACGACTAGAAAACTAGCGATATTAAGGTAGACCAGTGGCGTGAATTTGTGCTGGATAGTGGGGACATAGGAATGGGGAAAGGTGGGGATGGTTTGAAAATTTAAAAACTGGGGGTTGACACGATATGACTCTATGATGAGGTTAATCTCCCATGATAAAACGTATATCTGTATTATGTATTCTGGCTGACGTATTTATGTCTTTCTAAAATTGTGTTCCCTTTTTGGAGTGAGATTGAATGCATTTTAGTCTTTGGAAGTCTGAAAAGTTCTTCACAATCCACCTTAATTTTTGCTGACCACAAAAAGTGGGGGTGTGTGGAGGAATTCAATAGCCCCCCTCCCCCAAATGTAGTGGGATATGTACCCTATCCCAGTGGATTTACGCCCTTGAGTTAACAAATCCACAAAAATTACCAAACACTGCACCAATTCTGTCGTGTCTCTGCAAGGTATATGGTTATAATTCAGGTGTAAATATGAGGATGGAAATGCTAAACCTACCTTGTCACTTATTGGGGGAGGGCAATCTGTTTACGACCGTACCACGTTGTAAGTTTGGCTTGCTCGATGGATCCCATGTGTCATGTGAGGCATCGCAACGACTTTACACGTTTCTCTCTAAGGTCATTCAGTTTTTTTTAATTTATGCTGTTTTTGGAGAGTTAAAAGTACAACTTTTATGCATTTCCACACATATTTGACTGTCGGGCTGACGTGACTTAATCGTGGCTTTCCAATGTGGGTCATCGAAGTGCCTTCCTGGCCGGAAGGCGGTTGAGTATTAGGTTACATCTGTCAATCAAAGAGGCAGGTATTAAACGTACACGCCCACCTGCGCGGAGTTAGTTCATTACTCCAAACAAAGTGATCGCCCTGCTGCTGCTGTCATTACTCTGTCTGCTATCTTTCGCGCCACCAACGTCAAAGCGCAGAAAACCGGGGGATATCAGTGGTCCAGACTCGGAAAAATTGCGGAACTGTGTAAATGGTCAATAGCTGAAACAAACGCCACTGTGTAATAAGCGTGAATATGACAACTGAACTCCTGAAAAGATCTCGAGCCGGAATCAGATATTGTTGTACTTTTTAGCTCGAATTCACATAATTTTTTCTAGTGCCGTACTAATTTTAATGAAATTAACAATACTTCCACGTAATGTGATATTTCGGCTTCACCTTAGAGTTAAAAAGCTCCCCCCTCTCGGCAGTGTATTATTGGTAACTTAAGTCCTCTTCAGTCTAGTTACATGTCGTGACGTGCTGTTCGTCACAATCAGGTGCCTCCATCCTTCATAAAACACAATGAATTTCGTTCCCTATATAGGAACGAAGCAACTGCGTCACCCCTGTATAATGTCTGGTTATATGGTGCCTAAGAAGTAATATTTCGTATTTTGAAGTTTGTTGGGTTTACTTTTGTTTTGGATTTCGTTGGCAGGAGGGGGGAGGGAGAGGTGGCGTTGTTTGCCGGATGGGTATCGAACATTCAGACGAGGGCGCTGTCGCTCGCCCGCCACTTCCAGAGCCAAAATGTAACTCAGTGGTTAACTGCACAGTGTGATAGCACCAACGTTTAGCTTCTAACCCCACGAAGAATTGATATCGCATACTCCCGAACGATACACTTCCGTGGGCCTTCTTCATTAAGCTAAGTAGCTTCATCGATCCTGTGGGTTTAAAATTAGATGGTCCTACACAAACAATATCGTCCATTCACCTGAGCAAATACTCTGAGGAACTCAGTGAGAAGATGCTGCAACGAGTAACTTTATGATTACCTCTCAAACTTGACTCATTCTGTGACCTCCCTTGACATTTTTTTGCCTGGGCTGGTGAGGTAGAAGTTGATATATTTTGATGAGAGTAAACAGCTGCCTTTTTTTAGCCGTGTCTACATTTTTCTCCAGATCTTTCAGGATAATTCATTTGTGTGTTTGCAATTATGTTGCCATAAAAAATGGCACTCATTTGGCGCAGCGATTATCTCTGTATGTCACAACATGGAGCGCAGGACAAATCAGCACGAGCCTGCGCGATGAACAGCCAATGATTATATGCGGATACCTTGCTGCATGGGCGTAGGCAGGATGTTATGGGGGGTGGGATGAAGCACCCGATAGCAGCAAGCTGAAATACTTAACAATAGAGGGCCAGAAGGAGTCGATCCCGAGGTATTTTCGAGCAAATTGTGCATTTGTTCCCCTGTGGTCCCCCAGTGGTCTATCCAGGTTTGGCCACAGGGAAAAAATATGATTTGTTTGTGCGTGCGTGTGAAAAAAAGTCCATCTTTTTCATCCGCCAAAGAAATCCCCCTAAGAAAAGTGGTAGTAGTGACGGTAATTTTTCGAATCTGGTTAGGCTTCCAGCTTCAAAAAAATAGTAACATGTCTAGGGGATGTTGGATACGGAGTTGCCCATAATACAACAAAAGGTTGAAATCTGAGAAGACGGATGCATACTGGGCCGAAACCTCGTGAGGAAAAATGAGATCAGATTTCACACCATCGCTCTTCCGCAACTTCTCTAATCTGACCTGTTTATGATTTCCAGAGAATACCATATCCGAACGAAGTCCTTGGACTCGGTGTAAATAAAATCCATTAGATACATCTACAACTAAAACGCATAGTTTCTGCACTTCATAAGTTTTAGCTGATATAGCGGTCGAATTGGGATCAGATCAGTATCTTGTGATCACGAGATATTGTAAATCAGCACATCTATTTATGAACCAAATCGGTGAAAGAAATGGTAAGAGTTATGTCGTCCTAAAATAGGATGTTTTTATTTTGCGTTTTAACAAAGTTTGAACTTCAAGGCAAACTTCTACAGATAAAGCGATATTTGAACTGATTGTAAAAATTGCTAGCCTGAAAATGCCTTCAAGATTTTCCTCCAAAGGGACCTATCTCTCAGCCTTTTTTCAGTAAAGATAGTGCATGATTGAAACGACGTTTACCAATGAGGGTTAGAAGGGTAATGACTTCCACAAGCTTGGAAGATCGAGAGAACAGCCAAGGACAGCAGCAACCCTGAATTGAGAAAAATAGGCATCTTTAAAGACAGGCTCTTGTTGTATATTTACCAACAATTATTGCAGAGGACTTGTCTCCTTATCTCAACAGGCCGGAGCACGTCACATGCGCATGCGTACATGCTTTATTTTACAGTTGCTTAGAAAAACTTGAGGACATGCTGTGTCCCGGATAGAAAGAAAAGGACAGTTTTGAATTGCCTCGATGGTTCTTAACCGAAATACCACATCCTCATCACAGAGGTGCATTTTGTTGGCTGTTTCCGTTCCACCGGAAAGCAGCGCTCACCGATAGGGTCAAAGCTGGAGAAGAAGTTGAGGAAACCTGAGAAGAACCGTCCCATGTTCACGCGGTTACTGCCTTTAATAATGTTCTTTTGAAAAATTGATGGAAAAGACTCCCTTAAATCACTTTTCCTTTATCGAAAGTACCTTGAAATCTAAGTTCATGTCTTCTTTGTGAGTGTATTGCTCCATTTCTGTCAGACCCCTGCTTTTTTATTTATTCTAAACTCAAAGTGAATATTCCGCATTGATGAATCTTAAATTCTTTTTGATGTTCTAACGGCAAATTTCTGATCCATATTTTTCTCATTTTTTAATTTAGGCCTATATGTGTAACTTTTAAGCCTAAGGTCTTTCATTCATAGGCATGAGTCGTTCTGGAACTTTCTATCAAATTATAATGAGTACGATACAGGATAGAGGAGAAAACTCTCTTTCTGTCTATTTCTTTCTCTCTTTCTAACTCTTCATTTATAAAAAATTGGACGTTTAGTTTTGGTATGTTACATGTATTGACCACCTTGAATTGCTGTCAATTTGGTTTTTTTTTCTTGTTTTAATTAGTTCAATTTAGGGTATTGTTTTAAGTTTTCTCAACTGTATCCTAATCATTTCCACTTACTGTAAATATCCGGCATTTCTTGCCCTTTATTTCCAGTGGTACCCTTTTGCCTAAGTGCACTGAAAGAAAAACCGAATCCCTATTTCTTACAAATGGTAAACTGATACGGGCGAGACCTTTGTTAGCCGTGAACCCGGTTTACATGAGGGCTGACCATTTCCACTTCCTCGTGCAAGTAACCTTGTAATGAAACTTCTGGAACGTGGGTTTCGCAGGTGTATACCCACACCGGCAGATTGAACGCCGAAGTTCCGGGAAGTTTTGTTGGACCCATCGCGTACACAAGCGCTTCACGGTTGTACACGAAATTTACACGCGTCCCTCTTGGCCTTCCAGCTGAAGGCAGATTGTTGTGAAATTGTGCGTTTATTTCCGGGTTGCAAGGCTGACCAAAAAGTGGATAAAGCGAAGTGAGTTATTTTCGCTTTTTCCTCGTTTCGCAAAGTCGCAGTTTGCCTAAAATTTCAGAATGAAAGGTTGGATACGCATTCCGTACAGAGATAAGTCATGGTTGCGGTCACAAACATCTCCGAAAGTGCTCGATTGCCTCTCAAAAACGAGTCCTAGCAAGGTTGGATTCCCAACTGGACTTCCGACCGTATGTGTTTGGAATTGATGATCAGTCAAAAGTGGGTTGTTTCTCCAGCTTCCCCGATCCCCCCCCCCCCAAAAAATAAGATATAAGGTTATAATAATACTAATAATGAACATTTATAGAGCGCCAGTATCCGCCGAGAACGGCGCTCATGGCGCTAATAAGCAAAGACATCCAATAATGATAAGTTGAGGAAATATTAACCAAATGCCTGTCTATGCAAAGATGATTTTAATCTGTCCTTAAATGTGTCAAGTGATTTCGATAGTCTCACAGATTCCGGTAAAGAGTTTCAAAGTTTGGGTGCTGCAATCTGAAAGCTTCTCTTCTCCCAACGATAATGAGCCATAGATGTGTAAGCACACTTCTAGTCCGGCAGCCAGTGGGGTGAACCCTGTTTTTTTGGATATATAATATTTCTTTGCATATTCTGAGCACAAGGAGGTCACATGTTTGAAGAATTTGAATGATGACACCTTGTTAGGGTGGAGCAATTTTAGTAATGGATTATGTCTGTTTGTATCGATATTTTATCAATACATACTACGTTTGTACAGTTAAAAACAAACACAAGCTAACAAAATTTAAAACCGATGTCTCATATTTACAAGTTAAAATGAAGGATTAAAAAGCCTTCAAATGGAAAACTGAGGTGAAATGCAACGAGGGTGTGGCTTTGGGCGTGCCTGGGGAGTGGCTGGTAGATCAACAAGTTCTATCAATTTTAACAAAATGAAGTGAGATTTCCTAATGCTGTCCTATTCTAGTTCAATAACAAGTGGCAATAAGCCTAAATTTCTCAGACGAGTCATGGGAACTATTATCAGGCGCATGGCTTATAAAAGGAGATAATCGGTGGCATAAGCCATTCACTGTACACATTTTAACGTAAGAGTGCCGTACCAAGAGTGCCATACTCTTGTTGATATTCAACCTCAACTCTCTAAAGACCACAACACATCTTAAGACTAAGAATAGTTACTTACCGTATGGAGTTACAGGGGCTTTTCTTGAGGGGGGCAGGGCAACTATTTTATCTACCGTTAAACTAAATTGAGTATTCACTGAAAATATATTGAACTGTATCTCTGAGTAAAAAGAAGGAAGAATTCTTTGGTGCAGCAACATACTGATCTTTGAAATGAAAACTGTTCTTGTAAGTATGACTGGTCTTGTTGCTTCACTATCCAAAACTTTATTCCAACATACATTCGGACAAAGGTTTACTGTGTCACAGAAAAGTCCTTCAAAAGCGAAAGAGTAAGCAAATTTAAGTTTAGCTGACAAATGGTCCCATCTAGATATGAGTCACATTGACTTCCGCCGGACAAGCTCTGTACGATATCTGATCACATGTGAACGTGGTGGGTTGTCGTGCAGATTGACCTATCAACCATTAACTCACCAAAACCTGCCATCTCTGTATTGTGTCCGGTCCAGAGATGGTCGAAAGGAAGCTTTTGCTTTGTGTGTTTGACTTTGTTCTCAATTGAGCATGGTATTACACCCATTAAATTTGGGGAAGTTTCTTTAGGGGAGTGCATTTTGAAAGGACAAACCCCTTTGCATCGCCTTATGGGTTGCAATTACTCTAATATGCGACCATTTTTAAGGGCAACACAGACTTCAGAGCTTTTCTCTTTCGACGTTCTGAATTTCTAAACCCCTGGCATGCCTGGTAATGTTCTGCATGTTCCAGTATGCCGTATTCAATTGGTTTGGCCATGCCATGTTTTCTGATACAAGAGTTATCCAATCTTAAATGATATGTCGGCATCAAAGTTGTCGAAACAACCTGTGCCACGCCACCACATACCCCCCCCCATCCATTAAGTTTATAGGTGAAGGTTTATTTTCTTCGCTGTTGCAATTCAAGCCAATTTCCAGAACTGAAGCAGTTCATTATAAGACTTGGTGTGACTCCAAAACTGTGCATGCCATTACATGCTTGCAAGTCTTTCAACAGTTAGCCTTCCCTGACAACAGCTGGAAGAGTAGTTCGATTATTGATCATTGATCAGATATTTTGCATTCACAATAATGTATGTTTGCGTGTGTGCGTACCCAGACCCACTTGACTTTGGCTGACACACACTGTCCAGACAGCAACAGACCAATGAATTTGGTCACTCTTTTAAAACTTTAAAGATTAAAGTAAAGTAAACTTTAAAGTTTTAAACAAAAAAAGAGATTTTACGAGATAAAACAGTTTTTCATTTCGTTTTCATTAGTTTTTTTATTTATATGAAAATCTTTGAGAAAGTTTCAATTTTGCAAATGTTTCAAAGAGCCCCACCAATAGTTGGCAAAAGTTTCACATCTCTTGGATTAATAATCAAAAAAGTTGAAGGAAATTTTCACTAATATCTCGAAAGGCCCAAACGTCATCAAACGTCATCATGCAGATTCTGGCTGTCTACTGTCTTCAGAATAGAAATTTGTCAAAAAGAAATTATATATCCTCCAAACCACAGTTCAGGGAAAAAAAGTTGCACTTTTTAGGAAAAAAAAGTTCAGGGAAAAAAAGGTGCACTTGGCTGCCGGACTATCCTGAGAAACATAATAAAACGACGGCGACCTTGTTCTTTGTGGGACGAGCAAAATATTTCGTTCAGGTCAGCATATTGTATCACAGAGTACCTCTAAGGAAACCCTTTATGCATGCCAAACAGTTTACTGTTTACAATATACTGTTTGACATGCACAAGGGTTTATCCACTATGAACACAGGGCGAGGGTAATTCCCCTTGTTTTTTCTGTTTTCTCAGAATGACGCAATCTACATTCAGAATTCTCATCTTGGCATGAAGAGAAACAAAACCCTTTTAAGCTTGTTTTAGTTGAGCTCTGAAGACAAATGACTCTGCGTTCGATTTCCATATTTACTCGTATTGATGAAATCAGAGAAAACATGTTTTCGTTAGTGAGGTGCTCTTTAAATAATTATATAGTTGAACATAAATGCGTCCCAAGGTGACTTGATTCTATGTCTACAGCGTTCATTATTTTGAATGTAATCAAGTTTAGCATGATTATGAAGTGGGCCGACTGTTCAGTGTTCAAATGTCTTTTTTTTTTCCTTTTATGAATCTGCAGGTTAGTTGGGTAGTTGTGGGAGACACCCCAGACCCAAGTTGACATTGGGGAGAAGATTGTTTTTATAAAAAGCTTTTAAAAAGACGGCAAAAGAGGTCCATTATTTCTAATTGTATTCATCTTGAGCAGAAGAGACCCCCCCCATCGGTTGAAAAGAGTCATGTTGGTTGGGAGTGCTCATTTTGTTGATAGCAAGGACGCAACTGCTACGCGTGCATTTCATAGTCGGTCGTGAAATCAGCAAAGCGCAGTGAAATTGCGCCCTCTCTTGGTCCTGCTAGGGCAGACACAGACCGCCAGAAACAAAAAGGATACCCCCCGGCCACACACACAAGGACACGTAAATTCAGCAGGATACGTTTGCCAACCTTGCTTTGGAAATGGACTTTTCGCGGACGATCGGCAACTTGACACAGATTCATTTCTCGAGCAATACAATTGTAATAGGATATGTGACACAGAGCTTCTGAAGCCCAGTGGATGGCCGGCTTCTTCAAAAGGAGCTGTGGGGTAGCCGGATCTAACGTTTGCGGTCACCCGATCTTCCCGGATATGTCGGTATGCATGTATGACGAGAAGTGGGTGAGGGCTGGCATAAGGAACTTGACTCAACTACATGATTACAGAAAATGCATCTTTATTGTACCCGATCATCATTTAATTCATGTGTCAACAACTCAACCAACCTGGCTGCCGTCTATGCATTGATAATTATCTTTATTCGTTTTCCCAATGACCTCCTCCGTTGATATAAAAACAAAAAACGGCAATGATTTTCGTATCAGGGAGATGATTTAAACCTTGTCTAATACTTCAGGTGGATGCAAGTATCTCACTCAACACATCTGAATACGCAAAGCACCTGTGTTCATTTCGTAAACTGGAAGCTGCGTGAAGTCTCGATTCGGTGCATAACTTTAAAAACCAGACACTAATGGCTGAAGTTGGTTTGCGTTCAAAATTTGAAAGGTGAAAGGGGACTAGTCAGGGCAAAGAAACTTTCTTGTCGTTGGTTTGTTTTTCCCAATCAAGATCGCCTTATCAACGGTATCTAAACCCCAGCTCATTTTCTGATTGGAGTTATGACATCATGAATATCAGATCTTTTTATATGCTATTTACATGCATTAAAGACTTCATAGTGTTTACTCAGTCTCGACTGGATCATATTTAATTAAACTAAGTGCTCTGTGATCCACTTTTTTTCCCCAAAATAAAGCAGATATTTCTGATCGAGTGCACGGACCTTAATCATATCATCATTCTGATGTACCAAGACACAAAACGCCCCAGCGAGCACGCGAGATGTCACGTTCACACGCCAGAAAGACACGATTGAAAGCCGTGGTTTGCACTTGTCTCGAATATTTCAAGAAATACAAGGCTAACGCTGCACTGAGCCAACCTCGGTGCAGAACGTCTCATGCGGTCTCTTGCGAGCTACAGAGAAAAGACCGCCGCCGCGACGATGACGGCCACGGTAGCGAAGGCACTGGCAGCCAGCGACCCGGCTCCGTTGCAGAGATTATCGCCGCAGCAGCAATTGGTGACGGAGGCGCCGCCAGCACTGGTGGTTTGACACCCGCTGGCATCCTGGCAAAGAGACTGCGAGGCACAGCTCCTGGAGACCACACTCAACCCGCTGGCCATGCTGGAGGATTTCTGTGGGGAACATAAAACCGATACAAGAGGAAGGAAAATGAGGAGAAAGGTAAACGGATTCGGTACAAGAGAAGTGAAAATATTTGCCAAAATTTGTGGGGCTTCAGAGTCCGAGGAACTCAAAAAGATAATTCATTAATTGGCCAATTTGAAAAATTGCCCGAAAGTGTGGGCAAATGATATTTTGACAAACGTTGGCTGAGAAGTACAGCTGCCATAGTTTTCATTGTTCCTTTGTTTTGTGGGTTGCTTGTCTTTTTGTTTTTGTTCTCTTTTGAATAACATAAATGTTACGCTCCATCCCAACTGGGACGTTGCGAAACAGGTGGCGGGCGTTGTGCGGTCACAGCCTTGTGGATAATCCTGATAGCTGCGCGTATGCACTGAATTAGCGCGTATGTACCTGGCAGACATCCTGCCCGCTGGTGCAGTTAAGTGTCAGGACGCCGCTGCCCTCAGCATTGAAGGGGTCCGCGCAGGCCTCGGACGTTGTCGAGGCACAAGTGTAACACTGGAGTCCCATGATGCCTCCTGCAAGAAAAAGTGTCAAGGAAAAATGAACAAACCACCAACGCTGAAAATGAAAAGTAAAAACCTCACACGCGAAATTTGTCAATAATTTTCCTGCTTTGCGAACTGCTTCTTCTTGGCTTTGGTTAAAAAAAAAAACCGGCTGTACTTGGCTTCTGCAGGGGGGCAAAGGGGGGATTTCGGGGTACATTAAAAAAAAACTGGCTTTTCGTCCTCCTTCCCCCTGTTCCCGTTTCATTTTCTTCTCTTCTTTCTTTTTTGTCCCCGGTTTTATTTCAGGATTCCCCCCCCGTAACGTCCATGAGTTTAGCCTACCCTCCAGCCAGTAAGGAATTGCAAAGGAGACTTGCCAATGCAGGTCATAAGGATGGCGACTACGAAGACCTTCATTGCGTATTTTAACCACGGGTAGACTTTCCTCCAACTGTAGACACGGCAGCAACCCTGTAAAGTGCAACAACCAATTTTTTTTCTCAGACAGGCCCGCATAATAAGCATGGATTCTTAACAATAACTGAAAAACCTCTGCCAAAGATATTGTATCTTGATTGGGTAAGTGTACGTCACGTGGTATTTTACTTTCTTACTCTGATAGATTTTTTTTCTGTGTACCTCCACCCGAACAAAAAATCAACTAAGTACCACTTCAGTGGCAACTGGGATTGATCAACGGATCAACTTGGGAACCTATAATTCTGTTATTCGGAGCTGTCCATTCTGGAAAGTATCAGGTGGGGGAGAAAGGGACGAGCAAAAGTACCTTCCAAATTCCGAGCAACGCTTTTATATCTGACGATTATAATTACTCCAGTTACAGAAGCAGAAAGAGGCGACATTTGTCAGCGTACTTACACATTCGTTTTGTTTCCTTTGTCTCCTTTCGTTGACTTTCGCTTTTCTCTTTTTTTTGGGAGGGGGGCTTTTTGTTTGCGTGTGTGTTTTGTTTTCGTTTTTGCTCATTTACTTTGTTTGCAAAGAATAAGTTCATTCACACCTTTCCATATTACATGAGCACCCATTTTTAGGATATTTGAAGGCTGTTTTGCTCTGCGCAAACTTTTTACAATACACGGACTGGCAGTGAGGTCACTATCGAGCAGGCCTATGCTCCCTGAAAGACTGTGCCTGATCCCAGTCTACCGTGGCCGAAGGACAAGGGGAAATAGGGACCTGCTCAGTACACTCAGAGCGACCTGAGGGGGTCATGGACCTTCAGGAGTGACCAATTATGCTAGTCCAAGTATTTTAAAACACAGCTACGTCCAATTAATGTGAAACAAGAAAAGAAACTCAGTTTCGGGGGTTTTATGACCGGCCGTGTTTTGGTTTTATTTAACCACGAGCTCATAAACTATTCACATAACAAGAAAGCAATTTGTCAATTGAATGAATACTTTCGGTTTCCCTTATGCATGTATGATTCAGTATTTAGTCGCTGTTCACTGTTCTTTTTATGTGAGGGCGCTGCAACCAGTCAAAAAGTGGGTGAAGTATCCCACTGGGAGCTCTAGTCTGGGCCCTGCTTGATGTTTTGGTGCTGGTCAAATTTACGCTGACCCAAACTCCAGGCCCAAATCTTTAATGTCCAGTGAATCCCATGTGAGTGGATTTCAGCCAAACGGGACAAAAAAGCAGCAATTGATACAATTATTGTTACAAAGTTCTGTTATTCCCCCAAAAGCATACGACGGGCAAGTACTTTGCGTATTCTGTAATTTTCGCATTGAACAAAATCGCTGAGAAACTTTCGTTTCCTCATGGTTTCCACTTGAACGGAATATAAAGGGCATTTCATCGACCAGTTACAGGGAAGAAAATAAAAACAAAAATTGAAAAAAAATCCCAGGGGCTTAAACTGACCTGAATTTCCTGCTCACACTGAACCACTTCCTCAATTCCCCAGTGCTCCACTTCCTTTAATCTTGATTCTCCTCACGGTTTGCTCAGGCGATATACTTCCCCGTCACTGACCTTAGAAATTCTGGACCCTCAAAATTGGGCCAATCACAGCGCTGCAATTCAACGCGGTATGAAATAAGTGGTAGAAACTTCCGACCATCCAGCGCTGGCAGACGGTCGCGCAAGCGCACTGGGACTACTGGACCCGTCATTTGGGGTCCAGTTGCAATGAGTCTACGTGCAAAACTGCAGGTAGTCATGTTCAACAATGGGCCCTGGAGCCGTGCCAAACACCCAGCGCTGTTCAAGTGAAACCATATCCCTCCGATACATCTAATCACTCGGACCAAATTTCGCAAATTTTACCTTTTCTATTGTGTGTGTCTGGAAATAAGTAAAATAGCAGACGAGAACTCAAAGGCATTACTGAACCCCTATGAAATAAAACGGCATAAGGTTGTCGAATTTGACCATTGTGAACACTTGAGAGAAATAAAAACTTCTTGTATCACGAGTGCCCAGAGTCTTCTTTATCAATTTTGATCGAATAGAAAAACGCTCGAAATAACCCTAGCAGTCCTCAATTTTGCATCGGTTGAAAGATTGAGAATTTTATGGACGTCGGACGTCGGTCAGCTTTACAACACTACTGTAAGAAATAGCCACCTATTTCAATCCCCTGTGTTGGCAAAAAACACGATCATTTTGCCGGGTGCGCGAAGGCGCCAGAGCATTACGTAAAAAACTAGGCTTTGAGTCAACGTCTAGCAAACTATCACGGCATTTAAACTAGTTTGTGTCAAGTTATTACCAGCAAAATGGAATCTGTTCATCTGACCCTGTCTTTGATTCAACGCAATGTTGTCCGCACTTTTGCGAAGATTATTTCCTTTTTGTTTTCGAGCATTCGTCTCTCCACTGTTGTGAGCCAAAATCAGTGTATTGCCGTAGCACGATTCGAGAGTATACATGGATGGACAAAATGAACACCTGTATTCTCAATGTTATTATTTCTTTGGAAATGTTTACGGTTATGAGTCAAAGTTGTATAAGATCTAGGGGAATAAAAATGTTAAAACCAACTGAACATTTCGATGAAATTTTGAGGTCTCATTAATTTTTTAGGTGGCATGAAAGAACCTAACAAGGGAAATTGTGACCTGTCATCACAAATGAGCCGAAAGTTGGAATTTTTTAAAACTGAGATACTGGTATTTTTTAATTCAGCAGAAAGAGAGCTTTCCAATGGCATGTACATGGAACACTTTGGGTAAAAGTATCAGGTGGCAGTGTGGCATTATTCTGGCAGCTTTTCGTCCTTGTTCCCGACATTGTTTCAACATTTCAGACCAGGCACAAATAATACTATCGTCAAAATTGATGAGAAAATGACATTTTTAAATATGTGATTCTGCAAAATATTTGGAATTAAATAGGAGGTGGGTTACTGTTTCTAAATATTACAAACCCCAAAATTGACCACCAGTTCAATAAGACTTTGAACCCTCAAAATAGGAAAGTGTGGGATGCGACTTTAGTCTCATTTTGTAGAGACAGGTTACAATTGTCAGAAGACTCTTTGTATAATCTACATCTTGATTTTCTGAAAGAACAAAGCTGAAAAGTTGAGTTTACTTGACTTACATTTCATTGATTTTTTCCTTGTCGAACCTCACCCATTTTGGATTTGTAGCGCTAAAAGGCAACAGCGATGTGGCCGTATACAAGTGGTTGAGGCAAGTTAATTTAAATCAATTTAAATCAGCGTTTATTGTCCGTTTTGAACATGATTTACGTACCGAAAACGATTAAGCTTCACGGTAAAATTCACAAGCAGACGAGTCTGGGAGGTTTTAAGAATTAGAGTACATGAGAGCAATTTTCACAAAGTTCGACAAAAATCCAGAATTAAAAATTTCCAACTTTCAAAAGACACCACCACATCGTTACAATGAGTTGTAATGGGATCAGATGTACAAATTCGACATAGTCTTACCTGATTGATGTTGATCAGTCAAATACGAATTCGAACCAGACCGTCTGCTCTGCCCACGTCGGTAGACTAAATGTGGGCTCCAGCCGCACCCTCTTATAGCCGAGATCTCATTGGTGCGCGAGCACGCACCTATTGTCTCAGACAACAAAATTGACATGTCTGAGGGCAGTTGCAGACAGTCGGTAGAGTTGAACGAGCCTCCATGATCCGGCCACGTGACGATCCCGCCCAATGTCAGCAGCTTTTGGGCGCGTCGATCGGCATTCTTGCGACGGTCGGTGGCCAGCCAAAAATGCCTTGATCGCAGTCTGAAACACTTTTGTGACGTCATTACCGTCACGTGTCACCGCAAACTTAACGTCCTCTTTCCTTTTTGCCTTGAGTTTGTACATTGTTGTTGAGCGCCAACGATAGTGGAACAGTTGCATCTTACCAGAAATATTCTGACCGCAGTGGTCTGCATGGTTCCAATTACTAGCGCAAAACTGATGTCCATGACCTTTATCCGCATGAATCTGAAAGATTTAGACAGAAACAATCAGTAAAAGAGTCCGAGCTAATATTTATTCATACTGTACCGTAAGAAAAAAAACGATGGTTGCAATTTGTTTTTTTGGGCGAGCCTTCAGTAACGGTAGTTATTATATTTAGTTGCCTAAAGGGGTGGGACCGGGCGGGGGCGCTTAGGAGCCCAGGGAACCCTCTGATGGGTACATGTTGAAAATTACTACGCCGGTGTATTACGCTATCAGGTTTCTGTGGAAGCAGGGTTCTTCAAGTTTATGACTTCCAAAAATGAACAGTGTTTTCAGGAAAGGAACTGTTCTGTAGCTCGATATCAATCTGACCAAAGGTGTGTGATGTCTTTGACATTATTCCTCGGTGGTTATAAAATAAGTCGTATAGTTGCTTTCAAAATCATCGCGCCCCAGCTGCGTGCAACCGGAAAATCTCTTGTCCGTTATTCATGGCCGCGTCCGAATCACGTGTCTGGAGCTAGGTCAAGGTCGTTGCCCATTGAAAATGCGTGAGGACGTGCTGACAATGGCCGTATAGCTCGGGGGCAGGCTTCAGACTTGGCCGGTGTAGACGGTAAGTCTGTCCCCCCGCTAAAAATGTCCGGGGGACAGAATTACCTAGGTAAAAGTGTCCCCCCGGCCCGGTAAATCAGTCCCCCTCCAGGTAATTCTGCCCCCTTCGTTTTTCCACACAGAAAGTGTACTTTTTCGTGTTGGGTTGATGAATTCAGTCCACATGAAATGCAGTTAGATTTTTTTGCCCCTCATCAAGCTGTCAAAATGGGGGGATATGAGATGCAAAAGAGCTATGTTTTTGCACGAAATCGGAAAAAGGTAGTGTCACGCAGGCCTACGTTCCATGTAGATTACAGCGTACACGTTATTTCTATTACACACACTACGCAGTAAGTCCATAGCAAGCGTGCAATGACCATTCACATTATTTACATGCTTTTTACACAGCGCATTGCGTACCACTGCACGCGCGACGCGGTTGCGTTTTTGCTGCGACCTGCCCTTCCGCTACTGCTACTCCGTAGCACATTCCTAACTTCAGTCATTCATAAGTTTTCATCAAATCTTTCTCGGAGTCAATCCTACATTAAGACATGGCCCGTTCATTCATCCCACAAGACGCCCACTTCATAGCGTATGCGTCTCGCTATGTGAAGACATAGGCCTATCTAATATGCAACTCAGTGCAGTCTCGCGGAATGAGCGCTACGTGCAGATGAATTTACGACGCGTTCTTTTTCTCTTTTTTATTGAAGTGGAAGCGAATAGAACAGCCGTCTGCGGGCCTTGGTCAAGTGACGTGACATAAAGTTCAACAGACTCATTTAATTTAAAGATGGCGTGTGAGAGTGGGTACCTTGAGATTGAACGGGCAAAGGCTAAAAGACTGGGAAATACCAGAATAGCGTGAGTGAAATCATTCAAATAATGGTCACTAGAAAGCGGAGAGACTATAAGAAACATTTGTGTATGCAAACACAGACGGATGGTCCAGGATAGCCCTCCTCATCCAATCGCCGTGTGTCGACGTAACGAGTATTGTGCGTTGATTATGGGTGATATACTTGTGCTGTTCCACGGGGGACACATTTCCCAGGAAGGAAAAATTTACCGTTGAGCAGGGGCACAAATTTTCCTGAAAGGGGACAGATTTACCTTTACCGGGGCGATCCGGTTAAAGTGTCGGGGGGACACATTTACCAGGGCGGACAGTTTTACCGTTTACACCCGCCTGTCTCTGTCAGTGTTAAACTTACGGCAAGGAGGTCTGCAATCATTTTTTAAAAAACAAACCGGCCTTAATGTGTACCCCAAAGTTCCTGCAGACCGATTTGAAACAAGGGTCCCATTAAGTTTAATAACTGATTGCTGGATATGTAACCAACTAACAGGTTGGTGATGGTATGACTGGCATCACTGACCGATTACAGGGGGCGCTGTTCACACTGCACAACGAGAGTTCGATGAACGATCATTTGCACAGGTTGATTTTGTCCAAAACCCAGAATTATAATTTTCTGCACAGATTATCGGGGGAAAATCCACCAGTTACCGGCAAAACGGTCTGAGCTGAAACTTCTCTATCACGGACGTTACTGGGGGAGCTATTCATAATGGTTTCTATTTGCTCCAACTCTGCACAATAATTCGATCGATTTGGGGACAGAATCATGGGTGTCACCCTCTCACATCCTCTGTACTTAACGACACTTCGGTCTTTACCGCTGGGAAATTGAAATTAATTTCGCTGCAGTACTGCATAATAAAATTCAGAATCGAAACTCTACGTCTGTGGGTTGTACCTGGTTTAGCCTCGTCCCCATCGTCTCACTTGTTGGGCACAACACACACGACCGTTCCCAGGTCAGGGTTGCCACGTCCTAATCGAATGCATCCAATACAGCCAATATTTGGCAACCTTGCTATCAAATAGACTTGTCCGCAGAAAGGCGACTCAACTTGACTGTTAGGAAACTTCAAGATTTTCTGTATTATGTTGGCTTCCAACCGTTTCACTGCACAAAATTCCTATCCTACCAGTCATAAGAGGGCGCTAAATCCATCTGCTGGCTGCAAAAGACGAACTGTAACAGCCAAATCAATATGTCATTTTCTACGTGCGTGAAAAGTCTTTCATTATTTGCAACCACATAATGTTTTTCTGATTACGATGTCCGTAGAAAGTCTGAAAAGGGATTGAAGTAATGAAAATACATGTATTTATATCCACGAAATCCGTTCTTTATTACTGCCTATCAGCATTTTATTCACACGTGAATAACTTACACAACTAACAGCGCACTATTCAATCGTGCGTATTTCAGTGCATTTTATTCCATTTCATTTCCCGCAACGGGAGGGATATGCGCTGCTTCGTTATGACGTTCACATGCCGGAAATCGAGGAGAGTTATGTATTACAAAAGTGAGCGCGGCACCAGAGTGGGTGTAGTCTTGCCCCATAACCGGTTTCACTGTTTTGGCCGGTGCACCGGACAGGCGACATGTGCTGACGAGCACAGCCGAAAAGCGCTACCAGTAGAGGGCGCTATATTCATAAGAGACGAACCACAGACATAATAAACGCCATAGAGTTGGATGTGATCCAATTAAAAACTACGGGATTATTGACTAAAATTAAAAATATTGGCAAATCCACGGTAGGGCATTTACGCACAGTTTAAGAATTTCAGCCCCCAAATTCCATGAAGCTGTTTTTCAAGGTGAAAAAAATCCTCAATTTATTTAATCTGGCCTATATAGATTCAGAACGATGCGTTTGCAATACATGTATTTTAAGAGATAGCAGTGCCCGAGAGCAAAAAAGTGAACTTTCTGGAGCACATGTAAACAAACACAGGCACAGTAAATGCGTTGCGCGTAATGCGCTGCCGTCCATTGCTTCACCCATTGGGTGCGGTCGATTAGGTTCCCTGAACACACTACTGTTACACCAAGGGAAGCCTCGAAATGAGGGTAATCGAACGCTGCAGTGCAATCGCCAAGGCATTCTGGGAAAAAGTTCAAGTCACCGCCACGTTCCATCATGTACGTCCATGCACGAACAGTCCATCCGTGACGTCATTACACTCGGG